TACAATCTTGATGATAATATTAAAGATTTATTAAAGACTTTCAAATCTTACAGTGAACATTTAACTTTGAAGTTATCAAGTCAGTATTCACTTTTGTAATCAAGTAACATTAGAAATCTCTTTGATTTTTCTCTTTAAATATTCATAATAGTGAAAAGTATAAATGATTTTTAGCGTTTTAAAATTGTTTCTATGCAAATAGAAGTAAATATTAGAATGTGAATAAGTAATTCTAGTCAAATGATTTATGTATCTAGTTATGTGTAGACAGTCTCATTGATCAGTGTTGGACAACACGTAGAACTCATAACTTATAGATAGATCTTGTACATTTTACTATTTATCAGACATATTTCATTCAATATGTATATATTTATGTGAAAAGTTGTCAAACCTATAGTGTATGTTTGTATTCATCACTGCATATATATATATATATATATATATATATATATTGAAATATGGTGGATAACTTTAAAAGCTTTATTCAATTCAATTTGATTACCTGTGTCCACCAAGTGAGCGGGAATAGAACTCTTAATCACACTTACCTGTCCTCTGCTCAATCATGACGGGTGGTGTTCTGTTATACGATGATGAATTAGCCAAATTGTACGCTCTATATAACTGGCACCACAGATGCAGTTCACTTGATAAATACACATGGATTTAGCGAATTCAGGAAATTTATCTTTATTAGCCGTTCTTATTGTGGTGGGGTGGTTGTAGAAGACAGCACTCAGTTTGTCTGCATTAAATGTTTTTTTTTTCATACCGGCTTTCTTAATCTCTGAGTGACAATTTCTTCAGTAGTATCATTTAGGAATTGATGAACACAGGTCATCAAGTTGAATTGAATTAAGCTTTTAAAGTTATCTACCATATTCCATCAAATTTACCACATGGTATATATATATATATTCTGATATTATAGAACTAAGTTATATACATTTGATTAAAATGATCATTTTAAAAATGTTATTTAACTGTTTATATAATAGTGATGATGCTAATAATGCTAAGTCAGTTCTAACTGTTATTCAAAGAAGAACATTGACTATATTTTGAATAGGTATTATTCAATCTCATGGTTATAGAGATAACTACTGCTATGTTTAAAACGATTACGAGTTCACCTAATGTGAGGACGGAACGAAGACTCTGTAACACAACAACAGATAAGCTAGCTATTTTGACGCATTCCAGACCCATTAACTAGAGAGAGAAGTTCAAGTTCGGGAAAGGGAAATATATTCCACAAGAAGCCAGAAACATGAGCAATCACAACTGACACAAATCAAACGTATATATACACCATAAAATTATTCTTGGGAGGCGTTAAAAAATAACATACTAAAAGATACAATGAACTAATAGTGTTTAAGATCCTCCCAAGTGGGAGGTAAAAATGAGCGCTTTTAGCGCGAAAACATGAAATTCAAAATCTTGAAATTACAAAAATAAGGTATTTCCCAAGTGAGCTCTGGGGATCTAACATCCCCAACAAATACATTCAAAGTTATCAGATCAATGATGATCTGAATGACCACATTTGAACATTTTAAAAACAGAAAATGATTAAGTGAGCTAAGATTTGAAGTAGAACTACAAAGAACTCTTGAGTGTTGAATATTTCTCCCTCTCCCTCTCTTTATGTCTGGGTTTTACTCGTTTGTTTGTTTGTTTTTTCTTACTGAAGGTTGTATGATGTAATTAGAAGTATCCTCGAGACTATCTAAAAAAAAAGAAAATGCTTATTTGCCTATGCTTAGCTATTGGTGTGATAACTATTATGATATAAATAAATCTAACATAAAATTAATGTCTATGGAAAAATCACTAAACCGTAAAGGAAATGTTCCATATTGAATTTTTACACTTATCAGTGATGTTTTAAAAGTTAAAGAGCTATTCACAATGTAAATATTCAATCATGCATTAAAAATGGATAGATATCTAATGGTGATATTAAATATTGATTGTACAATACTGATAAATTAATTTCAGTATATGGTTGTGGAGATTATTAAGTTATTGATTAAGATCATGAATCGATTGATGTTAGAACACCATTCAAAACCTTGCAGCAATGGACGGCCGTTTCGTCCTATTATAGGGCTCTTCAGCAGTACACATTCACGATCCCGCTCCACATTTGTAATATTGAGCAACTTACTCAAATCAAAAGCTTTGTTTTTCAATACTTTACTGGTGTTTCGATTAACAATCAGAAATTAAATATAGAAGTTAGACATTAACACCGTTGGATGCCGACTCAGTGGTCTAGAGGTTAAGCGTTCATGCGTGAGACTGAAGGACCTGAGTTCGAATCTTGTTTGTGAGATCGCTGATACTCGTTGTTGAGGAGTTCCACAATAAAACGAAACAGCCGCCCAGTGCTTCCAGTTTTTCAATGAAGAGTTACATCATTAGTTAATTACCGAACGACTAAATATCTGAATCCTAACCGTAAAATATTGAATATCCTCTTTTAGATCATACATGTAACATAGGGAATTCCATTTTGAGATGAAACAATTGTTTATTTTTACGTAGTTTGTATTAGTTCTAAGAATAATTTCAGTTTGTAGTTAAAAATCCTTTCCAATCAACCAAAACTATTGCAAATCACTTGATAACATGCATTTCATTGTCCATGAATAGTAATATATAAAAGCTATTATCTAAAACAGTGAATACAAATACATATGAACATATATGGATCATATTGTAATCAAACATTGTTGAGATAGACCATATTTACGATTTTTATTCAGCATATGAATTCACTTTGAATAGTTTGTTTGTTTGTTTTTTTTTCTAATCGATCAGTCAGTAATTCAGTAAAATATGAACAAATATACATCTGTTCATATTATCAAGATTTACATCAACACAGTGGGGAAGAAAATTAACAGGATAAAAATCAAAAGAATATCAGTAGGTGAAAACTAAACATAAAGAATAACTAGGATTATTGAGCCGATGTTGTAAGGTTGAATTAGCCAGACTCGCAAATGTGATTTCAAGGTCATGATGCGTTAGTAAAATAATATGGTTGTTACTTGCCAGAATATTATCATCACTATATGGTTGTGGTGACTATTAAGTTATTGATTAAGATCTTGAACCGATTGATGTTAAACCACCATTAAAAGCCCGGAAACACTGGATGGGCCGTTTCGTTTTATTGTGGGACTTCTCATTAGAGCGCAATAACGATCACGCTCGCAGGATTCTGACCCAGGGCCTTCGGCCTCTAGACCACTGAGTCGGCATCCAACGGTGTAGAGACAGGTATCTACCTCAGTACAATAGAGGATGGTTGAGGTTAGATATTAACACCGTTGGATATCGGCTGGCTCAGTGGTCTAGAGGTCAGGCGTTTGAGAGCGAGACTGAAGGGCCTGGGTCCGAATCCCACGGGCGGGGTCGTTATTGAGCTCTACTAAGGAGTCTCATAATAGGACGAAACGGCCGTCCAGTGCTTCCTGGCTTTCAATGGTGGTTATCGTCAATCGGTTTTTGGATCTCAATCAAGGATCTTATCAATTTCACTGTTGATATCGAAATTTAATCTTATTATGAAATGGTTGTTGACAGATTTCATTGCGTATAACCTATATGGGAAGATAATAGTAACTGAATTTAACTATATCCACGTAATGGCTTCCAGGAGAGAATGATTTGAAATCGTATAAATCAGTTCCCATACAGAAAACAATTACATTTTATAATGCGAGAATTTACAATGAACCATAAAAGCTTTGGTTACCTTGTAAAAAGTGTATATAATGCTTAACTTTATTCATTGTTTAGTATTTTGACCTGTTTTTAACTGAATAGTAATGAGACTAGAATTTCTCTGTGTTATTCTAACAGTCATTTGTGTTTGTGTTTATCAATTAAGTTCAGCTTACAGTTTAACAGAAACAAACGTAATCGAGGAATCGAATGCATAGACTAACATTAAAATTCAATATTTATGGCAACATACAGAATTAATACATCTGTGCTACTATAACTGCTTACGAGCCATGTTATCCAGTCTCTGATCGCAGATTATTATAAATAACTCGAGATTCTTTATCAAGACCTTCACACCTACAACTATAACCCAGTCCTTAACACGAAAAATCATTGTTTATGATTACCGCTTTGTTGGTGAGGAATTCTATAATTTTGGCCGTGGTGAAGGTTATCTGTTCATTAAACAAACTCCAGTTATTATAAGAGAGGATGGATGGCCGTTAACAGTAGAATTCAGGACGCGCGTTTCGTCCTATTTGAGACTCATCACGGGATGTACACGCATTCCAGAGTTGATGTTCACTCCGCGACTCAAACTCAGTACTGTTCGTTTCAAACGCTATCGTGTTATCCTTAGTTGCTGAGTTCTGATAACCACTAGAGACTAATCAATTTCAGTCCTAAACATCAGTGGGAATATTCAAGCAGACAATACAAAATGGATTAAAGCTTCGCTCCAATGCACAAGCTAGTATTTAAAGCAAACGACACTGGGTTTGAGTCCTGTAGTGGACATCAACGTTGGAATGCAGGTACATCCAGCTGACGTGTCGCTAATGGGACGAAACATACATCCTGGATTTCACTGCTAGCCATCATCTATCTTTGTGACTCAAGGTAGTATTGAGATAATCCTCTCGTTATGCACATTTACCAATGAGTGACTGATCATTTTCAATTTTAAACATCAATGGAAAGATTTAAACAAAGTGAATTAAAACTTCAGTTAGTAAAAATGGAATTGAATTCTTCATGATAACTAGTTACAATTTTCACATTTCTATTTATTCATGTTTTTAGAATTTACTACTTTTTTCTTATTAAGTAGTATCATTTACCCAGTATCATAATTTTTTTTTCATGTTTTACTATTTAGGTTATATGAAGGTCAATCACAAAATTTACTAGTACTAATTATCATCAATGCATCTCTGATGGAAATAATGCAAATTAATTGAAATATTCAACTTATGGTAAGTAAATGAATATTTTATTTTATAAGATTTAAGTTGATTCAATTTAAATGTTTCATGCCAGATCTTAGGTTTGAATAATTTTTTCTGGTTAGCGTTTTTTTAGCGAGTTAGTTTTCTACGGGATGAGTTTGCTAACCCCATGTCCAACTCTCCTCCTTTATCCGGGCTTGGGACCGGCAGTAGCCCCCGGAGGGACTCCTTGTGGAGTTCATGCCAGATATACAACTGTCAAATCACTGTAACTGAACTGATGAACAGCGCCAAGAATGAACACTATATATAAATATATGCTCATTACTCAGTGAGAATTAAGAAACTATTCAATCATAATAGCTATATTCTAATATTTAAATCTAAGATTATTTTTAACTGATTATTTAGTGTATAGTGGCTAGCAGTGGAATCCAAAACACGCGTTTCGTCTTATTTGGGGCTTGTCAGATGGATGTACCTTCATCTCAGAGTTGATGTTCATTCCGGGGCTCGACTCAGTGCCGCTCGCTTCAAACGCCATCGCGTTAGGAAGATACAAGCGAAACAACACCAAGTGAATTTGAACTTCACCCCATTGAACAAGCAGGTGGCTATCAGGACTTAGTAGCTAAGTGGATAATGCAATGGTGTTTGAACGGTTCTGGGCCTGAGTTCTGGGGTGAACACCAACTCTGGGATGCAGGTATGTCCAGCTGACAAGTCCCAAGTAGGACGAAATGCGTGTTTTTTCGATTCCACTGCTAGCAACTATCCATCTTTGCGTTAAAAATATATTTGTTAAGATGGTTTAGTAAACATCAAACGGTTTTAAAATTACATCAACCTAAACATAGTTAAAAGCAGGGTCGAACCTATGTCCTTCAATCTTCATAACAAGTATGATATCAATGAATGCAGCTTAACACAGAATTACTAATTCATACAGTTGAAGAATCTTAAACACTTTTGAAAGTGTTGATTATTGCTTGCTAGTAGTATCCTAAAACCAAACTGATCAAAATAAGTCACTACTCTAGAAATAGATTTGAATATCGATAAAATGATAATAAACTTAATATTATGAACTCGATTCAAGTAGATTTGTATAGTTAGATGGTGGTTGGACCCGGGTTTCGTGCTACTTGGCCACATTGAAACTTGGTAGATAGCATCCAATTTGCACTAAGAAGGATTAGACACACATAACATTGACCATCACCCAGTGATCAATCATTTGCGATTACATCCCAGTCCTACAGGAGGTCGGTCACGGCCCGGATAGTTCAATGGTAACGTTTCTGATTATGAGGCTGGGTGACGCGGGATCGAATCCGTCAGGGAGCAACAGTTCCCCCAAGATTACAGGTACACCTTGATGACAAGTGCTAAATAGCACGACTTCCTCCAACCACTATCTAATCTCAACATAGTGCACGCAATCTCGAATCACTTAAACTAGTGGCCACATTTCAGCTTGGTCGATAGCATTTGATCTGTACTAAGAAGGACTTGACACACATAATATTGATCACCAACCCGTGATTAATCAATTGTGAGATTTATATAGTACTCTAATGAATATGAACAAATAAGTGAGGACAACTCAATGTATTTGAATACAAAATTATAGAATCATTTAGTAAAATCTAAGAATTATACAATAAATACATCATTTACAAAATGTCAATCCATTGTTCTTTAGTTATCACATTAATCATTCTCTATTCTCGTTCTATTTTCTTTGATCATCTTAACTTTCTGTCATCAAGTATTTCACTTTTCATTGATGATATATACTACTTATATCTATCGACATCAGTAACACACACCATAATACCCCTGAAATTAATACTTCTCTCTATCTATCTATCTATCTATCTATCTATCTATCTATCTATCTATCTATCTATCTATCTATCTATCTATCTATCTATCTATCTATCTATCTATCTATCTATCTATCTATCTATCTATCTATCTATCTATCTATCTATCTATCTATCTATCTATCTATCTATCTATCTATCTATCTATCTATCTATCTATCTATCTATCTATCTATCTATCTATCTATCTATCTATCTATCTATCTATCTATCTATCTATCTATCTATCTATCTATCTATCTATCTATCTATCTATCTATCTATCTATCTATCTATCTATCTATCTATCTATCTATCTATCTATCTATCTATCTATCTATCTATCTATCTATCTATCTATCTATCTATCTATCTATCTATCTATCTATCTATCTATCTATCTATCTATCTATCTATCTATCTATATATATATATATATATATATATATATATATATATATAGTGTTACGCAACTACTCTGGTACAAATAACAATCTATTAATAACCTTTACACCTATAAAAGTGATATGTATACATTTGTTATCTGTGAAACATTATTGTTTTGTCAATTAATTAGGTTAGAACATTGATGTTCTTAATTGAATGTGTAAATCCATATATATATATATATATATATATATATATATATATATATATATATATATATATATATATTCTTTTTTAAAACATTTCTTGGTACTATGCCTCTCCGAATAGTAATCTTTATATTAGTTCAAGTGAAAAATCTTTAAATATAAAACTTTATGATGAATCAGTTAGTTAAGTAGTTTCACAAATGGGGGCACAATGGAATTGACAACAACAAAAAAAAACAACCCAATAAAACCAATCAATAATTTTTTTAATCTTAATAATACTTGATTAAGTCACATTATTATTATTATTATTATTATTAGTAGTAGTAGTAGTAGTAGTAGTAGTAGTAATATTGATTTAAGGTGGACTGACCAATGTACATGAAATAGATGAGTTAATACTGATCACAGTACATATGATAAAGTATGCTTCTGAGTGAAACTCTACTTTATATATATACCATTGTTGATATATCGATTAGTACTATTAGTCTAGATCATAAGAACTTGTCCAAAGTTTTTGATGAGTATTTAATTAATTAATTCTATAATGAATTAATTGAATATTATCATAAATGATTAGATATCTACTTATAAGAATAATAGTAATATTATCATAATTGAAATGTTTCATTCAAATCATTATAATAATTTAACATTATATCGATTATCATCAATGGTAAGTTTATGATGTTTATATAGAGAATATAAAATAAAATTGATCTATTCAAATGATATTGGATCATTTATTTGATCTGTTTCTGTTTTTTTTTTTCTTTCATTTTAGACTTCATCTTCTATAATTTGTGAATCATTCAATTCAGATATTCCATATTCTGAATTGACTTCAATTGATTTAAATACTACGAATACAATTACATCATCTAACATCATAGATCCTATTACTACTACTATTACTACTCCTACTGCTACTCCTACTGCTACTCCTACTACTCCTATTGTTACAAATGATATAGAAAGTAATATAATTCATGAAAATAACAATATACCTGTACGTTGTAAATCATTAGAAATAAAATCAACTGAAAAATCATTAACAAATTCTACATCAAAGAAACGTCATCGAAGTACTGTTGAAAGTCAATGGAATCGTTCAAATTCAATGAATACTTTAACAAATTTAAAATATCATCATACAAAAAATAATTTATGTTTACCATTTAATGGAGAACAAAAACATCAAGAAGAATGTATTATAGATGTAAAGAAACGAAAAACTGTGGATGATAATGTAAGTAGTTATTATCTGATTAAAATTAATATTGGATTGGTTAAAACTAAACAGCTCAGTGGTTTAGTGGTTAAGCGCTTGCACATGAGACTGATAGGTCCTAAGTTCAAATCTCAGGATCGTGGATGCGCACTGCTAAGGAGTTCAATACTAGAACGAAACTGCCTGTTCAGTGCTGCTAGGTTTTCCATGGTGTGGTCTAGCTTCAATTGACTCATGAATTCAACAATTAAGTATTGCTGCTATTATTATTATTATTATTATTATTATTATTATTATTATTATTATTATGGTGTACAGAGTCGATTATAATCAATAATATCGTAGATCAGATAAATTAATTTTCTAATTTAGAAAAGATATAAAGAAATTAGAACATCTCAATGGTGGTACAATCATAGTTTTGTTTTTATCAGATTCTACCTATAAAAGCCTAATGAAGATATATTACTTTTTAATAAGTAGGTTATTTAATCATATATATATATATATATATATATATATATATATATATATATATATATATATATATATATATATATATATATATATATATATATATATATATACAAGTGGTGTTTAGAATCTAACGGAAAACTGAATTTCCATAGGATTCGAGTTATTGACAGTGAAAGAAATCAATTAATAAATTGTATCTAGTTTTATCTTAATCATTTGATATAATTTAATTGGGTCTTGTTGAGGGACTTATGTCGCCTAGTACAGTTGGTTGAATAGTTTTCATTCGGATGATAGTTTTTGGTCAAACACTGTAGAGCCAGTGAAATCTTACTGAACCCTAGCCAAATCATCATGCAGTTGGGTCACTGAATATCGAACAGTTTATCAATCCCCGTCTAGGTCAGGGACAACCAACACGCATTAGTTAGTCGTACGTCACGGACTGGCCCATGCGGTGGTGGTCACGCTTTCACTTGTACCTACTTTAAATAATATATTTCTTCAATAACTTCCTTTGTATTGCATGGACTTCAAAACATCCATAGTACCTTGATACGATGAAGGGGTAATCCATGTTGGGTGCTGACCACGAAGTATGACTTTGACGTTAGCTGTCGGTCACAACATTCTCGTCTAATTTGAGTAGGCCCTCAATCATTCAGCATAAATCATCTACGTTGGTGATCTACAAAATGTTGTTTCGTTACTTCTATTAAAATATGCATGAAACTTTGCTATTGATTTTCAATAAAATCATGTGGATACTTACTTCAGTTATCTCGCAAGAATTCATTCAAGAAGTATTCTTCAAAGTAGATTAGTTAAATCTGATATTTTTTTCTTGAAGCTAACTAATTGTAACTAAACTATAACTTTCTGTAATGTTTACCATCGTTTCTTGTTATCATTTATGAAAGATACATTTGTTGATATCATTAAGATGATTTAAAAAAAAATCGAATTCTTAATTTATTCCTCGAGTAAACACTAATTCTGCTATCCAGATACATCCAGCTAACGAGTCGCAAGTAGGACAAAACATTCGTCCTTGATTCTTCGGCTAGCCACCATTCATCCCTAAAAATTCTTAGTTGTTTGCGAACGAAGATAGTCTGTATGAAATGATATCTGGAAACATATTTGATAATCGAATTGAACAGCTGTATAAATAGTAAACCGATATATGTTGTTTATTTAACCTTACTGTCACCATATCTAACAGAAGTTTATTATCAGTATTATTATCATCTTGTAAAAATAAGTAAATATATTTGCTATTGTACAGCTTTGAAAATCAGTTCGCCGAAAAGAGAACTCTAATTTAAATCGCATATTTCTATCAATTGACTTACTCATGTAAATATGCGAAGAAATATAGTTCATTTACCAATAGCAATGTATTATGTTAAGAAGTAAAGATGGTTGGTTACAGGGAAACCTCTCCAATATATATATTATTAATTTAACTTTTTCATGGATATCACTTATGCAGAGAAAAAGATGACCATTTTAATAACTTTGGAAAATTAATCACAAGAATCAGATAGCTACGTCTTTTAGTTCCCTTATATTATATATTTTTACCCTAAATATTGATAATACGATTTGATTAAAGATTCTTGTTAGGAAGCCTTGCATGATACAGGGGTTTTACACTAGTTAGTATTTAGCAATCTTGAGGAAATAGATGTTTCGTATCAGTCTCAGATTCGTGTCAACAAATACCGTTGACACTTCATGTGGTAACCAACCTCTTATAGGAGTGAGGTGTGTACTCACTAATTGATCATTTGGTAGTATAAAGTAAAAGTTTATTTCCTAGTCGAAATTCTTAACTGTAAACCTAAATCCGAAATGAAATTCCTAATTCTAACTCCAAAATCTAGCACTAACTATTCTTTTTTTGGTTTTTATTCAATAAATTATTGGTACATATCACCTGCACTTTAATGTACTAAAGCTTAACTTTACGTTCTCAAGGTGATCTCAAAAGCCAGTCAAGGTTGTCATTGAAGTATCATTTCATCATGGTAAACAGTGTCATGTTGCCTACTTCTTGATGTTGGTCGAACTCAACTGATCAGTTTAGCAAAGTTGATCGCTTAATCTAGTGGCCATACTGCAACTTAATAGATATAGAATATTTGAGCGAACAATTGTTTTCAATAACTTCATCATCAGGCTCTACAGTTATAAGTCCATAATTATTGTGATATTTTACAAAGGCCAAAAATAAGGCATGTATTAATGAAATTTGACAATGTTATGTGTTAAAAAATTGGTGCACTTTTGCATCTGTTACGATATATATATATATACTTCAAAATGGTATTATTTGTAAATGAGAAAGGTCATTCAATAAAGGTCAAGCTGATTTGGAGTAAAGTGTTCAATCAAAATAAGTAGAATAGTATTATAGCAAAATCGAAAAACACAATTGTGTGAATAGAATGCATAGTAAGAGAATTTCATCTTGTCAATTGGGATAATAATAATAATAAGATTGTGGTGTGAATATAATATGTAATAAGGGGGTAGGGGGTGTTATCAAGGTAACTACGATCAACGAATTGGGAATGATAGATGTGAAGATTAAGATAGGGATAATCAAAATTAATGATAATAAGGAAAATAAATAAAATTAGGGGAAGGGGGTAAGAGGTTTAAAATATTCAGACTAGGTATTCGGTGATCCAGTCCTAGGCCAAGGTAAACATAGAGGCTGGATATATTTTTTCTGGATACATAAATTAGGTCTTCTAGAGTTGATCCAGATGGCTTCGGCTATGTAAAGTAGACGTAATCTAGCTCCTTGAGGTAGATATTTTGGAACTTGATATAAAACAGAGAAAGCTTCCTCTATTTTGATATGATGTTCATTATCTACCAAGTGTGAAAGAATAGCACTGTTAATAGATTTAGTAACTCCTTTTCCCAACCATGCCGGCACATGTTCACGAACACGCAAGGATAAAGCCCTCTGAGTACGGCCTATGTAACTAGCTCCACAGGAGCAGTTGAATTGGTATACACACATGGAGGAGCCCATCTTCGGTAACCTATCCTTGATTAGTTGTGTGAGTACTGGTTTAGTCGAGAAGATTATGTGTAACTTGGCAGCATGAAACGTCCTTTCGACCGATCTTTTGAGTCGGCGTGTTAAAATCTCACCCGCTATATCCCCTTTAAAGTCAAGTCTCAGATACAAGGTCTTTTTTCTGACTGTTTCACAATGTCTTCTTTTCTTATTACTTTGTACGAGGTATTTTTTGACGAAATTATCAGGATATCCATTATCTCGTAATGTATTCTTTAATATATCTATTTCGTCATCTACACAGTCTTCAGAACATAATAAATTGATTCTGTGGCTGAGACACTTAACCAAATTTATTTTATATTGAAGGGGTGTGAAGCTTTGGAAATGGGTATACTGACCCGTCCATGTACTCCTTCTAAATATATTTCTCTTTATGGAGCCATCTATCCTTCTAGAAAGTAGGACATCCAGAAAAGATATACTATTGTCTTTCTCCTCCTCGCTAGTGAACTTAATGGCTGGGTGGACATTATTGAATTCGTATAATATCGCCTGTTTGTCGATATTTTCGTCGCATATGATCAGTGTGTCATCTATATATCGACAATAATAATCAAGCCTACTTAGGATGTCTTTCAGCGGTCCATTTTCTAGTTTTGTCAGAAAAATATTAGCAAGCATCGGGCCTAGAGGTGATCCCATTGCTATCCCATCTATTTGTCTGAAAAATTCATTGTTAAACTTAAAGTAGCTATTCATAGTGCATTTCAACAGAAGTTCTTTCATTTTACTTATTGGGATAGGTATATCTATTTTCTTTTCTAACAGTTGTTCACATATGTAATCGATAGTTTCATTCAGAGGGATGTTAGTAAACAAGGATGTTATGTCTAGTGATAGCATGGTTTTGCCATTTAAATTCATATTTTTAATGGCATCAACAAATTCAAAGACGTCTTTGACTTTATGCTTAGCAAGTTCTTGGTGTAATGGCTCTAATAACTTAACTAGCCATTTTGCTGTTGAATGGTATGGTGAATTTGCCATATCCAGAATCGGGCGTAAAGGAACTTCAGGTTTATGAATCTTAGGTAGACCATATAGACGAGGGGTATGTGTTCCAGAAGGCTTGAGCGCGTTATAAGTGTGCTCAGAGATGTATTGATGTTGTTTTAGAAATTTTAATGCTGTAGCTAGTTGACGTTCGGTCTTTTCATTGAGGTCTTTACCTGACCCCAGCTTTTGGAATTTAGTTTGATCACTCAGCAGGGAATTCATCTTATCTATGTAGTCTCTCTTGTTTAGAATTACCGTGCCCGATCCTTTATCAGGTTTGGTGATAAGAATGTGTTCATTCAACTTGAGTTTCCGGATAGCCTCACGATGTTTATCTGTCAATATACTATTTGTGTAGTGCTTGTTGCTTTTAAATTGGTTACAGCAATCAACCAGCGTGGTTTTGAATCGTTCATGTTCGACCTTTGTCGTGGGTTTTAAGTCTTGTGTCTGGGTAAATAGGTTCTCGAACTGAACATCAGTCTTCAAATGATCAACATGTCTACGACTATCACAAAACTTAGGACCTAATGATAACACTTCTAGTTGAATCCTATCAAGATTAACAGAGGAAAAGTTGAAAACATACCGCTTACAGTCGTCTGGAAAATCCGGTTTAAATATCTGGTTGTCTAGTCCTTTGATTAGGTCGACTCTTTTTTTGTTTTCCCTCGTTCTTTGCACTTCGAGGACATAAGTCATAAATAAATCCTTTAAGTTTGGGGGAAGATCTTCAACAGCATATAATCTCTGTGCAATATTCCTTTCTAACTCAACAATATACGTCTGAAGAGATTCGATTTGACTAAGTGCGTATCTTTTCAGCGACTTAATATTCGGTTTAATTTTACATCGGTGTAAGGATTTGCAATAGTCTTTCGGGTATCGGTGTGTAACAGTGCAATTACGGATAAAATCCTGATTAGTTTTCGCTTCTGTGAGTTTCGCACTATACTTCAGGAACTCGTTGAGTCCCTTCAGTGCAACTGGGTGCTCACTAGATTTCAGCAGTTTAAAAATCCCCATAGAATATTCAAAAATTAAGAATATTTGAGCGAACAATTGTTTTCAATAACTTCATCATCAGGCTCTACAGTTATAAGTCCATAATTATTGTGATATTTTACAAAGGCCAAAAATAAGGCATGTATTAATGAAATTTGACAATGTTATGTAAAATATCACAATAATTATGGACTTATAACTGTAGAGCCTGATGATGAAGTTATTGAAAACAATTGTTCGCTCAAATATTCTTAATTTTTGAATATTCTATGGGGATTTTTAAACTGTTAATAGATATACTTTGACCAGTACTTAAGAATACGACATTTGTTATCACTTAGTGACTATATCGGTGAGACTATGATTTATGGACGACCTTGGGGCGACCTTGAGAGTGTTCACCTAATAACTAGGACCAAATGAGGGTTATAAACCAATGTGAGGAATAATAATTATGATTTACAGTTGATGGTTAGAGTTGGGAATTAGATTTAGGATTTTCATCACGAACTGACATCAGCTATAATACCAAAACTCTATTTATCCAAACGGATGAATAAATTTCGCGCCAAAATTCGAAACCTGTTATGTTATACGTGATTGGTTCGTCCATAAATTCTACTCTCGGCTCGTAAATCATGTAATTTCAAATCAGAATTAATGAAATGACCATTAAAATTGTTAATCGGTATTCTGATTCTACTTTTCTTTTCATCCATTTTTTCTTCGTAATGATTAGATGCTTCAAGTTGGTTCAATGATACCTGAACCATCAGCAGTTTATAATTATACTACTAATAAAACATATGAATATGAAGAATTAATTCATGATTATCCAAAATTTAAATCTTTTAATCAACAAGTCAATATGAATAGAACATATTCACATTGGATGAATTCATATGAACAGAATGAAAACAATAAAGAAGAATTAACAAATGAACTACCTACAAATCGTATACAATTAAAACAATCAGTTAAAAAAGGCTCCACACGTGATAGTATACCAAAAACATTGACTAATTATGATAATAATGGTAATTGGAACACTTTCAATGATACAATGAATGTTAATCATCATAAAGATGAAATAGATAATGAATTATCGTCTGCATCAGAGCTTACAACTGCTGCATATAATGTTAGTTAGTGAATTTATTAATGAAGATTGTTTTATTATATAATTTGAGAAGAATTTTTATTATTGACTGACATAGTACTGGGTTCACTGTGTGACCTTGAAAATCTTGAGGGTTGATTTTGGGTTTGAAGTACGCAAGTGTCACGTAGTCTATAGATCTCAAACATGGATAAAACGGATATGTTCAATTTTTGATTAAGATCATAAACCGATTGATGGTAGACCACCATGGAAAGCCTGGAAGTACCGGACTTCCATCCTCAGCAATGCACATCCACGATCCCGCTCGCGGGGTCCGAACTCAGGACATTCGGTCTCGTGCACGGACTGAGCCGGCATCCAACGGTGGTGGTCTACAGGTTAAGCGCTCACGCGCGGAACTGAAGGCCCTGGGTTTGGATCTGGCGAGCGGTATCGGGGATGCTCACTGCTGAGGAGTCCCACAATCGGACAAAACGTCCGTCCAGTGCTTCCAGGTTTTCTATGTCAGTCTAGCTTCAATCGGTTTTTATCATTATCTTTTAAACATTAGTATTCTACTAAAAAAATCAGGACTTGTCATAGCGATTCTAAAAAAATATGTTGGTCCTTGAAGTACGGAAATCATCGGCTTTTTCAGTTAATGCACTTATTTTAATAGTTGATACTGTTCTTAAATTCTCTTTGATTGAACCGATATGAAGATCAATTGAAGAACCATTGAGCGTCAGTGATATGGAACGGAAGATACTTATATTTTCTCTAAAAAAAATTCGATGCGTTTAAACTTTCAAGCCAGAGTTTAGTGCTTATTACATATCGATTTGAATTGATTCATACTATCAAGTAATTATATTCAGTATATCTTGCGTGTTAATGGTTAGTTATAGTTAATTTCACTATGGGATAGAAACCAACTTCATATGATCGATTTAATTATCTTTTTGATGCTTAAAATTTTGAGAAATACTTCACGGTTCTTAACTGATTGTGAATGGCTAATTCGAACACTTCATCTTAGACTATTGCATAAACATGAATGTTAGTCTTTATATGAATAAACCAGTTTTGAATCACTATTCACCAAATTCAGTATTGGCTTCCAAGCAGTATCATGAAATTTCGCGTTAAAATTAGGCTTTAATTCAATTAAATGAAAATATTCTTGATTAATGAGCTGTCTACCTATGTAGCTCAACATTAACTTGCTTTCATATTATTCTTTATTTCTATGATGAGCAATGACTTTTGATGATATTTTCATGTATTTCATGTAGGAAATTCTAACGCATAATACAGAGGACTAAGATCAGTCAGTCAGTTACAATGTAGGACAAGGCACATATGTGCATCGGTTCACGTTGCCACACCTAACTAGCATAACATGACGGACACCAAATTCATAGAAGTAGTTACTTCAATGGCAGTCATATATAAAAGAAAGATTGTATATAGGGATATGGTACAAGAAGAAAGAATTAGTTCGTAGAAAGAAAGGTAAAAAACAAATTCAATCTCACGGTTTAAGGGAAGACGAAGAGTGTATGCACGGACGCCATTGTGATCTATTCTGAGCCATGTCACCAAGAGTCTCCAACCTTTGGTCCCCAACCAGGTAGTCTGCATCTACCAACATGGCTCAGACTAGAAGTTAGTGACTTCAATCACTGATGCCACGTTTTGGTTTGGCCGCCCCTAACTTTCTTCCAACCATCCCCAACACCGGTTGGCATTGCACGTCGTGTTGATCGGTGTTCAGGAATACGTAACACGTGACCCAATAATCTCAGACGATGTAGATTCACAACCTCGTCAGCTAATTTACCATAATTCCCCAATACCCTGTGTCTAACTTCACTAGTACTTATCCGGTTCGCAGTCATAGAGCAGAACAGAACGAATTGCCACGTAGTATACTCGTCCTTTTATTGACAGACGGATATCTCGCCTTCGCCATAGGTGATGTAAGTTGATAAAGGCCAAACGAGCTTTTGAGATTTGTGCTGAGATTTCGTCAGACACCAATCCATTGGGACAGAGGACTAAGATGCTTTCATGGCCGAAAACGTCTGTCGAAAAACGAGACTAAATCTCATGTTTATTGAATTAATTAGTTTTGAACAAGCATCTAAGTGCATGCATGAGATCAAATGCCACACTACAATATCTCTGAACAATGAGGACATTTTGTACAAAGTGATCTTCATCTTTACCCTCAGTGTTTTTTGTTTTGTATCATAATAATTAAGAGTAAAAATAATAATAAAAAAGATGATTCACCGGATGTTTGTTGAACTACCCGGTTTTAATGGAACTCTTTGTGTAACAATTGACGACAAACAGACAGTCCCTAATATAGTGCTTAATGTTTAAACAATTATTGGAGTTTATTAGTCAATATATAAATTGTCGCTATTCAAGTACTGTATAGTGTTAAGAATCATTTGAGACAAGAAGGTTGTTTAAAATGTAAGTTAGTTTTACATTTTGTGGTATTTTTAAACAGTTCGCTGAATATTGTATTTGTTCAATTATGTATATTACATTGTTACTGACTTTTGTACAGAATGGGCTTTATTTACTTACGAAGTATACACAACTAGCAGTTAACATCAAACATACATTTCAAATGTAAAAATTCTTCATTAATAATCTTTACGATTGAGATCATGAACCAATTGATGTTAGGCCACCGTTGGAAACCTGGAAGCACTGGACGGCCATTTTGTCTTACTGTAGGACTCTTCAGCAGTGCGCATCCAACGATCCCGCTCTCGGGATTCGGACCCAGGGCCTCCAATCTTGCGCACGAACGTTTAACCTACTGGACCACTGAGCTGGCCGGCATCCAACGGTGTTAGTGTCTAACATCAACCAATCCACGAAATTGCACGACCATCTTCCATTGTACTGAGGTAGATACCTGTCTCTGCCCGACACGGATTAGCTCCACTGGTTACGGCTTCTCACTAGAACTTCGAGAATTCCCTCACGAAGCTAGTCACTAGTGAGCACATGTGCTCACAATAGGACGAAACGGCCGTCCAGTGCTTCCATGTTTCCAACGGTGGCCTAACATCAATCGGTTCATGATCTCAATCAAATACTTAATAATCTCCACAACCCCTATACTGATAATAATCTTTATAACTTCTTTTTCCCACAATAGAATTTTGTACGTCGTGTAGTTGATGATACATTGGATCGTACAGTGACATTTTGTGAACAACCACGACATGCTATAACAGCTTTAGAAAATATCTGTACAAGAGCATGGCCTCAATTAGAAGTGAAACGTCATCGTAATCGAATACGTGCTTATCTTAAAGCATGTAGACGTAATTCCAAAAAGAATAAAGGTCAAATCAATATGAAAGAACCACCTGCAAATGGTTTGTCAATTGAAGCTCGACAGCTTGTATCAAAAGCGCTAACTTTAGTAGCTGGGGATTTAGACTACTTAAGACAAGTGAGTAATTGATTTATTGGAAGTTAATTAATATTGGTGCAATTTTTATGAATTAAAATTATACTCGATGGTCATACCCCTTACTGCGATATTGCGTAATACTAGTTTAAAATTAAAAACCAAAGACAACAGTGCAAGAGTTAAGTTATACAAAACTGTTAGATTAACAAACGAAATTTTACCCTACTGGAGGGTGAACAAATCAGTTCTGAGGGACTGTTTACAGTGCTATGTGTAAGCTTTATAAAAGTGACATAGGCCCTTGTAAAGAGGCTTTATATGATACTTAAATTGTTGGATATTGATTTGAAAAATTCTGTAGTGCAATCAATATGTAAACGATTAAAGTGGTTTGTAGGGTCAGTCAAGTTCCTTTATATAGTGACAAAACTATTAAGGTATGTGCTATTTATTCATGATAAAAAGTTAAGTCAAGTAAAGTTTTAAGGTTTAGCTCAATAATAAACCCTAGTTAGATAAAACAGTATAGTAGTTTCGTTCAACTCTTCAACAGTATGCATCCACAAGCTCACTGAGGATCTCACAGTCAGCGTTCAGGTATCGCGGTGGGGGTTTAAACACTAGATCATTGATCGACGATCCAATTGTTTAAGTGTCTAACTCCAATCAGTTTGTTATATTTAACAACCATGTTTCTGTTTTATCATCAGGTAACTTTATCATACCAGACATCAATGAACTCCATTGGTCGCAAATTTCCAGTGTTTCTCAGTGTAGAGTTGTGGAAATTTCTGAGTTTTTGACTGAGACCATGAATCACTTGATGTTAGACCACCATTAGAAACCTGGAAGCACTGGACCACCGTTTTTGCCCTAGTACAGGACTCCTCAGCAATGCGCGTTCGCGATCCCACCGGTGGGATTCAAACCTAGGTCTCGCGCGCGAACACTGCCGAGGAGTCCCTCACTAAGACAAAACGGCCGTCCAGTGCATCCACATTTCCAACATTTGTTTAACTAAGGTTAGTTCATGATGTGAATTATGAGAAGAAATAAACAATTCTCATAAACTTCTCTACTGACAGTGAAAGTAAACTGTTGAATTTACTTCTCTTTTCATTTCTGTAGACGATGCAAGCAGAGAAAGTTAAAAATGAATCATTATTTTCTTCATCAAAATTAGACAATTCAAGTGAGAAATCATACTCTGCCACTTCCACCACCAGTAAACGATCTCCTACAAGTTATGCATCAAAAATGAATTTATCTACCATAACAACAACAACAACAACAACAACAGCAGCAAACAATTTAGATTTCACAGATATTTCTAAACAGAGACACGATCAATTTGAAACTTATGGAGGTGGTGATAAGTTAAAATTTAATAGTAATAATAATAATAATAATAATAATAATAATAAAAATCTTTGGAATATATCAAATAATCTATTAAATGATATAATAAACAATACATCATTTCCATTTACTGATCCATTATTTTGGTCAAATTCATTTATTCAAAATACTAATTTAGATGGGAATTATTTAGCCACTGCGGCAGCGGCAGCAGCAGCTGCCACAGCGATGGCTGCTGTTAATCCAGCTAATCTGTTGAAATTATTACCAGCTCCAATACAATTAAACAATAACACATATCCATCAAATAATACTAATATAACTACAACTGCTACTAGTACTTCCTATTCTTTAACTACTTCACCTTTTACATCATCGTCATCATCATCAGTATTTTCAAATTCACCTAGATTATTAAATAATGACAATGTGAATAATAGTGAAAATATCAATGTTACTACTACTACTACTAATAGTAATAATAGTAGTAGTGATTTTGATGCGAAACATGATCAACTAACAACTATACAGGGAAAATATTCTAAACGAAATAAATTGTTATCACATACAACATGGTTCGATGATGATCATTTGTTCCAGGCCAGTAATAATAATAGTAATAATGGTAACAATGGTCACTCCTCAATCCCTAAGTTGAATGAGCATAAATTTATATCATCCGATAAAGATTTCAATATAGAATCAGAAATAAACAGACAATCTAATTTAATTAATTTTTATCGTTTATATTTGTCAAACGATCCAAGTCATAATAATAATAATAATGGTGATTTAACTTACTGTTCACCACCGCCTGCACATATTAGTTCAATTCAATACAGTCCGATAATTAATCAAATATTGGACAGATTAACGGACTCATCATTATTAACTCATGTAAGTTTATTGTTCTTCTTTAGAATTTTTTAAAATCTGGATATGTTCATTTATATATTCTGGTCAAATCTTAGGTTTATACTGATGGACAGGAAAAAATAGTTCGTCAATACTCTTTGGTGTAATTTTAGTGCTAGTGCTCGGAATGTGATTCTCTCCCTCGAAATGCAAAATGTTACTTCAGGATTTGGCTGCATCGACACCCGAACTATTGATAGGGAGTGAAGTAGTTGAGCGTGTCGACCGCCTCACTTATCTTGGAAGTCTCATCAGCCCTTGTGGTCTGGTGTGTGACGAAATCTCAGTACGGATACAGAAGGCTCGACTAGCTTTTGCCAACTTGCGTCATTTGTGGCGTAGGCGAGATATTCGTCTATCGACCAAAGGACTTGTTTACGGTGCAGCAGTTCGTTCCGTCCTACTTAATGGCAGTGAAACATGGCCGACAAGAGTAGAGGATATTTGTAGGTTACTAGTATTCGACCATACATGTCTTCGAAACATTGCTCGTATATCCTGGGACCACCGAGTAACTCAGTTGTTAGGAAACGGATACTAGGTAAGGATGGCAAATCAATTGATGAGGTGGTGAAACTTCATCGGTCGAGATGGCTGGGACGTGTATTACGTATGCCCGACCAGCGACTGCTCCGACGAGCGATGTCTTATGGGGTAGAAGTAGGTTGGAAGAAAGCTAGGGGCGGCCACACCAAAACATGGCACAAATCCATGAAGTCATTGACAGGTGGACTGATTCATGTTGGTAGGTGTAAACTACCTGGTTGGGATCCGCGAGACGATAGCAACCGATGGTTCGCAATGCTGTAGGTGCATCCACTCTTTGCGTTCTCCCAAATTCTAATCTCTTAAATACTTTATGCCTTTTTTTCTCCTTTTAAATTTATTTCATTGGATTATACTCCTTGATTAACATCTTCAAACCCTAACCTTTCCTATTACTGTTTATACTTTTACTACCACTACCACTATGGGATTTGAATTGACAATTGTATCTCTGTGTTAATGTGGTATGGCAACTCGAACTGATGTACGTACGTACGAAGTTGTACGTTGTTGCTGACTGACTAACTGAGTTTTACTGTTGATAACAAAGGATTATAAAGTGAAAGGTTCATTTTTGATATACAGAACATTCATGTTATTTATATGTGTACAATATTCAAACACTTTATTGATTTTATTATGCAGTGAACTCTTTCATTTAAAGCATACATATTCCGACTAGGAAGGATTTCGTTTGGGAATCCATTATTATTTCTCTTTGGTGATAGCTTTCACTTATAAACTGATATTGAATATTTAAATGTATTTTATGAATAACTATCGTACTCTTCTGAATACAAGGCCTCTTTCTATTTTACGCTTTGATAGTGACTTAAAAAATCATTAAGTTGCATTTTGTGCATATTTTCAGATGCCTTTATTTTCACAAAGCAACTAGTTATTTCTATTTGTGAAACCATATATAAATGTTAATTCAATAATATATCCAATATCATACGATCATTTACATACTACTTGGTCAGGACTTTACATAATTAACATCTCTTCATACACAATCATATCAGCTTCCTGAAGATTGATATAATCGAAAATGTGAGCTAGAGAATCATTAATAACTGATAGAATGTCTTGGGGATCGTACAATCACTAACCTATAAGTGATCTGAACTGAAATCTTCAAGCTTCATGACAAACAGGATAGACATTCTTAGGTTATCGAATTCTAATTCAATGGCTACATTATATAACTGCAGTCAATCGATTATATAACGTGGAAATCACCTAATAATCTTGATTTTACCCGTCGCAGTTCCAACAATTAGTCAGTTAGTTATAATCAACATATATGGAATTCGTCGGTTATAACTTTTTACTAAAATGTTTGGAATTTATCTCGATGCTATTCATAGTGTTTTATCTCCCATAGAAGTATTTTTTAAAAATTATACTAGCAATCAGATTATTTTAGATGTATTACGTAAATACTCTAAGCATAGCAAACAAACTTTAGTAAAGTTAGATTGTGTTTAATAGTGATATATACGATGAATATTTAAGTGTATTTAGGACACGTCAGCTGAATATGCCAGTGTGGTTGTTCACACTGAGTTTCGAACCCAGTATCATTGAACTTTAATAGCGACGTGTTATTATCCACCAAATTACTGATTCAAGATAACCACTTACATGTTCGGTGGGTACAATCCAGGTTTATCAAACATTCGTGATTAAAGCAATTAGTCCCTTTTATAAATTTCGATAGAACAATGAGAAGACGGAGTTGATCTGAAAAATTTTTCAGATCAACTCCGTCTTCTCATTGTTCTATCGAAATTCGTGATTAAATTGTGAAATAGAGGCGATCCGCCCAGTTTTTAGTATTAACAATCGAAAAATACCAACACTTACAGACGAAACCCAAACAAATATAATTTTCTTTAAGGGGGTCAGTTTGGTTAAATTTAACTGAGAAAGAACTAATGGATTTATGTCCAATATATTATTTTTAATATTTTATAAAAATCTGAATGCATTTGTATTTCATTTAACAAGTAAACACTACTTATTAGTAGTTCGAATTTAGCAGACAAATAATGAACTTGAAAACCCAATGCAACATGTAACACTATTCGATTGAATCTAATCTCATATTTTAAATTAAGTTTAAAGTATTTCATTAATATGTAGTTGTAGGATTCCATGAAAATTGCACAGGCAGTTCGGAGAGCAAAGTGGCACCTCAAGGTAACGGATATTCCTTGTTGACGAATTCCAAATAACACGAAATCTTGGTCAATCTGGACTTCCTGTCATTGCCTTCAGGAACCTGATATCAAATATAGTACAAACGGCTCTAAGTAACTTAGATAAATAATCAAACTACAGTATGATCGATAGAACTCCAGAAAACTTAATTAATAGACATGATCTGGAATCTAGTGATTAGTCAATGTAAAACACTGTCTTATTAAGAAAGTATCAAAATCAATATCCATCTTAAAAATATTTACGTCTTTTTAAACACTATGACTGTAGTGAGTGAGAACAACATGCAGTAAGTTTTCAGCATAGATTTCAAGCATCAAATGATGGTGAACAAAGCTGATTATTTTGCATATTTTAAGGTTATAAGCATACAAAGAACAGACGTGGATTGTTTAATGTTCGAAAGCAACTTTCATAAAGAATTTCCAGTTAAACCGTTTTACATAAAAAAGGAGTAATCAGTTTTTCTGTCTAGGTCTCCTTATACTTGCTCACTTTTTGGTGCATGATAACTTTTTAAATAATTTAAATGTTTACCATCTTTTTCCCTTCGTCAATTCCTTTTTTCATCTTCATAACACATTGAGAGTTTATTGACGATTTTCTCTTTCTAGATTTAGTGGTTTCGTTTGGCTTACTCTCTTTTTCTAGAATATGAAACTATGACTAAGCAATTTCAGTGCTCAGCTTTCAACCGGCAGATTTCAGATTCGAACTCAAATCCCACCAATTTCTATTCAGTCATATGAATATTTTTAATAACCGTCAAACAATGTATGGTTCAAAGCCGAGTATGCTAATGAAAAAGACTATATAATGAATAGTAATTTTGGGTAGAGGTGCATAGAAACATACGTGGGAAGTATAAACTGACATTAGGATGACAGGTGCAGTAATAGTGATAATAAAATAAGAATTTGAATAAGTTCTTAACATAGGAAGTAGGCCAAAACTGGATAAATTAAACCTTTTGATATAAGTCATTTAAAAATTATGTAATAAGTGTTATAGTAATCATTTTGAGTACATAAGTAGTGAAAAAGAATAAACAAACAGATGGGGTGGATAATTGGTAGAATTGTTTACTAAGACTTATTAAATCAAAGGAATGTTATAAGTTCCCTTTCAATATGGTGACTAGGGTTGTCAACTCGAATCCATATAGTTCCTGATATACGTAAGGGACGAAGTCGAATCTCTTTAGAAATACCTGATAGTTTACTTTAAAAAACTTTGAATGTTTTGGCTCTATGTACCACATGGTGACTATCAACTAAGCATGATGACACAGGCCAGAGTATGTACAAGATTGGGAATTTTTACCAGTAAATTTGTGGTGTGAGCTACTTATATCCACATAAGTAGTATGTAACGATAGTCAGGAATAGAATGTATTTCAGTAAGATATAGAGAAGGAAAGAACGGGAACGGGAAGCAATCGGTATGAAAATGTATGAACAATGAAATCTGAGACGATGGACTGATATATACAAAAGAAACAGTCAAGTTTGAGACAATTGATTGATATTTTGCAAATTAACTATTTACTGTACGGTTCTCAGATTTTAGTTAGATATTCTGTAATTTTGTGCTCAAATATATCCGACTGTCCCCACTCGTGTTCTTGTTCACTACGAAATTATTTAGTGACGATAGTAGGAGGAACCAGAAGGACTACTGAGTCACCTTAATTGTTCCAGACAACAGCATTACAAAACAACTAGATCCAGATTAATGGAGGAAAACTGAGAAACTGATCAAGGTTTTTAAGAGGAGTTAGATGTGTGGTCTTGGTTCCGCTGTTGTTTTTTTCCGCGAACCCCCAGTCGCCAATTTGTTGTGACTTTAAGCCCCGCTAGTTATCACGTGATTTATTCGCCAATCGAAATATGACATATTTAGTCTTAGTACTGTGCTGAAACCAATGACTTTCGACCGGTATGAGCAGCCTAGCGTTCTTATTGATCCTTTGTTCGCCTAGCCCATCCAGTTGAGTCCAAAACACCGATAACAGCTTCTACTATGTGAATCATTTATTTATCCGCCAAACAGACCGCATCACACCATAAAATAAGAAATAACATTTATACAAGATCAAGCCAAAAAGAGGTTGTGATTGTGGGAGACTTTAATCGATAAACTGAACATAAGTTAAGAACAGTAAATCGTATCATAATAGTCTATAAGTAAAAATGAAGCTAATAATAAGAGGAATATAGATATACATAATCTTGGTACTGAGCTGCTATACAATAGTAATGTATATATGATATTAGTCCATTAATAGGTCTCAGAAGTTACTTGTAATTTAATCTTCACTAGGATATAACAAGTAGTATATTTTTTGTTTGTCACGTGATACTAACACAATACGACCAGTGACTGAGAGTTTAATAACATGTGATTAGGCACTCAGTTGAGACGCTATACATAGATTGTCTCATGTTACATCAGACATAACATTCACAATCAAAAATAGGGAACCACGTTATAGAACAGACAATATTTTATTCAACATGATTACAGACAGTCTAAACTAAGTAAGGTCAGAACTCAGAGATAAGGAGGAAATCATATATTTTATGGTATCTGTCTGCTATTCAAAGTCAATGTCCAGTCAAATCTCACTTGCACTAGCTACACATTAGATAGTCAAAATAAAGGATAAAAGCTTAACTCAGAAGTTAATTTATAATTACAAACTTGACTCTTAACTAGTGATTTTTAGGCCGACTTCCGACCCTTTTGATTCAGTTAGAGCAGTCAGGTAGTATCAGATGGAGCGAAATTCACTTATCCTTTTGGCTGAAAAGTTTTGGCATTATAGCTGATGTCAGTTCGTGATGAAAACGCTAAATCTAATTCTCAACCTTAACCATCGACTGTAAATCATAACTATAATTCCTTACACAGGTTTATAATCTACATTTTGTCCTGGACAGTCTCAAGGTCAGTCCGGCGTCGCTCAAATCTCATCCATATATTATAATCTCACTGAAGCATTTTATCACATGATAGGTTTGTGACAATTTAGTTTTTACGAGAACCATAGGAAAATGTTTGGTATAATATTTATCTGAAAATGAAACATACAACTTATAATGATTGTTTCTTTTCTATCACTTAGGATGATGTGGAATTTTTCATACAAAATTATGAAATTACCAAAGTTGCCATTCAACAAGCACGTTGTAGATCAAATTTAATTTTGAAGAAAATTGAAATTGTAGAAAATCAAATTAAATCTTGTTCAACAATCAATTCAAAAACAATGCCATTAAATCTATCTTGATCACTTATATATATATATGTAAAAAAGAATGATTCTTTAGTGTTATCATTGTGACAATTATTTAATGTGTATAAATAATGAGATTGGAAAGTAGAGACAAGGAATCATCTTGAATTTACACAGTGTTATACATTAGAATTCTATAAACAGGAACTAAATCCTGACGAATTGAATTGTAAAAGAAGAAAACAAACAAACAAACAAACATACAAACAACAACAGAATTGTGGTTATTTCATTTTGTTTGTTATTGTTGTTCGTGTTATTTGTCTTCAGTGTGCTGACCTACAAACTATAGACAAATGTCAAAGACGTGTTTTGTTTTTCTTCTTTTTAGTATGTATGTACATTGATTGCTCAATAGTTAGTTATTTTGTGAAATGTGAATTCACTTTTGATTTATTAAACATTTAGTTTTAAAATAAGTAGGTTTTCTGATGTATTTTTCTTGAACAAGTAGCTTGTTAATTGTCAAAGTGGAACAAAGAAGTAGCATGTTTAAAACTTCATGACAAGATTTATGCTTGATAGTCGATTAATTGTAGAACGATTAACCACTGTTTGGTGATCAGAAAATGGTAACGAGAAAATAGCTATCGAACGACATAATGTAGTGTAGACTACTTATTAATCTTTTGAGTAGTATAATTTTGAAAGGTAATTTTTGTATTTAGACACATTTTTCAAGCATTTTGATAATTGGGATATTATTGTATAGACGAAATGATATTTCAAACGTCAATGACTATCCTTCACACATCATTTTGGAAAACTCAGTGCCTCCAAACGAAAAGCTCTACAGATTCCAGTCTTCACTAATACATTTCATATGATTGCGAGACTGATCTAGAAAATCATAATTAGTGGATGATATATCAAATCGAGGAATCTATCCAACTATGATCGTAACTCACTCATAATTAATTGTTTTATAAGTACAGTCTTCCTCATAAACGTTTCTGCTTGTAGAAACAATATGGTAAAAATAGTAGGTCAACATTTTTGTAGACAATAATTACATTTATTAGTATAGAGTTATGTAGATCGTTGAGTTTAGATTGAATATCATGAATGATTAACGTTACATTTATTAAGAAAAAAAAGACAATTAACCGAAGAAAGCTTTCTGAACAATCTTATTTATATAAGCTATACATACGTATTTAAAGTTAATAAATTTGTTATAAATGATGACCTGTATATTAAGATATAATGAAATTGACTAATTAAGAAAGAAAATTCCAGCAAATATAATAACTATAAATATAATAGTACAACAAAGAAAACTCACTTCACTGAATTATCCTTATTCCTCATGAATGATACAACGCGACTCTATATACATTTAATTATATGGTTTACTGGCCTACTTACGCCCCCAAATGCACTGCTGCGGCCGAGAGTGGGGAGAGTCCGCTCTCCCTCTCGAAATGCTCTCACATGGCCACACGTATATAGCCTGAGCCAGGGAAGCCCTACTCACTGCCTTCTCAACGCATTACTGCTGTTTACGAAAATGACCGGGTTGGTGTATACAGACGATTCACCTATTAGGGCTGAAAATCCCTGACTCCAAATCAATGGTGAACATGGGCTCCAGTATCCTGAAGGAACAAATGGCGTATGAACCAATTGTTGGCCACCGGCTACCATGGGGCTGCATCTCCTTACGATGCTCCACTGTCTTGTGGATCAGACCTTCAGGCTGAAGGCTCCGGGTGTGTTCCCCTAAGAAAAACACCTGTTTCGGTTTAGGCACCCGGATAGTATCACAGCCCTCACACAAATCAAATGAGATTTGTGTGGCGCATATGTATTTGGTGCCTCATTGTACCAATATCTATGTGTTCAAATAAAAATAAAAATAAAAAAAAACTACTCACTCACTTGTGTTTACTTAAACTGCCAACAAATATTACAAACGTTCCTTACATTTGTTGTGATTTTCAGATTTATAAGTAGTTTTCTTTTCACACAATTAACTGTAAGGATATAGCTTAAGTCTCGACAGCTATATACATTGGCGGATTTATGTCGTGGGAATGGTTAACATAGACTTATTTTGTAATTAGTTCTTGTTATTATTCGCAACATTTTTTGCATTAATTCTCATAATTTATCGATTACCATTATCGACTGTAAAATTGTTGTTTACAAAAAAACATGATCTTTGATCATCCGTTCCGATTTTGAATCCCTCTTGCATGACACATTGATTATCGCTGATAAATACACTGCTGTACACACATACTACTTGTTCTCAATTATCGTCTGTTACGATAACAGAACTCTGATATATTTGCTGTATATGTTTACAGATCATATGGATATTCTCATTACATGCTTTATCTAGATATACATTTCGGATTATAGCAATCATAGTTGGAATTACTAAATACTTATAATTGTGAATTACAAGACTAAAAGAAACTAGAACATGCCTACTCCTAACAGTTTAAGAAACATCCAGTATATAATTTAAAAAAAGCGAATAATAACAAGAACTAATTACAAAATAAGTCTATGTTAACTATACGCACAATGTAACCGTCAAAAGAAAAACAACAACACGTTTCTTAAACTGCATGTACATTTCTATTCAAGTTTCATTAGTAGTCAACTATTTATGACAATCATTCACTGAACGATACGCTTGTGTGTCCCATGAAGTAAGAGTTTTATTTCATGAATAATAAAAAAGAAGCCCTACAATAATACAATAATAACTCTAGGGACATGACATATTTGTCGAAGTATCATTAACAAGAATTTAAAGTTATTTAGATTGTGTAATTATTATTAATAGGGGGGGGGGAATATCAACCATTCTAACCAAATTACAACTGGATATAATAAAAAAGAAACGGATTCTTATCAGCTATACATTATAATTCAAATAGAGAATGGATAATAACATATAGAGAGAATCTGTTATTAGTTCTGTTAACGGATAATAATAAATTTATAGGCATGTATATGTGATTAAGAAATTATAAATCAAGAAATATTACATAACTGATTCATTCTATGTAATAGGGGTGTTAATTTTCATAATATTTTTCTTGTGTTTGTACGTGTAACTCAATTAGAAAAATAGTTTGTCCAATAGCATCAAAATATCATAGAAAAAACACAGTTGTCAACAAAATAAGATGGGCTAGGTAGGTAGGTAGGTAGAGGGTATTTATAATAATCGGATAACAGTTACTGAAAAGAAGTATACAATTATAATAAAGCAGTATTTAAATGAATCACCACAAATTGAAACTTATCCAATACACAATGTCATTATAAGTGAGTATATTTATTGCTTTACTTCAAAGATTAGAGTCCAAGTGTTCATGTTTAGTCATGGCCAAATCGATCTCATTGATCATTAACTGAAAAAGAATGAGTTAAGAAAAAAAAGCATAGACACCATCGTATAAACACAGTAGTTAGTTATAAACGATATAAAGCCTGGCATAAAAGTGTATCAGCCCATATTGTCAAACTACATTATGACGGCAGGATGAAATTAAGATAATGAATAACAAATGAGTTGAAACCATTGTAGTATTAATGATAGGGAGAAAGATTAAACATTGGATAAAACGTCTTCAACACACTGTTCGAAGTTTATGCGCAGATCCTAACCAATTAGTCTCAATCTACCAAAGTAAGTGGTGGTTTACCACCTCATTAACCCGAATCTTGTACTCTAAGACTGCGGTCCAAAATTGTCAAAATCACGATTAATTCAGTTTTTCTCTCAGATCACTCAAGAAGAAGCCTTCCAACAAGAAAGTGGAAGTTTCTATGCCTTAAATAGCAATTAAGCTAATCTTGTTCATTTTATTCACACAACTAACAAATTCTTTAGTTAGCGATAGGTGCAGATCATCAAGCCGATTTTGAGCCATACTGTTCGAGATATTTGATCATTGGTTCTAACTGTCACGAGGACCCTATCTATAAGTCAATGAATTCATGAATAAGTATTACATTTTGATCTGATCGATTATGAACTTTTCCGATATACTTATATACTAGTGTCCACCATTTCATGCTGGGGTAAAAGATAGTTGGGGGTGTGTGTGCCCGTTAGCGAACAATATCCTTAAAATATTCTGCACAAAGATATGTATATATACTTACCTTGGCTAAATTAAGATCACAGTCAAATTGTTTAGTCCGATGACCTGATGTAAACATTTTTTTCTGTTTTTCTTTCAAACTAATCAAAATCCCACTTTTGTTGATAACTGGCACTTCAGATAAATTTTCTAATGGAGTTTTCCAATCAACTGAAAATGTTCCCAATAAATCCATTGATTCTATGATTAATAGGTCGCTAATAAAATGCAAAACAAAGTATCATAAGCGTTACAGAAGTTTATATATATATATATACCGCAAATAGGGACAGACTATAAATTCAGTCTAAAATTAATTAATAAGTGGGTTTTTATATTTTATGACTCGTTAAAGTAATTTGTTGGATTCGTTCTATCCAACCACTATCAATTAACCTAACTTTGTGTGGATCATATTATGACCACGTGCAATTCACTTTTCCCTGTTAAGGCCTTAAAATTACATTGAAGTTTTGTGTTTGGAACGCTATTTTTGTCTCCTTCGAATAATCCAGACAAATACCAATTCAAATTAATTTGGTTTTATGAAGAATGTTATAACCGATAAAGTTATTCGTTAAGGGATTTATTTCAGTTGAGATATTATTGAAAACCAAGGAGCAATGAATAGCTATTTCAACTTCTCGCTAGTGTATACCCAACACAAATCTGTCAAAGATTGGACCCAAAACCTTCAGGCCAGGTAGAGAGTGCTTAATTATTTAATCGTTCCGTGATGATCATTCAATGTTACTGGTGGTGACCGTTCCATTCTGAATTATAATTCACTATTATGATGTTTTTTAGAGATTGTTCCATCTAAATATATCTTCCGTAAATTGAATTCGACTAAACTAAGCAATCAATGGAAACCAAGAGGGGACTAGACAGACGTTTTGTATTAGTATAGAACTTCTGAACAGTGAATATTCACGATTACACTAAGGATTAAAACTAGAAAACCTATGAGTAGAATGGTGAAGGTGCAGTACAATTTAAACTATTCAAATGGTATTAACTAGTTCATATCTCCAATTTCAGTCAATTTGCGATATTGTGTAATCAGACATCCATTAAAATGATTTTCATTGTAAACTGATAACAAATAGTGAATTAATGAAAGGTAGAATGTATTAGATAACTTAGTTGATAGCATTGAGCAGTAGTAAACACGCAGAAATTATCTAGTCTGGGAGTTTGAAGTTTCCTGGTTAGAGTTTGAGAAGCCAGGAACCCTCAAGGTCAAAGGAGAATAAATTACGCCGAGAAATGGAAACAGATCTAAGAAGAATGAATAACTATTGGATAGAACTAGAAAGGAAAGCCCAGGACAGAGTGGGTAGGAGAATGCTGGTCGGCGGCCTATGCTGCACTAAGAGTACCACGCGTAAGAAAGTAAGTAAGTAAGTTTGAAGTTATTACGGCCCAAATGAACATCATAAGATTCTTGATTCAATCACATATGAGATCGTAGTCGATCAAAACTGATTAAACATTTCAAACGTTAACAAAATAAATTCATTATCACAATTTCTGATTTGTGACGTAGTTCAACACAATGTAATATCAATTAAATTTATCTTTAAAATATACAAAACTCTATGAAATAACAAAAACTGATATATGAGGTTTATATAAACAAGTTAGTTTATTTTTAAAAAATACAATTAATTGCATACTTTAAATGAATTGATAAAAGCTAAACAGAGTACGTTCAAAAGAGTATTTATCATTTCTAGATCATTTTAATTAACTCATTTATCAAGAAAAAATTAGTGTATGTGGTTTCGAACTATACTTTAAATATAAGTAGGTTCCAGGAACAACTGAGATTACACTTAGGTAGTTCTGAAAACGAAGGTGACTCAGATGTTGCTTGGAAAGATATACAGGCAGCTGTGGAAACAGAAGTGACATCTACTAGTGATTTAAACCAAAGGGTTACAAAGAACCAATGGATTTCTTCAAGGTCTATTGCACTGATGGATTCTCGTAAACTCATCCCATCAGGTTATGAACACGACGAAGAGCGTAAAGAAATCAAATCTAGGTTAAGCAAAAGTCTAAGGAAAGATCGTGAGCAGTGGTGGGCAACGAAAGCAAAAGAGATGGAAAAAGCGGCGGCTATAGGGAACACAAGACAACTCTACAGACTAATAAAAGAAACTGGAATTAATAAATCAAGTGTAAGTCAGACTATTTCGGAAAAAGACGACACTCATCTGCTCCCAGTCCAGACGCTTAGAACGATGGGCAGAACACTTTAAGGAGCAGTTTAGCTGGCCTTCAGCTACTCTACAATTACCCTCTATTCCCAGACAGTGTGAATGGAACATTGAAGTAAGTCCCCCATCTCTAGCTGAAGTTCAAAAGGCTATAGCTAATCTGAAACGAAGAAGGGCAGCTGGTCCAGATGGATTGGCCCCAGAGGTCTTTAAAGATGGTGGTCTAGTTTTAGCGATTAGGTTGACTAATATTTTAGCTAAAATCTCGGAGTTAGACGTTATCCCATCTAACTGGTCACAATCACTTATCGTTCCAATATTTAAAAAAGGGTCAAAATCATCCTGTGACAACCACAGAGGGATTAGTTTAACTAATATAATATCTAAAATACTAGCTTCGATAATTTTCGGACGCCTAACTAAGACTTATGAGCTGCAAACACGAGAGAATCAAGCTGGCTTCAGACCTGGTCGTCGATGCATCGACCACATATTCACCATTCGTCAGGTTCTAGAACACAGGCATGCTTATCGGCGTCCGACAATGGTGGTCTTTCTTGACTTAAGAGCAGCATTTGACTCGGTAGACCGCGAGATTCTGTGGCAGTGTCTGTCATTGAAAGGCGTACCTCAGAAGTACATAAACCTTGTGAAGGCTCTTTATTCAAACACTACTAGTCGATTCAGAGCTCATGGCAAACTGTCATCCGCTTTTGCAACCACAAGTGGTGTCCGTCAAGGCTGTCCACTTTCTCCATTTTTGTTTAACTTTATCATAGACATCCTGATGGAAATAACGCTCTCATCGACTGATTTCTCGGGTATTGATCTCCTACCAGGAGGTCCACTTATTGACTTAGAATACGCAGATGACATAGTCCTGTTTGGTGAAGACGCTGATGAAATGCAGAGTCTTTTGGTAGCACTGAGCAACAATGCCAGAATGTTTGGGATGCGCTTCTCTCCCTCTAAATGCAAGTTGTTGTTTCAGGACTGGTCTGCGTCAACACCTGAACTAAGGATAGGGAGTGAGGTAGTCAAACGTGTTGACAACTTCACTTATCTTGGAAGTCTGATCAGCCCTAATGGGTTGGTGTCTGACGAAATCTCAGCACGGATTCGAAAAGCTCGTTTGGCCTTTGCCAACTTACGTCACCTATGGCGAAGGCGAGATATCCGTCTATCAATTAAGGAACGAGTATACTACGCGGCAGTTCGTTCCGTCCTACTATACGGCTGCGAAACATGGCCATTAAGAGTAGAAGATACCCGTAAGTTAATAGTATTTGACCACAGATGCCTTAGAAATATTGCTCGCATCTGCTGGGATCACCGGGTAAGTAATAGTGAGGTTAGACGCAGGGTATTAGGGAATGATGGTAAATCAGTTGATGAGGTTATGAATTTTCATCGACTGAGATGGTTAGGCCACGTGCTGCGTATGCCTGAACACCGATTACCACGACGCACAATGCTAACCGGTGTTAGGGATAATTAGAGGAAAGTTAGGGGCAGCCAAACCAAAACGTGGCATCAGTGCTTGAAGTCACTAACTTCTGGTCTGAGCCATGTTGGTAGATTCAGACTGTCTGGTTGGGGTCCGCGTGACTATCGTAACCAATGGTTGGAGACTCTTGGTGACATGGCTCAGAATCGATCACAATGGCGTCGGTGTATACACTCTCTATCTTCCTTAAATTAAGAGATTAAAATCGCTTCATATCTTTCTTTCTAGGAACTAATTCTTTCTTCCTGTACTATCTCCTTATTTGCAATCTTTCTTCTATATATTACCACCACTGAATTAACTACTTTTATGAATCCGGTGTTGATCTTGTTGTGCTAATGCGGTATAGCAACTTGGACCGATACATATATGTGTATGGTTCTACGTTGTAGCTGACTGACTGACTTAGATATGACCTAGCAATACTACCGTATTATCTAGAACGAAACCGATAAGGCAGGATTGAAAGTTCAACACATTGAACATTTGCCCATTATTGCATATAACGAAGAAATAAACGAATTAGTAATCCAGTGTACAACCAAAACTTTTGTGAGTGGGCAAGTAATATTGATTATCTGTTCAAATATAAATGTAGTTGAATTGAAGTTTAAACTTAAAAATACAGAATTCATCGCTTCACTTATTCATAGACTATTACAATAAGTAACACCTAAAGATATATATATATATATATATATATATATATATATATATATATATATATATATATATATATATATATATATATATATAATGTACTTACTTTGTTGTTAAAACTAATGCACTATTTCCCCGAACAGAATGAACATGGAATAGATATTGACCAAAAGTACCATCTTTATCTACTTGCTAAGATGGGGAAACAGAGAGAAAAACAAACAAACAAGTGAACACAAATCTGGAATTGATATTAATCACCATCATTTAAGAGAAAAGAAGTTATTCATCTGTCGTTGATCAGGTGTAAAATGATATAAAAGTATAAGAAAATAATCACATGATGGCATTTGTTTTATGTTTATGAAAATAGGCTTTGTTCTTTTAAATAATAATAATAATACACGTTGTACTTCAGCGAATATTGTACGATGTTCTTGAAATCTATCAATCAACATCTTTCTCTCTCTCTCTCTCTCTCTATATATATATATATATATATATATATATATATACCCAGAAAATAACTACAGAACTGCATGCCAGTTAACAGGGATGGTCAGGTTGATACAATAAAGAATGTCACATATCGTGGAAAATAAGTGCAATACTAAATAGTTTAAAGAGACATAAATGATAAACTGTTTTAATCTAATATTTGCAGCAAATATTTCAATAATATCAAAGGTCAGTTTGGAACCAGTATTTTTTTAATAGGCAGACTAGGAAGTCATTTTTGAGGAATGATGTAACAAAGAGAGAGATCATAAAACAGCCTCGTTATTATTACATAAAAATAGACCCAATAATATGTATGCAGAATAGTTTATATTAGACAACTGATTGATCACTTGGTAGTGATCTATGTTATGTTTGTCTAGTCCTTTAGTGTTAATAGAACTCTATCAATTAAGTTGCGATGTGATCACCAGTATAAGTAGCTTAAAATCGGGTGTACTATGGTGAGATACTACGTGGTTGAAAGTAGTCAACAGAAAACTCTGAATCTAGGTTTCGTGCTAGTTAGCACCCATCAGCAATGTATACCTACAATAATGAAGGAAACTGATGCTCTCTGTGGGATTTGGACATTTCAAACTGTGCAGTTAGATGATACAGGTTTGAATCCCACAGGAAGAGTGAAGGTTTCGTTACGTTTACAGGTACCCCATGCAGACAAAAGCTAACTACCATGAAACCTCGATTTAGTTTTCTGTTGACTAGCTGCAACCACTATATATAATACATGATGCACTTAACACAGAACAGTTAAGGATAGAATTTTCGGGAAAATAGGTGCAGTATAACTGGTATATTGATTATGAATTACCTAAAACAAACTTTGTTTGTATGTGTATTTCAATTGGTTTGCAGAAAATTTGTGTAATGTTATTTGATATGGGATTTGAAGGTTATGTGTTTGATATAATGTATTTGCATAGGAGAGTTGTGGTTGAAAAACATTCAGAAGTTTCACACTTGAGGTAAATCAGGTATTTTACTACCCTCTCTTTGTAATTTATTAATGTTGTTAGTTGATATCTTAGTTCGTGATGACAACTACCTTGGAAGTAAGTTGATTGTTACTAATTTTTAATAAAAATAAACTTTTCATCATTTGATATAAAAAAGTGATAATATTGTATACAATAGGATAAAAGTGAAACGTTACAAATGTTAATTCACAAAAGAACTCAATACATTGCATTAACTAAAGTTATTAGCGAATATCACCCATTCTGAATGATTAAGAATGAACGAGCGCAACTGAACCAAGATTTGGGGGGGGAGATGATGCTTAGGAATGCAACAATGTAAACGAGACCTCTACACGCCCATTAAAATTGTAACTGATACATTCTTACTGAAATCGTTAAACAACATTATGCCTTAAATCATTACTGTATTAATTGTTGTTTATATTATTATGATTATGAAGTTAAGGATTACAAATTCAATCGCTTAATCTATATTGATCTTGTGTAAGCACTTTTTACAAATTCTATACCATTTTACTAGGAATTACTACGGATTTAAAGTTGATCTACGTAAACAGACAAACATCGAAGAAAATATTTGTAGATATGTGCATATTGATTGGACAAAAAGTGAACTAATTACAAGCCCAGAAGGTTAATACCAAAATTTAAGTGATTTAATTTCGTTATAACTCTTGCCCCTGTCAGTTATCGCCAACCAGAATACCAACTTTTATGACCTTGGTCCTGTGCTAAATCAACAACATGTCAAACAGCATTACCAGACTTACGCCAACTCTGAATCTTTATTGATCCTTCTCGCCTAACTTTGCCTGTTGCATTCAGAATGCAATCTCACCCTTTAATACATGAATCGTATATTTTAGACATATGTGGTTTATATACAAGCAAACCAGATAGCATCTCATCATAAAACGAAAAATAATAATTATACAAGATCAAGCCAAAAGTGACTGTGAGTGTGAGATCTTAACTAATAGATTGAGAATAAGAATGGTAAATCATTTAACAGTAGCCAATAGGTCATATGAAAGCTTATGATAAAAGGTATATATATATATATATATATATATATATATATATAACATTTAGTGATTGGATTCAATGATAACATTAAAAACTTAAATAGAATTTAAATTGTTTGAAAATAATTAATGAGTTGATGAAGTTAAGAAATTTAGGAATACAACTATCATATCATATGGCCAATAATGAAACTTTGTAGAAGATACTGGCTATTGATAGTAACAAAGCGATTCAGAAATTATCGGACGAAATGGTATCAAGATGATGGTGAATAATTGTAGCTTGAGATGAGCATTTCAAAGGCGTTTTATTTACCGAGGTTGATAGTTGTGAAGTTTTCGTTGTCTTTTTAAACAACATCATCAGAGAAAAGCGCTACATAGGAAAAAGTGGTCGCCCATTGTGTCCACATGTATGTGAACACCAGGTAGATGTTAAAATCCACGAAATAGCCGTGTTTATATCAATACATGTGTGCGTAACTATGGGTATGAATGATTAGGAAAACGTCGAAACATTGGACAGAGGGAATGTAATGAAAGAGAATTTTTAGAAACTTGGCACTCTGGTCACGGATTAACCAAGAGAAAAGTCGACATCGATCCACTTTATTAGCCATTAAGGGAAAGAATAAACAATAGAATACAAGATAATTTAATCACAAATAGGCAAGCATATAATTATGGACAAAAACTAAACGAATTCCTGATCAATAGAATAGACTGCTAGTTAATTCTAATAATTCACTTCCGTTTGAAGCGTGTGCTGATGATGTCATTAACTAAAAATATAATGAAAGCTTCGCGACCTAACTGTTTGGTTCAAAAAACAAGACATCATCGAAATGAGATTAACACTTACTTTAAGAATAAGATGACCATCAGCTTCACGTTTATCATACGGTCTTATAATTCCATCAGAACGAATAAACCGAGGAGGACGAACACGTGAAACTTCTTGTGTTGTATCAGCTAATCTGTTATATAATATAGCGAATGAAAATAAACAAAACTGTAGCGATGATGAAGACAGGATATTAAAGAAATAAAATCGATTGTACAAAGTTTTGCAATATAAACAAAATATCTTCAACAATTAGAGTATTTTTTTATGTGAAATAAATCAACATTTATTTCATAGGAATCAAGTTAGGCAACTATTAAAAACCTGGAAACATTAGACCTTCGTTTCGTTATAGTATGGGACTCCTTGACAATGTGCATCCACAATCCCGTATGCAGAAATCGAACCCAGGACATTCAATTTCACTCTTAGGTGCTTAACCTCTAGATCTGTGAGACAGGTTGGTTGTCTAACTTAGATCAGTACATGATTTCAATGAAATTCAACAATCTCCACAACCCCATGATAAAAGTTATTTCGCAGTTCAATTAACTAATAATTTAGAGGGATAAAACCCTAAAAGTATAATATTCCCATCAAGTAAAATTGTAACATCCCTTTAGAATGTCGAAATAAAAGTAGATTATCAGAAAAGAATACATGAATAGAATTTATTAGATATTTGTTACAGTGATAACTTTTTCGAAGATGAATCACCAAAACAAACCATGAGATTGAGAAACAATCAAGAGTATGCATGAAAAAAGATTAATTACACAGTGATATTCTTGTTTCATGTTCACTTTTTCCCGATATGGAGAACCCATCAGAAGTAGACTAGTGATAAGGTCAATCGATGGCAATCAGAAGTGACCTAAAGGACAAGTGCATTTCATTAGTTGAGAGATGGGTCAATTTCCTAGGGATAGAGTGATATATATATGAATGAGTATGCATTTTATTACTTAGCCCAAAATACTTTGTCGCACAAATAGTCAGTTGGGGGTGGGGGGTTAGTGCATAACACACTGTGTATCAGTATCAAATTTCGAACAACGCTCGTCACAACAGTTTTTTTATGGTAGTAAATGTTAGTATGAATCTTGTAAGTGGAGTAGTTGTTAATTAGGTGATCGTTCTCAAAAAAAAAGTTGATGATAACGAGTCGCTTATACTAACACACATCTGTATCACATTCTATGTTGTATACGAATGACTCAATAGAAATAAATTACCTGCGAATTCCTTCAAATGAACTGCTAGCGAAATCAACAACTCCAGAAACTGGACGAGTTACTGCACCAACAAGACCTTTGCCAAAGCCTAGAAAGTTAAACATAAAAAGCAATTTACGTATGTAAAAAAATCAAAACAGACATAAAAAAGTCTGGATGTAATTTGATTCTTTTGGTGAATCAGATAGAAGCCCGATAACAATGGGAATGAATGAAATACTTGCCCCCAAATTATTGAATTAATGTCTTCTATCGATGAACTGCTCATTCACGCTCACCACAAATAAGTTTAGCGTCGACTCTTGTGCAATGGTTACGGCACAGTTTATGACCATCGCTCTTGTTTATACCAGACCTAATGAGGGGATCTTAAAAATAATCCAGTCCGGCATTAAGGAATAATTTGTTTCTTCAATTCTTTACTGCATAACTTAAAAATCTTTGCTTCATGCTTTTCAGGCAGTTTATATTGACGACAGAGTGGGGGACTAGTTCTATCTTCATCGGTTTCGGTAGAGTAAAGGTAAACCCGGTCTTTACCTAGTCAATCACATTAGTTCATGGGATTAAGGGACACCTTAAGGTGTGGGTTATGCTTTGGCCTAGCATGCATATATATATATATATATATATATATATATATATATATATATATATATATATATATATATATATTAGTTATTTCATGTGGGTGGTTCAAGAATACGACTATCGCTACAGTACGATAAAATCACTCCCATTATTTGTTCGTTGCATCGATGCATACTGCTCCTCTGAAAACGCATTGAATGTTCTAGCACCCGTAAGTGTATCTTCATTCAATAAGTGATATTATAGGAACTTTAAATGTTTAGCCATCTTTATTAGTGCATTCCTTAGTAAAACCACCTACTTGCTGTCACTTTATGTTAACACCGTACCCAGAAAGTTTAACTAATTTGAATAACATCAACAGTATATCACTGTGTCACATGACACATGCATTTTGGTAGACCTGATTGACATATTTTGGTAATTACTGCTTTGTTGTTCCGTGCTCTCTGTTTTCGTTTTAATTTCTCTAGTTGTAGATAATTATCATTAATTCAATCTGGCACACAAAATGATCTTAATTATTCCGTTTATAAAACAACAGGCTGTCCATTTAAGAAAAATTGAAAGTTTCTGGCTGATGAATTGGATCGCTGTAATACATGTACTACCTAAACAATTACTGAACTAGTATACTTAAAACTTTCTTCTATCACATGTTTGTTCTGTACGTATAATGATACTATTTATACCAAATTGATCATGCCTGTAAACTGGCATGAACTCTGTAATTATTATTTTTCAGAATATATAAATCATTATTACATTTAATAATCCCAGATTACTAAAATATTTACCAAAAAAATCCATACCTTTGAAAAAACCTTCAACTCCTTCCCTTTTAGCCCCTTCGAAAGGTTTTGTAACCACTCCAGTAACACCATGAAATACACCCTAAGAAGTAAAAAGAAACCATTATCGTAGATATTTTTTTAAAAGGTACATAAACACTAAAAGTGGTAGACTCATACTAGCTCACCATAACTAAACCTCGACCACCTTGAGCTAGACCGGCACCAAATGTTTCTGGACGTCGTGCTAACTGTTCACGACGTTTACGTTTATATTCTTCATCTAGAGTTAGAGCAGCGATACCTTTACCGAGTGTACCAGTTATACGTGAAACTGCACCAGCTGCCCCACCTTCAAAAGGAAGAAGTGGTGTAGTAAAATGATTGTTATAAATCTTATTACAAATACATTCTTCCTTTTATTAAAAATTACCTATAAGCATAAAAGCTAAACGAAGAAGGATTTAACTATTAACACTAAGCAAAGTATATCATTAAACATAAATGCTAAAGACTTATTTGAGTGTGAAAATTTGTCTGTTACTAATACTTAAGAGGTTTCAAAACATTGACGATTATGTTCTATGTATAATGATAGTAATGAAAATACAGCATTATACAACTTCTGTTTCATTCGATACATTGATAGAAAATTAATTCTTGAATGGAAGATCATATGATGAATCAAGTAAGCAGTTTGAGATATTATTCATGGGGTTCTAAAGAGAATATGTGGCAAGTGGAGTTTAACTATGTTGGCTGTGAACGTTACTCACGTACTTACTCCTGTTACTCCTCATGGAGGAGAATAGGCCGCTCACCAGCATTCTCCATCCAACCCTGTCCTGGGCAATCCTTTCCAGTTCTTTCTAGTTGTTATTCATCCTTTTCATGTCTACTTCTATTTCACGACGTAATGTGTTCTTTGGCCTTCCTCTTTTCCGCTTCCCTTCAGGATTCTAAGTTAGCGCTTGTCTCGTGATGCAGTTTGGTGATTTCCGTAATGAATATCCTATCCATTTCCATCGTCTTTTCCTAATTTCCTCTTCAGCTGGAAGCTGGTTTGTTCTCTCCCACAATAAGCTGTTGTTGATGGTATCCGGCCAATGGATGTTGAGTATCTGACGAAGACAACTATTTATAAATACTTGCACCTTCTTGATGATGGTTGTAGTAGTTCTCCAAGTTTCAGCACGATACAGTAGGATTGTCTTGACGTTCGTATAGAAGAATGTAACTTAGGTATTGGTTGATAGTTGTTTTGAATTCCATATGTTCTCCAATTGTAGGAATCCGGCCCTTGCTTTGCCGATCCTCACCTTTACGTCTGCATCCGATCCCCCTTGTTCATCGATGATGCTTCCCAGGTATATGAAGGATTCCACATCTTCCAGAGTTTCACCATCAAGTGTGATTGGGTTAGTGTTCTCGGTGTTGTATTTGAGGATCTTGGTTTTTCATTTGTGTATACTGAGGTCCACTGATGCAGAGGCTGCTGCTACACTAGTTTTCTTCATCTGCATTTGTTCGTACGTATGGGATAGGAGGGCTAGGTCATCTGCGAAGTCCAAATTGTCTAATTGGTTCTGAGCTGTCTATTGTATGCCGTGTTTTCCCTCACATGTCGAGGTCTTCACAATCCAGTCGATCACCAGAAGAAGGAGGAAGGGGGAGAGTAAACAGCCTTGTCTGACTCCGGTCCTCACTTGGAATGCATCTGTCAGCTGTCCTCCATGCACTACTATGCACTGTAGTCCGTCGTATGAGTTCTGGATAATGTTGACAATCTTCTCAGGAACTCCATGGTGTCGAAGAACTTTCCATAATGTTCTCCGATCTACACTGTTAAACGCCTTCTCATAGTCAATGAAATTGATGTATAATGATGAGTTCCACTCAACTGATGGTTCGACGATGATCCTTAGTGTCGCAATTTGGTCTGTGCACGACCGATCCTTACGGAATCCGACCTGTTTATCTCGAAGTTGAGCGTCTACTGTGTCTTTCATCAGGTTCAGCAACACTCTGTTGAAGACTTTCCCTGGTACTGACAGTAGTGTGATGCCCCTGTAATTTTCACATTTGCCCAGATCTCCTTTCTTTGGAATCTTGATGAGGTGTCCTTCCTTCCAATCCATCGGCACTTGTTCCTCCTTCCAAATCTTCTTGAATAGAAGATGAAGCATGCTTGTAGTTACTTCGATGTCTGACTTCAGTGCTTCAGCTGGTATATTGTCAGATCCTGCTGCTTTCCCGCTCTTGATTTGTCTGATGGACATTCTGATTTCTTCGGTCGCTGGTGGATTGACATCTATAGGAAGATCTGTGTGTGCTGCTTCTATGTCCGGTGGATTCATTGGCGCGGGCCTATTCAGGAGCTCCTCGAAGTACTCTGCCCTTCTGTTCCGCTGTTGCTGAATCTCAGTGATTGGTCTTCCTTCTTTGTCTTTGACTGATCTCTCTGGTTTACTATATTTCCCTGCTAGTTTCTTCGTTGTATCATATCCAGTGTTTCTTTAGCTTCAGTTTCAAATTGGCCACAACCAGGTGGTGATCTGAAGCTATGTCCGCTCCTCTCCTGGTTTTCACATCTTCCATTGTCCTTCGGAACTTTTTATTGATGCAAATATGATCTATCTGATTCTCTGTAGTGTGGTCCGGTGAGATCCATGTAGCTTTGTGTATACGTTTGTGTGGAAATATTGTGCCTCTTATGACCAATGTGTTGAATGCACATAGATTTACAAATCTTTCCCCATTTTCATTTCTCTCTCCAAGTTCATGCTGTCCCATGATATCTTCATATGCGGTGTTGTCTATTCCGACTTTGGTGTTTAGATGTTCCATCAGAATGGTGAGATCCTTTCTTAGGCACTTCTCTATGATTGATTGCAGCCTCCCATAGAATTGATCTTTAACGTCGTCGTTGCTATTATTGGTGGGTAAAATGATTGTTGCTTAGTGTCACGAATTAATTGAAGCTAAACATGTAAATCGTTAGATCTCAATTAATCGGTTCATGGGTTAAACGGTCGCCACGATCCATGTAGGTCCTGAATTTGACATCCCGTAGGATCTTGAATGTACACGATTGAGGAGTCACATAATAGGACAACGTGGTTATCCTAGTTTTCGAAGGTTGCCTAACCCATATCAGTCCATGAAGTGAACTATAAAATCAGTTTCATTGGAATCATGAACCAATCTGATTTAGGCAACTATTGAGAACCTGGATAGCCGTCTCATTCTAGTATAGGACTCCTCACCAGTGCACATCCGTGATCCGGCAAGTAGGAATCAAACCGAGATTCTTTAACTCTGCGCGCTAAATCTTAGTCTCTCGACCATTGAACAAAGTTGCTAGTCTAACGTAGATAGATTCACGCTGTCAGTGAAAGTCAGCAACAACCCCTTACTGACATATAAAATGAATGTTAGACAATTGATGGTGAACTAAACGATCAACTATAAGACAACAATTCAAATTTGACATACCTACAGCATGACCAAGCAAACTTCGTACACCTAGAGTGACACCCTCAGCAAATTCTTCTGGACCAAGAATTGCACCCTATAATAAAATAACAAAAAGTGTGGTGCATTTACGCAGGAAAGTGCAAATTACAAACAAGATTTATGTATGAGTTTTTTATTTAGACTGTCTTCTAGATTATTAACCTTATTTTATTAACTGAGCTTTACTCATATATTCTTATCCACGTTTACTCATTATATAATCATTTGTTTCTAGCCATTTGAACTGTTGTCACAATCAATGTTGTAGAATTTTCTTTTCCATAAAGTATATATTTACAATATTTAGTCTATGAAATTTATTTACAACCTTGCTATACTAGCATTGTCTTCAACACAACTTCCGACTAAACTGTTTAATGTAAGTAAATTAAACCTATTTTGTAACTATGATTTTAAATATCACAGGTTGTAAGCAGCTGACGAGAACCAAACGAAATAAAATGAATTCATGTTATTCTTCTAGAATCTTTGTTCTTGCTTCTCACAAGTCAATTTATCAATTTACTAATCAGAAAACGTTTTGAAAAAGTTAACATACTTTTACTGGTTCATAAAAGAGATCTTCAACACCTTGAGCTAGGCCTCGCAATACACCGAATGGATTACCCAATACATCCAACCCTAAAACTAGTACATACATTTGTCTAACACCTTGGCCAACATAATGATGTGTAATTTCTGTACTCATTTGATTAAGTGTCATGATGCATGCTTGACGTTCGAAATAATCTAATCTAGAAAGAAAGAGAATGAAATTGATGTAAAGCAAAAGAAAAAAAGGAAACATATTTTTTTAACAAAATAAACAGGAAAGAAACATAATTTCAAAGTGCTCCGATTTATCCTGTAGTTATTCTCAGTATAATGATAGATTATTTAAGAAAAATTTCCATTTTTTTTAACATTAATGAACATTGGAAGTTTATATTAGACAAAATATTGACTATACAAATTTTAATAAAGTTAATAGTATCCATGAAGTCACTGACAAGTGGACTGAGTCATGTTGGTAGGTGTAAACTACCTGGTTGGGATCCGCGAGACGATAGCAACCGATGGTTAGAGACCTTGAATGACATGGCCCAAAATCGTTTGCAATGACGTAGGTGCATCCACTCTTTGTGTTCTTCTAAATTCTAACCTTCTGAATCCTTCATGTCTTTTTTTCTCTTTCAGAATTTATTTCACTGGATTATACTCCTTGAATAACATCTTCAAACCCTAATATTTCTGATTACTGTTTATACTTTTACTACCACTACCACTATGGGATTTGAATTGACAATTGTATCTGTGTGCTAATGTGGTATGGAATCTCGAACTGATGTACGTACGTACGAAGTTCTACGTTGTTGCTGACTTACTGACTGAAAGGTATCATTTTAAAGTATATGTGATAATTATTATAAACTTTGTATGCTTGTAACAAGATTATAATGACATTTTGTATCGTGTAACAGGACTGAAATTCATTTGTTGTCTTTCTTTTAAATCCTAAGTTTCTAAATTATCAAATAGATTATCTTTTGTTATTGATTTTATGAATAGTATTCTCGATACCTGATCGTTTCGATTGTCACTAGTACTGTTGCTACCAATACTACCTTGAGATTTTTCCTGAAAAGTTTATTTCATAATAGTAATATAGTGTGGTAACATATATGTACCAGGTTCGATATTAACAATGACAGACTAGACTCAGAACATAAAAGTTATATAATAGATACAAATAATCCATTTATCTACAGCTTTGATTAACTCTTAAGAGAATACCATAAAACTGCCCTATTTATATAATTGAGCAGAATTTCACCATAAGACAATAGTACAAATGAAGTGAATCAATTGTGTATAACAATTTCATATTAATCGAAATATAAATAAAACTCCATATATATATATATATATATATATATATATATATATATAATTGTAAATATGTTTGTGTACTTTCATGTTAAAAAAAACTTATATCATATATATATCTCAGGGTAAAGAAGAGTAAAAGATTATTTTGTTTACGATTAAATATGAATATACAACATAATCTTTGAATATTGTCTGATTGAATCACGAAGCAATATCAGTCCATGATAAACTTGTATTTCAAGAAATAATTCATTAACAGTTACAAAAACCACGAATAAATCGACAGCTTATAGTGATCTCAACCTAATGATGTTAATGGTTAAGCGTTCACCGCGAGACTTGAATGTGCTGAGTCTGGTTCGTGAGTGCACACTTCTGTTCAATGTTCTCTGGTTTTGAATACTATCATGAATAGGTTTATTCTGTGGTAAATACAATCTATAAATTAAACTGATCCTTACAAAATCCCTTCAATTAAGCTATGTAATCTAAGTTTGAAAACGTTAAAAGAAAAAATTTTTAAAGAGACATTGTTATAACTGAGCTTGCTTACTTGAAAACTACATCTTGTACTTCAGTTAATGCTACACCAAGAGATTGCAAGAAAAGATTAAGTACTTCACTCGGGAAAGCCGACGATTTTCCTTCTGTACTACCAGTAAGAGAAAAACTGACGTGTACCTTGTGAAATAGAAAGTTGTTAGAAAAAGAAAATGGTTATAGACTAAAGAATATATCGGTTTTCGCCACCAAGTCTTCCTTCGCTAAAATATAACATTGAAGTAAGACTCGTTAAAACTATTGAAGTTACGTAATAAGACAGTGAATAATACATACGAAAAAGAGGTGAAAACAGTGAACAAGGGGTATGGGGAATGATAATACGTAGAATCGTTTGCTAGGCTTTATTCAGCCAATGAAAAGATAAGTGTAACAAATTTTTCACAAATATGAATAGTTTAGTTGTTAGCTCGAATCCATTCAGCTTCTGCTATGAGCAAGAAATGGGATCGAAGATAAACTACTACATTACTCTATTTACTATATAACCACTAATGATCAAGTGTGATAGAGCGGAGCTGCGTTTCATTGTTATCACTGACTCATAAACTGCCTTAATCGGTTTAATATTTTCATACATCCATATAAATATTAGTGTGCTGGAATAAAGCCGGATGAGGATCTAATTGGAAACAATGTTGTTCGCTTATATACGTTGCTCTGGTTTACAATATGGGAATTTTTAATATCTGGAAAAAACACCTTACTAACTCTTTTTTTACAATTCATATTACCCCACTACTGACTTATCGCTATTATGTGATCAAATACATTTGCTTCATTGACATTGTCTATTCTCAGTTTTAATGCTTGCATGCCTTCTTGAATCTTATCCTTATTTAATTCACCATTACAATCTAAATTAAAAAGTGCCACAGTAAATTCATTCACGAGGTTTGAATGTTCAACTACACTCATTAATATAAGAAAAACCTATCAAAACTTACTTTGATTGGTGAAATATGAAAATTATCAAAAATGGATCGATTACCATCTTGTAGACGAGCTTGTACAACTGGTGAATCAATCAATTTACTAGTGATCAAAAGATAATCATGTTTGAACGCTTCCTCCTAAAGTGTTATAAGATGAAACAAAGTGAAAAGTGAGAAAAATATTAACGAAAAGCAATGGATTAGAATATTTCTCATACTGTTTGAAAAGAGGAAACAATCTCCATTATTTTTATGAGTGATCAATATTACAAGATCATGAGAATTGAAAATATCATCGTGAATAAGAGATTTAGGCTCTTTAGAATCAACATTATTTCTCAATTCTGGATAATATGATCATACAAGGAACAGAGACAATCATAATGGTTATGATGATGACGAAATAAAAAAATGAAGTAGTTAATTCATTGTAATAAAAAAGATAACATTCTCATTCATTCACAATAAGGTAATCAAGACAATTATGGATAGGCAATGATCAGTTGCTAAATTGATAAACAGACAGAAAAAGAATAACCGAAGACACAAAAACTATGAACATATAGGTGTGTGATAAATAACTACGGCTAGAACAAGACGTGAAGTTATTGACTGACTACTCGATTATTATAACCGATAGGTAGAGACGTGTTGTGAAATGGCTCTGAATTGATCTCTGTTGTACAAATATATTCATTTTTCGTCTACACAACGATTCTCTATTTCAAAATTATTTAATACTTTTTATTCTGGGTGTTCATTCTTTATTCTCAAATCATATTGTTTATACCTAATGTTTTCTACCACCATTGATACTACTGGTACTTCCTACTTCGACTACTCTGAGACTTATCTTGATAATTTTATTGTTATGTGTTGATGGAGTGTGGTAACGTGAATTGATGTACGGCTCTGCGAAGTTATGTAGCATATAGCTAATTGAAACGATACATTTTTGTACGCAATGAATTTAACCTAAAGACAACTAGGCAAACTGATTTAAATAAATGGAACAATATTATTCTCTGTGTTGACCTATTATTGATTAAATCAAACTAGATAGTTTATCATTGTCTATTACATATTGATGCTAGGATAGGACATTACCTATATTTACCTTCGGGTAGATGGGAGAATTGACGTATTACACAATGAATGACATTTGTATAATTGACAAACAGACGAAAATCAGTCATCATTACAGATATACACAATTGAAGGCAATTATTTATTGAAATGTCAACATCACGTATTCATTTGAGTAACGTCATCAAACAAACCGAAAAGAAATATACAAAGTGATAAGTTAATAATAATAATTGATCCAGTTAGAAAATACCCCTCCCACACACACACACATACTATCTCAATACAGCAATCAAGTCAACCGAAACATGCAAACATGCACGCGGTGTAAACAAATTCAATTGGTAATGGAATGAGAATTGAACGACAGTTTTAAGAAAAATCAATGAACAAATGGTCGATCAGCATAAGTCTGGATGATATGTGGTTCAGATTCTCACCTTTAAAGATTCCACCTATAATGTTTCATAATTTAATTTATATGGATACATATATATTGTATATAAATGTATATACAAAGTAAAAAATTCCATTCTAGCTTAATTGCACAAAACAAATTCTCCATTATAAGCAGATAGATGGTGGCTAGCAGTGGAATCCAGGACGAGCGTTTCGTCCTGTTTGGGTCTCGTTAGCTGGGTATACCTACATCTCAGAGTTGATGTACACTCAGGGACACGAACCTAGTACCGCTAGCTTTAAATGCCATCATATTATCCACTTAGCCACTGAGTCTCGATAGGATGAAACGCGAGTATTGGATTGCACTGTTAGCCACCATACATTTCTGCATATAATTACGAATGTACAGTTCCAGTACATAATATCGTCAAAACGAAAATCATCTTTGTTGAAACATCTTCATCTTGATTAAAGTAGACTCTGTTGGTCATCATCGATACATGTTAGTGTTAGACTGTCTAACGATCGCTTATATGATAAATCTAGTTTTTTTTTAAATAAAAGGAATCTTAAATAGAGAAATGATATGCATACGATAATATTACTTACCTTAGATGTATGTGTTACAGAAGAACCAAAGAAATTGGTTATATCATAAAGAAAGCCTTGATCAAGTTTAAGTTGCATCTCTTGTATAAGAACATGGAAGTATCTATAGATAAGAGAAACGGGGACAGTTTTAAACAGAAACTGACAATTACTGCCTAAAATTCAGGATTATGTCATTTACACCATGGATTAGGTTTAGTTAGATAGCCTCTCAAGGTCATGAAGGAATGAAGAACTGTTTCATCCTTGCATAAGTCTCCTAAGTACGTCGAAACTAGAGACTTCAGATATGGCAGTCAGTACTTAAACTTTAGGTTGCTAAGACAGCACCGAATACGGGTCTGATTTCAATTGGTTCCCGATAATACAAAGCCATTATCCACTGTTGTTGATAAGTAACCGTCTCATATTCGGTACGGTTAAACTACACTAATCACGGCTATTCTCATATTAGGATGAAACAGTTGTCCAGTGCTTCCTAGTTTTCAACCGTTGTGTGATTAATGCCAGTCCACGGTGTAAACCATAAGATTCAACAATCTCCACAAATCGATAATACATGCAATTCAGGATTATTCATTCATGTAAAGTCACTACTTAATATTCTCAAGTACTATATATTATGTATTTTATACTGGTTACATGGATATGTTCACGGTGAACGTTCACCGATGTTCAAGAATGACTAATGAATTTGAGTACCAAAAACCTACTATGAGTATCACACACCCTATGCCAGTAATTTGGTGGTATGAAACATTTCAATCCCTCCTCCTCTTGTGTTAACTCCTGCCCCAAACAAGCGGAAGCATAATTTCAGGAGACCGATAAAATGTATTCTTCTGGAACCATCTCAATCAACTTAATAACGTGAAGGCGATTTTCATGTCACCCCTTTACATTATTTGAACAACAGGAGAAACACAGTTGACGATCTATTATCATTTCATTTAAATGAACAAAAAACCTTTATGATAAGTACAGAACTTTGACTATTGTGTAGTGGGTTCAAAGTAGTTAACTTTGAGTAATTTCCATTAAATCATTTCATTAGCATAGGGACAACAAACATAATTGACTGAAGTTAGACTTGTACACCACTGTATCCCGACACATGGGTCTAGACTTTAAGTGTTTGTGTATGAGACCAAAGGTCCTAGGTTCGATTCCAGGATACTAGGTTGTGGACACGCACTGCTGAGGGCTCCCCCTACTAAGATGAGATGACCGTCCAGAGCTTCCACGTTTTTGATGATTGTCTAACTTATGTTGGCTTATGATTTCAATGAAATATAATTAGGTTAATTCAGATTATTAAGCAACATTCATAGCTCAAGTATGTCGAAATGCAGAAATTCAAAGCAATAATAATAATAACTTACTTAAATCGAAATGAACCCGGATTCGCTGTACGTCCAATAATTGCTGACCATTCAAATAACGGTTTAACACCTGTAATGTACAGATAGGTTTTGTTATAAAAAGCAAGCAGAACGGTAATGTATTTTATGTGATTTACTTACGGGTATTTTAAAAAATCAGTTAGTGAAAATAATTTTTTGTTTGAAATTAGGCCTTAAGTACTTTCCAAGTTATCTTTGACATAACTAGTAGTGAGTATTTTTTGCTAGCATGATTTAATTTGATTTTAAATGGTTGAAGATAGGTCTGTACTGAAGTGCTTGGGATTAAATATGATTTACATAGATTGATACAAAAGACTTGTCAGTTTGAGGAAACATGCCTATTGTTTATCAGTTATTTAAATTAGAATCAAACAGACAAACAAACATAAGTGACGTAAAGTCTGACAAAAATATGCGTTAGCTAAAGTTGATATACCACATTAACAGGATAAGACGAATAAGAGAGAAGAGAGAATGAAAATGAAACGGGCGAAAGAACATTGGAATTCAAGATCTAGGAAAACAATAAAGAATGAATGAACCTGTGTCATTATGGTTGATTCAGAGCGATGTCACCTAATGTCTCTAATCATTAGACACGATTATTGCGTGGATTCCAACTAGGTAGCCCGTTACTTATCAACATGGTTCAATTTAATGGTCAATAGTTAAATGTACTAATGCCATGCTTTGGTTTGGCCAGCCACATACCTTCTAAACTAGAGTCAATCAAAGCCATCTATATCATTAATCATCAATTCAAGCAGTTAGTGACTTTCTGCTTAATAACTGCATCAATTGTAGACTTACAATGTTAATTTCCATTTCCACTGATAAGTTAAACTGGTTAAAAATACAATATAAAACCGATCAACGTTACATAATCAGTTAAAATGTTGGGCTATAGTGAAATGGAAAAAACTGTAACTGGAAAAAAGAAGTAAACAAATTATGAATTGTATAGAATGCTCTTATCAGATACTATAATACGTAGACTGTTATCTTCTAAACTCAGTATAACATTCAGCTTATTAAACTAAATGTTAGAATGCTTCTCTGTTATGTTGTTCACACAGAAAAAAAAAACTAGTGAGACATTGTTGATTACCTGAATCAAGTGCCACAGATTTTGGTTGAGGAAAAGCTGACAATACCACAGGAAAAGTAGAATCAAGTCGTTGATTGTCAACCTGAAACATATAAAAGGGCAGACAGATAAACAGAGAGAAAGGGAGGGAGAGAAAAAACAATTACTAAAAATAAGATTGAATAAGTTATAAATACTAAATGAAAAATTCGTGTATTTCTTAATCTTAAAACCAAAAGCACCACACAATGAAAATCAGTGGGACGAAATCAGTATTGTGTTAATATTCATGATTAAAAATATAGACTATTAGTATACAATGCAGTAATTCGATAAGTTCAGTGGTTGGTGCCAATCGCCAATTTGAGTCCCCAGACTTAGGTTTCCATAAACAGCATTTACAATGCTCATGGAACCAATATCCTGACATTTGTAGTCATGTCAAATAATTAGTGGTCTGATTAATGAATTATTCAAGTGAAAGCATACTTTATCTATGATTAACTAATCAATCGCCGAGTGTTAAACTAGTCACAATTTATCTAGTCCTTAATGCTGGTTGAATTATATCGTTCAATTACCAACGTAGCCTACTAGTTTGAAGAGCCTGCCAACTTGCCGCACACCGATGTTATAGGATAGTTATAGAAACTAAAGACTCTATACTTCAGCAATTCTAAGTAGCTTCAGATGCGGATAAAACTATTGGGAAACACTTCGTTTCCCAACAGTTTTATCACAAATCAATCAAAAGACGATTTTTAGTAAGCCACACTTTGAAATTTTAGACCATGTGCATGTCACTGAATTCAGTGTTATGAATCTCACATTCTGAGTGACTGCTTCCCAAGGGTACACTAAAAATTCCATAAATATCGAATTACGTCTACCATATATTGGTATTTCGCGTTGAAAAGCCCGAGACGTGTCATAACAAAAACATTGCATTTACATCAAATTCATTCGCTGAGATTTTACAAATACATTCTTCCTTTTTAATGTCTCACATCAACTCGGCACCCAAATACTGTGAAACTATTCGATCAAATTTAGACGAAGGTTCTTATTTAGTAATACTTGGCTTTTAAAAGTTATTTACCATTCAATTGCTTAGAGATAAGATGCAGATAAGCTGTTTTAAACAACAATGCGAATCCATTCTTTACGTTAAAACAAATAATAACGAAATACATTCACTAACCTGTAATCGAAACAATTTAGCATGTAATTGCATTTGACTAATAGATGATTTATATTGTAAAAATACACCCGGATCAAATGCACGCGTTATCCCATATTGATCCGGTTTTAACATAATCATTTGATTGAAATCTACTTCTATTGGTTGATGTGTATTAGTTAATTTGACAATGCTAAGTGCAGCTTTATCTGCATCATTTGATGCATTCACAAAATTGGTATAAGCGCGTTCTAAATTTTCGCTTAAAGTCAATTGTAATGGTTTTAAACGATTGCCACGTTTAACCTGACTCCATCGAACACCAGAACTAGTAATGATAATTTAGGAAGAAAAAAATTAGAATAACCATAAGGTATAATTTAATTTCTCTTACTTTAATGATTATGGATATTTACAGGGACGATAAAGGGAAAAAAATGAAACTTTGAAAGCTAATTGTTCATTTGTGAGTCAGATTGCTTTTCTAAGGGTTAATCAGTCTGTCAGTCATATACTACATAAGAACTTCTCAGAGCTGTACACCAATTCAAGTTACCACACTACATCAACACATAACAATAAAATTATCAAGATAAGTCTCAGAGTAGTCGAAGTAGGAAGTACCAGTAGTATCAATGGTGGTAGAAAATATTAGGTATAAACAATATGATTTGAGAATAAAGAATGAACACCCAGAATAAAATGTATTAAATAATTTTGAAATAGAGAATCGTTGTGTAGACGAAGAATGAATATATTTGTACAATAGAGATCAATTCAGAGCCATTTCACAAAACGTCTCGAACCACTGATTACGATAGTTCCGCAGACCCTAACCAGGTAATATGTGATTACTTGAATGCCGTAGTACAGCAGCCAATAACTTCAGGAACTAGTATCACATGTTGGTATGGGCGCCCCTAACTTTCTTCTAACCTACTTCTGCATCAGACAACATCGCAGTTGATGAAGATTCACCACTTCGTCAAACGACTTGTCATCTTTACTTGGTACTCTATGACTAACTTCAGAATAGATCACTAGGCAGTTCGAAAAAATTTGAGAGATCGAAAATTAATAATGTGCTTTATTCTTGATTTCTGAATCAATCTGACTCGTTCTCTAGGTACTTGAAAGTGAGTCACACTCTCTATTTGAGGTCCAATGATATTACCCGGTTCCCAAAGCTGAAATAGGTGGAGTGAGGATCGGATCTGAAAATTAGTGGTCGAAAATCGAACACATTAGCCAATAAGCTACCACATCTATAAAGCAGAATGGAACTGAGCTATCTTCAGTTAGCGCTCCACAAGGCCTATTTACGTGTATGATGATTATAGAAGTTAGTATTTTTGGAACTAATATTAGTTAAACTGATTCTTCTTTGGTCGTCTCAAAAGGATTTTTTGTACTTTCTTATAAACTGGGACGTCTAACGAACAAGACTAGTCAGATAGGACTATGTCTAGTTCCCAGATTTTAGCTCTGTTGAGATTGGATCACTTACTTTAATGATTTCCATCTAAAATCCTACCATCCATCACTTTTCAACTTCACAAAGAGTCGAGAGACTTTTATTGATTTACCTTTCAAGTTGTATGCAAATAAAAACTGAGGACAAATAAACTGTTAGTTAAAATGTTCTGCCCATCCGACATAATTTCACCAACAGCCAGATTTTATAATGCCTATTTCTTTAACGAGTCAGAATAGTTGTCTGCCATAACCTATCGGTGCCTCCTTTGCCGTCACTCTTAATTTGGACATAACCCCAATTGTAAGCTTCAATTCGACTCATTAATTAGTGTTAATATATTTTGGGAGACCTGGATAATTCATTGAATAAGTCATCAGAAAGATGAGAGAACGTATTCTCAAGAAACTTTCAAGATAACTCTAGAAAACTACCGATTGTGTTACCAATTTTAGTATGTTTTCCAGAAACTTGTTTACTGTACTATATGATATGACCGCGTACGTATAAAATAAACATTATTGTGGTACGTCAAGCTCCTAAACCTCTGATATTCTGATCGTCACATTGTTGACGTGTCGATCTCTCATGAGGGATTAGATCAGGGATATCGTATAATATTTGTTTAAATATCATTGATAATTTTGTAAAACTCTTCTGTTACTTTAGATTATTACATGTAAACATTACCTACATACATAAGATTCTATGGCTTCAGAAAATGACATTGTGAAATAGGAAAGTTTCTTCACTGAGATATGTTTATTATTTATATATGAGTATTTCCGAAGCAAAAGTTAATAAATACATGGTGAAATTGGAGTGTTAATTTATTTTCCAATTCTGATAATATGGAAGAATGTTAAAATTGATTCTAAAATGATATGATTTGTAATTGAGATCATGAACCGATCAATGTTAGACCACCATTGAAAACCTAGAAGCAATGATTAGTCGTTTCATCCTAGTATGGAACTCCCGGTAGTGAACATCCAGGTTTTCATTGATAATCAAACATTGATCGGTTCATGATTTCAATTACAAGTCAACAATCTCCATAGCCCTATACTGAGATGATTTGTGTTTATTAATGAAATTGTGCAAATGTTATCCACTCTTTTTAAAAAAATGTTAGACTAGATTTTCTATGTTTAGTTTTCCACTTATCTCAACATAACGGAAGTGTGTGTGCAAGTGTTCGACAAATTACATCTCGGAATTAATTTGTGACTACTGACTAACAACTGATAAAAACACAAGAAATCTATAAGAGCCAATGATGAAACTAACCTTGTAATAGATACATAAGCTAATTCTGCTCGTGAATGATTATCAACTAATGAAATGCCAATTGATTGAAGAGAAATAACAATTTCTTGGTCAATCGGTTCAAGATCAGAACTCTAGAAGTTGGTAATAAAAGCGAACAATAAATGTGTAAACAAACATACAGATATATATGGTGCATAAAAATATGCATAAGTCACAAAACGGAAATTTATCAGTTGACAAATTATGCTAAATGTCTATTTATGATTTTCACAGGCGTTTAAATTACATATCCACACCCGAGAAAATAGTGATATGAGAAACTATGGGAATTTATTGAAATTTACAGCGGTAGCATGTTTCTCTGATAAAATAGTTATAACATCAACTTAGTGATGATATTGGCTTGAAATCTTAATACATCGATAAAGTGAACTATGTGGAAAGTTTATTCACTGAGGTTCCTCCTAAAGTACATAATCTATTATTCTCTATAACTAAATAAAAGGTCATTTTATAATGTATTGTATACACATTAACCTTACAAAAAGAGATATGAGTGACGGGTTTGAACAAGACATTATTTCGTTTTCATATAAATCCTTCCAAGTTATAACAGATTATCAAATTTCCTGTAGATCAAACCGATAAAGTAAAAACAACGGTAAAACATTTAGTGTGAAATTAATTCTAAGAAATCGGCGGTCTGGAGACATCAGTCGCACACATATACAAATGGAATATCTTCTTAATGACTGCTAATTTACCTTTCACTTATGTTTTTTTGTAATTACATTACTGACTGGTTTCAAAATCATTGAGATTGTGTTATTTGAACAAATGCTAAAATCTTTATCAATCAATGAGATGTAAGTCAGGTGGAACCGGGCCAAACAACAAGTTCTTAAAAGTACCTCAGAAGTACATAAACCTTTTGAAGGCTCTTTATTCGAACACTACTAGTCGATTCAGAGCTCATGGCAAACTGTCATCCGCTTTTGCAACCACAAGTGGTGTCCGTCAAGGCTGTCCACTTTCTCCATTTTTGTTTAACTTTATCATAGACCTCCTGATGGAAATAACGCTCTCATCGACTGAATTCTCGGGTATTGATCTCCTACCAGGAGGTCCACTTATTGACTTAGAATACGCAAATGACATAGTCCTGTTTGGTGAAGACGCTAATGAAATGCAGAGTCTTTTGGTAGCACTGAGCAACAATGCCAGAATGTTTGGGATGCGCTTCTCTCCCTCTAAATGCAAGTTGTTGTTTCAGGACTGGTCTGCGTCAACACCTGAACTAAGGATAGAGAGTGAGGTAGTCGAACGTGTAGACAACTTCACTTATCTTGGAAGTGAGTAAAAACAATATATAAATGACTGAATTCATCTATCGTTTATTTCTAATGTCAAATAAATTCATATCACTCGTCTGCATGTTCTCGTTATACGGCGTCGGATTTAAGGTTTCAGTACGAAACACAAGTCATTAAAATCATGAACCGAATTAAGTTAGACCGCCATTGAAAACCTGGAAGCAGAAGACGGCAGTTTCATCTTAGTATAGGACTCATCAGGGATGGGAATACACGACTCCACCATAGGGCATCAGAGCCAGGATATTCTGTTTAGCACCGAAATGCCTAACCCCCAAAACACTGAGCCAGTATCCAGTTGCGTTAATGTCCAACTGCAACCAATTCACGGTATTGTGTGTCCATCTTCCATTGTTTTCGGTAGGTAACTGACTCCCTCCGTGACTAGTGGAGTTTAATCGTGTCGGGCGTGAAGCGGTGATCTATAAATAAAGAGTCAGCGCGAAACCGAAGGACATGTGTCCGAACCTTGCGTGCGGGATCGTGAATACACTGTTAAGGAGTCCCATGTTAGAACGAAACAGTGGCCCAATATTCCCATGTTTTCAATGATGGTCTAACTTAGACCGGCTCATGATTTCAATGAAATTCAACAACTTCCACAACCCTTTACTGTCGAGCATATAACAGATGTAAGATACATAATATTAAACTGATAGGTCCTGGGTTCGAATCTTGCGGGGAGCAGGATCGCGGATGCACACTGCTGAGGAGCCCCATACTAGGACGAAAAGGCCGCCCAGTGCTTCCAGGTATTCCATGGTGATCTAGCTTCAATTGACTCATGATTTCAACCAGTGAAACTTCATATTTATTGATACTATTTTACCACTTAATAAAATTTGAGAACAAATTTACTATCAGGATACTGAATCTTAAGAGTTTCGACTGGTCAAAAAATGAACAAAGATGATAAAATATTTTTGATGAGATACTACTCACCGAGTGGATGCATTGCGTAATAATTACATAATGACATTTGGATTATAAATTAACATTGGGTAATTGAAAGAAAGAGGGTTAATAATAAATAAAGTAATTATTCGAAAATCAAGAAGTTGCTTCGTTGATTATTATTAATCCTCTTTCTTCCAATTACTCAATGTTAATTTATAATCGAAATGTCATTATGTAATTATTACGCAACGTATCCACTCGATGAGTATTATTTCATTATTGTAAATCATATATATATATATATATATATATATATATATATATATATATATTCCGATAAGCATAGTGAATGGTAACTTTTGGGATCCATTTATGGACCAATACTATGCGTATATTTTTATCGTATGATTGTCAAATAACTAAACTGTTCATATTCATGTAACTCATATTATGAGCTTTATTTTGATCTATGAGTTATTATTATACGATTTACCATTCTCGAATTATGCCCCGTCTATTAATTACTACCTCCTACAGTCACAGCCATATTTGGCTAAATCTTCTACAAATGTTATTTTCCACTTTATGGTACGATGTGGTATGTCTGGTTGGTATATAAACCCAGTATGCTTGAAATAAATGATTCATATTGCAGAGGCTGAGATTGGTGTTCTGGACTTAACTGGTTGGGATAGGCAGTAAGTAGGACCGATATGTATTCTAGACTGTTCGTACGGGTTTACGCATCATTAGTCCGATCGATAATTCATTGTTCTCTGATTGGCGGTATCATTACGTCATACATTAACAGGGAACATATGTCACAAGTTATAACAATTCACTATATTAAAATAAAAGTTATTATCATTTAGAGATTGTAAATAGTGCAAATTTAGTAAATCTATAAAGTAATAAAGATATAATTTTAGGAAAATTTAATCAAAATAAGAGAGAATGACTTACTAATCGAGCATTTTTAGCAACACTTGCATTTTGTGTAAATAATAAAACACGTTGCATATTCCACATAAATGAAACCAAATATGCTTTGGTATTATTCACTTTAAATTCTTCAATAGAGTCCTGCAAAGTCGAGAAAATAAACAATAACATTAATAATAATATTAATATTAGTAATGTTAATTTATACGAATATTCGTCAAGATTAGAACAAATAGTTTAACAAAAATTTGGCACCGAGTATAAGGACGTCATTATGAGTGAAAATTATATTTGAAATAATCTCAGAGATTGAAATTTAAATAATTCCAACGTTACGTCCAGCCAACTTATCTGGACTTCTTCAGGGTAAAGTGTAGTTATGATTGTTAAAAGCTATATATTTCTTTGATGATTTTGATTATTACCTTCAAGAAGAAGTCCAGACAAGTTGGCTGGACGAAACGTTGGAATTATTTAAATTTCAATCGCTGAGATTATTTCAAATGTAATTTTCATATATAAAGTAATGTTAATTGTTTAGCCTTAGAATTAAGGATATACCATTAGATTAAATGTAAAGTCTGGAGTATGAATAACGATGAAAGAAATAACAGACATAGCCATATTACTGGTGATATAATCAAAAATGAAGAATACCTGAGAGAACAATTTTTTTTTGCGATAACTTTATCACCAGGTTCTACAGTTATAAGTCCGTAATTATTGTGATCTTTTACAAAGGCCTAAATAAGGTATGTATTCATAAATTTGACAATGTTATATGTTAAAAATGTTGAACGTTTACATCTGTTATTTGTAAATTAGAAAGGTCATTTAATTGAGGTCAGAATGATATGAATTAAAGTGTGTCAAGTCACAATCAGTATAATAATAATATAGCAAAAATGAAAATGAAAAACATCGTGTTAATAAAACGAATAGTAGGAAAATTTCATCTTGTTAATTGAGGTAATAATAATAATAATAATAAAATATCGTTGTGTGAATATAAGAGGTGTTATCAAGGTAATTACGATAAAAAGAATTCGTGTGAATTGGGAATGATGAATGTGAAGATTAAGATAGATATAATCAGAAAAAAATGGGAGGGAAATAAAAGAATTATAACATTCAGTTTAGGTATCGGGTGATCCAGTCGTAGGCCAAGGTAAACATAGTGGCTGGATATACCTGTCCTGGATACATAAGTTCTGTTTTCAGGCGTTGATCCAGTTGACTTCAGATTTGCAGAGCAGCAATAATCTAGCTCCTTTAAGTAGATTCTTTGGAACTTGATATAGAACAGAAAAGCCTTCATCTCTTTTAATCTGATGTTCATTATCTACCGAATGAGAAAGAATAGTACTGTTGATAGATTTAGTAACTTTTTCCCAACCATGATGGTATATGATCACGAATACGCAAGGATAAAGCCCTCTGAGTATGACCTTCGCAACTAGCTCCACAGGAACAGTTGAATTGGTATGCACACATGATGAAGCCTATCATCCATAACCTATCCTTGATTTGTTGTTTAAATACTGGTTTAGTTGAGAAAATTACATGTAACTTGGCCGCGTGAAACATCCTTTCAACAGTTCTTTTGAGTCGACATATTAAGATGTCACCCATTATATCCTTTTTGAAATCCAGTTTCAGATGTAGAACATTTTACTGACTGAGTCACAATTTCTTCATTTTTTTATTACCTTCAACCAGGAATTTTCTAACGAAATCTATACACATAATTATTCACACGATGTTTTTTTCATTTTTGCTATATTATTATTATACTTATTGTGACTTGACACACTTTAATTCAAATCATTCTGACTTCAATTAAATGACCGTTCTAATTTACGAATAACACAATTTTGAAGTATTATGTGATGACAGATGTAAACGTTCAACATTTTTAATGTATAACATTGTCAAATTAATGAATATATGCATTATTTTGGCCTTTGTAAAATACCATAGTTATCATCGTCTAACATATCCACGTATTAATACTTGTTTTGTGACAAAATACTATTTAACAAGATTTCGAGCATCGTTAGATAATATGGAGTTTAGAAAAAGTTGAGTTGGAGAATAGCTGAAAGATTTGATGTCCGGTTTTATATAATCATGACTTCATAAACTAAACACCAATTGAATAGTTTAAGCATCTATATATAAAATCTTGGACTATTTCATTAAATATGACTACATGATTCGTCAACGAGAATGTACATTACACTCAGCAACAAGAAGGTTCGTAAACAGAATAAGAAATATTCTGTTTCATTAGTTGACAAGTAGCTTGAGGATTACTGAAAACGTAATGCCATTAGTGAGCAAATGATTACCTTGTTCAGTTAATGGTTACCTAAAGATGATCGCAGTTTAACATTCCTATTCACTACGAACACTGATATTAATTTGCTAATAGATTATTAGTATTATCAATGCTCTGATACGACCGACGGTGGGGAAAGTAAGCGCTTTTTCTCGAAACGCTTTCATATAACCATGCGTATAAAGCCACTGTCAAGGGAGTCTTATTCATTGCTTCCTTGAGGCGGTGTTGTTTATGAAATTGACAGGACGAAAAGCGAATGTTTGGCGCTTTAACCGGGTTAGTGGATACGGAGGATCCACCTAGGGGAGCTGGAAAACCCTGATTCCAAACCAGTGGTGCACAAAGGCTCCAGAATCCTAAGGGAACAAATGGCATATGAACCAACTGTTGGTCACCGGCTACCATGGGACTGCATCTCCTCATGTTTTTCCACTGTCTTGTGGATTAGATCCCTAAGCCAAAAACTCGAGGGGTGGCCCACTAAGAAAATCACCTGCTTCGATTGGGGGCCCAGGCAGTATCCCAGCCCTCATACAAATCAAGTGACGAAGTGTGATGCATATATATATGGTGCCTCCTTGTACCAAAATTTACGTCTTTAAATAAATAAATTACCAACTTTAAAAAACAAAATAAGATAATTGTATTCCAAGTACTATTCTCATAAATATCGTTCGTATGGATTATGATATAACGACTAAACTTACATAAGTTAACTTATTTGAATGATGACTACCGGTTTCATTACAGTAGAAAATTAATTCACGTTTTGCTTGAGGACGATCCCATGCATACATGATAGACATACCAGCATCTAACCGATGAACTATATGTTGAACTCCACTAGGAGAGATGAAAGAAATTTATGTTATTAATTGGTATTTCGTCAATAAATACAAAATCTACTTATTAATTTCAATTGTTTTTTTTCTTTCCCACAAATTATTATGTAACTATAATTGATATAAAGAAAAATAGAATATTCAAAAACAAAAAATGTTTGAGCGAACAAGTGTTCATTCTTTTCAATGCATATTGTGCCAGCCACTACGATGTCGCAGATTGTACATTTTTGTAACTCGTACAGCAAAAGGTCGTAAGCGTAGAATGTAAACATAGTTTTAAAAGGAGAATTTAATATGTGACTAACTTTCAAACAACTAATACGAACTTATTTTGGGGTATCATCTACTAAGGACTGAGGGAATTTATAAATTAGCAATTCAAACACGTTCATTCACGGAGCTTTAATCAGTTTCTAACATTGCGCAATTAGTATATGAATATGGTGTAATATATATATAGTCAAAATTAAAAACTTAATCATCTAATTTGTAGGTTGGCTATTAGAGCAGACTGATAATCTTCATTCAATACCAGATTATGAACATAAACATAAATAACGATCGAAAATATGATTGGTAATGATGCGATGTGAACAAGATGATCTCAGGTGCTGATAGAGGTATGAAGGCGGTTATCATTTCCCGACTGTCCATACCGTGGCTGGATATTTCTTCTTAAGGGCACTGAAGAGGAAGCTGATTCAGTGATAGTCTTAGTGACCTGGGAAAGTGACTGCAAAACCTAAGGGACAACTGTTTGAGGCTGGTCGCTTACGGCCTTTTTATGGGAAGTCGTTGATGTGTTAGTTTCGCACTTCGAAAGGCCTTACAGCTAGATAAGGAAATCTGTGATAATCCTTTCCTTTCGTTATGAGAAGGCAGAATTGCTGCACATGTCGGTCGTCCGAGGGAAACACCATACTTCTGTCACATCCCTCTACAGTCAGCAATAGAATTTTGCTCTCTGACCATGAGTTTGTTACTTTTAATCTTACCATTCTCTAACCAACCTGCCTGGCATAATAGGGCCTAAAACAACATTTGTTCCAGCCAATATAGTTCGATCGAGTCAACGTGTAAGCTAAGCCCAACCGTCACATCAGGGTAGCAGCTACGGTCAAGATGATGTGACGTACGCTCGTTAAACACGTTGTATATATATATATATATATATATATATATATATATATATATATATAGTACAAACCAAAAGATGAATAGACGGATTTATTCCATAAAATAATATAGTAAATAATAAAAGTAAAATACGCTACATTCCTATAGATTTTCCTTGCAAATGATTGATTGATAAAAGGACGAAGACAACTAAGGAAATCATCGTTTTACTGAATAACATCTTCATACGATTTATAAAACAATCTCAAGGATGAATAACACAAATAGACAGAAAAAACATGTGATCATTTTTCGTTTATCTTTCTCTTATAACCACTAACCTTTGATGATAGTACACTGGTTGTGAATCATTTAGATTGTTGACGAGACGCACTAAAGCCATACCTTCTTGATACATTTGCAAAGTGATTACAGTTGTTTCTTCAGTTGTCTCCACTTCAACAAATATACCAGGATACTGTAATAAATTTTCGGTTTGAAAGGCAAAAATAAATGTGTGACATTCAAAATTATGTAGTACGCACATTATATTAACTTTTTACTAGGAAAAAATTCAATGCATTTGGGATTATGAAGTTATTAAGATTGTAACTTTTTTTCCTGTTAAACATTTAGTTACTGAATAAACTATCGTCACGTATTCGATACACCCGAACAGCTGAATAATAATGTCTCAAACTGTGTAACCGAGTGATGCGGACTAGAACACCACAGGGGGTATCAGTTCCCTCAAGGGATTGCTTACTGATGAATTTAAACTAGCGCGAAACTTAGGTCAAGAAGAGTATCATGACGACCACCATTTTACACTTCAACATAGTTCACGCGATGTTCAGCTATTTAGACTAGTGGTCATACTACAATTTGGTTGATAGAATTCGATAAGTACAAGACTAGATAACTAAATGTTGGCCAACCAATTGTCAACCATATACAAACTTGATAATAACCCTAGGTTTTACAGGTATGTTTTATACATTAAAAGATAAACTCACTTTTCCGTCTAATTTCATTAATATTGAATGTGATTCATAAAATGGGAATGCTGCAGTCACAATATTTTCTGCTACACGACATTTCAATAACATATTCTTTGAATTAGTTGCATGTGGCCAAAATGGTACAGCTTCACCAGCTGGAACTTTTATCCATTCTGTATTTGCGGATTGCGTAGATTTTGTCTCAGTTTCATCTACTTCACAACACTCGATATTTATCTATGTAAGTAAAGGATTGGTGGTAATTAATTGACAAAGTATAGATGAGTAAATGACGATTTCAATAGTTGGATTCATGAGTCAATCTAAGCTAGATCATCATTGAACATTTAAAAGCACTGAACAGCCATCTCGTCCAGGTTTTCAATGATGGTCTACTTTAGATCGACTGATGAATTTAACTATTAAAGTTTCTACATTCTCCACAAACCCCTACTCTGTTAAATCACGATTGTGAGATTATTATTACTATTATTATTATACTTTCAGTTTTGAGAGAAAAGTATTACTTAGCTCTGGAAATACTAACCAGAGACATGGTTAGAGTTGAGAGTTCAAGCCAACAAATGTGGAATATCTCTAATTTAATGTGTTACACAAACAACACTAATTATCACTTACATTAGCTTTATTGATAATTATGAAATAAGGCATAAATGTAACAATTTTTGTTAAACCAGAACTAGATAAATCGATTTTCACTCCAATCTGTAAAATAAAGAGCAAAGGAATACATTTCATGACCAATATTACTTCATAGTGTAATTCATGATAGAAGTCATTAGAAAAAGACAATTAAAACTCAATTCAAAAACATTCTGTTTATTTAAGTATGAAAAAATCTACAAGAAATTTCTAAGCATTATTAAGAGTGTAGGTAGTTAGGAAGAAAAATATACACATGGATAACTTAGTGGTAACCTGTGTGTGTGCAGACAATACTCGTTGATAGGGGTTTGGATACAGAATTCGAACACTAGTCCATCATAAATCCTAAAAACATTTTATTTTTGAGTAGTGAAAAACTTGAAACTTAGGCTTATAGTTTCTTGTCCCTTATTTTTGATGTTGCATTGTTGAATACACTAATGAATTATTATGCCAAGTCAGTTTGCCTAGTAGCAATATTGCAAAGACATCGATGGAATTCGAACAATATTAAATAGACAAGAAAATATTAGTTACCAATATACTGAATATAAATATTTACAAATGCTGCTATGAAGTGCGCTTTACGTGTTAGTAAAAACGTTCTAAATTGCTCTTTATTCATTAGCGCAAAAAAAGTAAGTGGTGGATTTTGATAAACAAAGGCAATGAAACTAAGTAATTAACACTGAATATTGTCAGTAAAAAATGAGTGAGAATACTTTCTTCTCATTCCGATAACAGTTAATGGGAATAATCCCGTAATTTAAAAATCAATGTATAGGAGTTTGGGATCAAAATTGGTGATTTGTAAGATTTTATTATATATAGGTGAAAATTTTATGCGAAACAAATAGAATGAAATAGTAAACAAAACATTCCATTATATCTAGAGTTGTATCAAGGATTTCAAAGAGCCAACAACTGCTTTTCCAAAAATCGGATAACTGATATGAGACGATCAACGCTCAAAAGAAATCCCGATAAGGTTGAGAAATATTGAGCTAAGGTAAACAGAACTTCCAAGATTTGTTATTTATGACGTAAACTACCTTAACATTAATGAAACTAACTTCTAAAGCTATGACCTTTGACAGGATAATTTGTGCTTACAACGTAAATGACTATTAGCCCCCAAATGCCCTGATACGGCCGAGAGTGGGGAGAGTCCGCTCTCCCTCTCGAAATGCTCTCACATGGCCACGCGTATATAGCCTCTGCAAAGGAAGTCCAAACCACTGCCTTCTCGCACCGAGGGTGTTGTTTACGAAAATGAGAGGACGAAAAGCGAATGTCCGGCGCTTTAACCGGATCCCGAGCCAATGGTGCACATCGGCTCTAGTATCCTGAAGGAACAAATGGCGTATGAACCAATCGTTGGTTAACGGCTACCATGGGACTTCATCTACTTACGATGCTCCACTGCCTTGTGGATCAGACCTTCAGGTCGAAGGCTCCGGGTGTGGCCTCCTAAGAAAACCACCTGGTTCGGTTTGGGCACCCGAGCAGTATCACAGCCCTCACACATATCCAATGAGATTTTTGTGGCGCATATGTATTTGGTGCCTCCTTGTACCAATATCTATGTGTTAAAATAAATAAATAAATGACTATTAGTGTTGATAGCTTCTCACTAAAAACGATTCATTTCTCGGTAATGAATAACAATAATAACGATAATAAACCTTGTATTCAGACTATCTTTCCAGTTTAGTCGAATGGTTAAATAGCTCACTATTTTAGTAAAAAATAATAGAAAAGAAAGTGAACTATTAATCAACTAATTGATAGGCAACGTAACATTAAAAAGATCTTGCTTTGTTCCTTTGTACTATTTAAACTTGAGTTAATTTAATTTGGTTCTTTATTCCCTGAAGAAAGAGGCTTACATTGAGTCACGAAACGTCAGAAAATTTAATTGTTCTACTCATTAGGATATTACAAATACATTGTTTTTATTTTTATTTATAACAATCTACCCAATGCTCAATCTATTTGAAATTATCAAGTAAAACCTTGGTAATGAAACCAACGTTAAATTTGTTAAATTGGAAATAAGGAGGAAGGTATTTTATTGGATAGGGAACACCAGTTAAGAGCATCCATAAGCGTGAGGGGTCTGTTGATCCTTGCGACGCCTGAGCCCATGTTACTCAATCAGAAAAGTTACCACTGAGCTATATTCAAGTCGTGAATGACCACCTGTATGGCTGAAATGTTTACACACTAATTAATCGTTCGCAAAGATTATCAATATCATGTTATTTAGTCCTTAGTGTTAATCGCATTATTTCAGTCACATGATATACCCGAACCAATAATCTAACAATTTGACCAAGAACCCGATGCACATAAGAACGAGAGTTTATGAACATAATACTTAGCAATCAGTAAGTGTAATGAATTTCGCTGTATAGTACAATAATCTATATTTCATGTAAAATGATATGTCTTTCGTCACTCCCTGATCAACAATCATGGGTCACTTCCATAGGACATCTTGTCACAAAGAAAGCAGTTACAATAAAAGACAGTTACTTAATAAAATTAATTGTCATAACTTGAATACCATTGATTTATTTCCTGAAACAAAATTCTATATTCCATTCAATATTTAACAATGAATTAATAATATAGGTGAAAACCAAATTTTTCTAAACACAAATAAAAATATGATACTACTAACTTCATACGACATTTTTGACTTTGTTGTACAATGCACACGTCCTGAACTACCAACTGTATCCAATGAAAATTTATCTGACCAATTCGATTCACATACACGAAGATTAGCCTATTAGAATGACAAAGAAAACAAAGGGTTTTAAAAAGAAAAATGCTAATGTGATTGTATATGATGAAAGGAATTTTAAAAAATGGCAAATATATTAAGCCCTAGAATAGGAATTGAAAAAAGTGTATAAAGTAATCAAAACAAAAGTACGATAAATGGTTGGCAACGACCAAACAGACTCCTCAAACTTCTTTTCTCTATTAATACGATTTTTTTATTTTAAGAGATCAAAAAGATTGTAACTAAACACTATCCAGTATGTGTGTAAGACTATGAAATTCTATAAACTGACAGATGCTATTTCAGTCTACTGTCAAACGTCTAATGCGATTATCATATAATGCTAGTCCTGAATAACACTATTTTTTTAGGGGATGTTAATCTTGAACGGAAATCAATCTTGAACCAATTATTGGTCACCAGCTATCATGGGACTGCATTTCCTTACGAGGTTCCACTACCTTGTAGATCAGACCTTTAGATCGAAGGCTCCGGGTGTGGCCTCCTAAGAAAACCACCTGCTTCGGTTTGGGCGCCCGAGCAGTATCCCAGCCCTCACACAAATCTCATTTGATTTGTGTGGCGCATATGTATCTGGTGCCCCCTTGTACCAGTATTTGTGTTCAAATAAATAAATATACATTTAACTAGGTAAATTTGGTTGAGTGATCACTAGAGTAGTAAATTTATCGAACATGTGATTGAACTCAATGTCTCATCATAACTTATTATTTTTCTCAAACTGTATAAAATTATTGTGATTATCTCCATTATAGCATCGAACAATAGTTAGTTTTAGGTAAAAACGTAATGAACTGAATAAAACACAAACATCATTAATGTTAGCTAGTAAGGTGAATAGTTAGCGCGAAAAAAAAGATAACTATTTCTCAAAGAAAATAGCATCGATAGAGCTTGGTTTTAAGGAATAAACATAGTGTTTAGTATTATTATTGTTATTATTAGCATTGCTCATCATTTGAAACTGAAAATTATAATAAACGAACATTGAAACAATTAAAAACAAGAGGTGACAGCCTATAAATGGAGTGAAACAATAATAAAATACATTTGTTCGTTAGATACTATGAAAAAGAAACCGGGGAAATAAATGATCTTCCCTTTTACACCTCAGTATAGACTAGCAACAAAGCAATACAATGCAGAATAATCATTTAAAAAGCAAATTAATTATAAAAGCAATTATAAACAAATAATCTTAAATTTTAATAAAAATCACTAACAAACCAGTGAATATTAGAAACAGTAATAAAGCAGATATAATTGTTTAAAATAAGGTCATAATGATATTAATTACAATATAATCGGTAGTCATTAAAATATTCACAGAGACCTGTATTTTACTGTCGAATTTCAATGCGCGACCATCACGAACTCCACGAGTTGTCGATGTATGAGTTTTACGTTTTCTTGACGTACTTCGACAGCAACAACTTGAATGACAAGAATTTCGACGACTTCTAGAAAGATGCCACCATTTTCTAGATGATGATGAGTTATTTTTGGAATGTTTTGATTTAGTTTTACGATTGAATGATGTTGTTGCCGTTGGAACTGAATCATTCAATGTTGTTATTTCTTCTGTACCATGATTCAATACATCATAGTTGTTATTATTATTAGATATAGACATATTTGGTTGTAATAATTGATGAGATGAAGCGAGTAATTGTTCATTTTCATCGTCTTCATCAGAACAGAATGAACTAAAACTATGATTTCGTTGTATCTATTTTTTTATTTGATTTGTGTGTAGATTAATATAATAATGTAATAATAAATAGGATATATGGTAAAGGATGAAGTGAGGAAAAAGGATTAAATAAACAAAGAAATTTTTTAAAAATTCGGTTATTTAATGAACATGCTTTATTTACACAATTGATATGGTGATAGAGAAGATTTGTAACTTAGGAAATAGCTGAGTACAACCAATCAAATTCTAGGTCAACATAAATCTTGTAGAAATTTATAGATCGGTTCATGGTTTCGATGAAATTCAACCATCTCTGTAACCCCATATTGGAAATCATCATATGCTTACTAGTGACCGATTCCGATGAGAAATTTCCGGCGTTCTAGTGAGAAGCCATGACCAATGATGCTAATTAGTGTCGAGTGTAAGGCAGTTACCCATTGAAGACAGTGATAGTCGAGTAATGTCGCAGATTGATTGAAATTAGGGATCAACACCGTTAGATGCAGACTCGATGGCCTAGAGATTAAGCGCTCGTGCGCGAGACCGAAGATCCAGGGTGAGCACAGCTAAGGAGTCTTATACTAAGACGAGGTGGCCATTCAGTGATGAAAGGTTTTTAATGAGTCTAACTTAGAGCAGTTCATAATTTCAATGAAATTCTAATAGTTTACTTCTTTTCAAAATATTTGCAATTGGTGATGATAATGACGCTGTCTAAAAAGAAAATGTTTCACGATCAAACTAGTTAGCTCAAAACTACTCATTTACACGATATGCTCAATCATTATAGAATGTGTTATATGAAATATGATTCGTGCATTCAAGGGAAATAAACTCGGGAAAAACTACCCTGTTACTAATTCCTAATCTCGTTGTAAATAAAAGTAGAAAACAATGAATCTGTAAAAACGATACTATAAACTATACAAACAAATATATGAAAACATAATAACGGAAGGAATATAAGTAACTGGGATAACTATAGATGAACTATTAAACTAATACTGTGATTAGTATCACTATTATTATTAATAACAATAAAAATTTGAACTTCTTATAAGCAATTATGATGAAATGTTGTTAAAGTACATTTTTGTAGTTATTGAACGAAAGTTCAGATATGATTGATAAAAATGTGACATAATGATGGAAAGGTTAAAGTTACAATGAATGAGTGAATAAGTAATGATAATGGTGAATTTAAAACAGCTAAGAATCTAATGAACTATTCCATGTTTGAGTGAAAGTTAATACAAGTGTGTTAGATTTCAGAAAAGATTGATGATGAATATACATATCTTCAAAAAATGCAAACAAAATAGCTTAGATGTATGCTTTTGTTGATAAGTACTTTACACTAGTTAGTTTAAGTGCATCAAATTTCATTGACGTTCTCGACAAATAAGCACTGATGATGATATCGAGAACGACAATGAGAGCTCCACAATTAAACTATCTAACTCATAAAAGTCAACAACATTAAAAGTTTCTCTTTGGCGTTTTCCAAATAGATTCCTTATGATGAGAATATCAGTTTTTAATAAATCTTACATTCAAACACTAAATAGAATTCTTTAGTATTGAAGAATAATCAAATATTTCTTACTAAGCTGAGGCAACCAACAAATTAAACAACTCAAAATGCTAGTCGATTTTCAATATTTATCCTTCATTTAGTTCATAATGTAAAATTTCTTTTAAAAAAATAACAAACAAAAGTTGTGCGATTATGATTCATAAGATAGTAAAGTTTGAACTTGAAATACATGCTTTGAATTATGCATACAATTGGTTTCACTAACTCGCCATAGACATAATATAGGTGGATCCAAGTAGAGTACATAAATTTGTATTTGGTAATGAATTACATCAAATTAAATTGAGGAATAATAGATATCGGAATAGATATCATCAAACCACGACTCGACCACAATCCAACGCGTCATCTCAATCAAATCATCTAGATCCGAAAAGGCTGTGGTAGGTGGCCTATGCTCCTCTACGATAGGCAACAGGTGTAAGTAAGTTAAATTATATCATAAAAAAATATTTTTAACATAGCGATGTAGATCTATTCCCTTCCCTGATATACAAATATCAGTTATGGTGAGGAAAGGGAATCAACTAACAAATATACATTGTTTGTATACTATAGAAATCAATCAGCTTTGGTTCTTCCAAGTATGAGAGTTAGTGATATTGCATTCCACTTCTGATTGGTGCATACACCACAATACTAATATTACTGCTGCACAATGACCTAAACCGAAGTGAACAGAGTAAAATTAGTGGGTTAACAAGTGGACATCCCCATACGCCGCTGATAACTAATTATTCGCATACGAGCTTATATATGCTATTCACTTCTTAATTGTCGCTCTTTTGCTTCAAATCCTGTTATTCTTAATAAGGAATAATAGTAATAATAACTTAACTTGTGGTATAAAAGAATTACAAAATTTATCGATCTCAAATTAGTAGATTATAAATTCCTTCATGTAACAGAAACATACGAAACAACAAAAAAAAGATACCAGGTTCTATTTTTATTCATGAATTAAACAAACATTGAAAAGAATACTTTATATGATTGATAACGACTTACTTTTCGTTTGCCAAAAAATGATTTAGACAAAGATGAATAGAGCAATGCACCAGTAAAAGTAGCTGGATGAACAGTTTCTATATCATCTGCAGACTGTAAACCAAATAAAAATCAATAGTAGAATAAGGAGATGTCAGCAGCACATATACAACATAGAACATATCTATCGAGTTGTGTAAAAAATCATTGTACATTTATAAATTATTATATAGCAAAATGAACACGCTAAATAACGAGGAAGTAGATTAAGTCTCGGGGGGGGGGGTGATTATATACAGTATAAACAAAAATACAGTCTTTTCACGGTTTTGAACAAAACTGACTGAAGACCTATCTTGATAATGATTGTACCTTAAAACTAAAAATCCTGATGGAATAATCTTGGATTCGACCCTTCATGGTAGCGGAAAATTTAACTGCATTCAATATTTTTCTTCAAAACATTTAATAAACTATCTTTTACATTCAGTGATGCAATCCAATATGCAGAAATACCTAGTTACATCATCCGCAATTCATTATCATTAGTAAGACAGTCTTCTTTGAAATATTCTTTACATGAATTCTTTAATTTGTAAATTTACGAGATTTTAATTTAAAAGAAAACCCTACCATAATCAATTATTCGTTGGCGTCGATGTTTATTTTTCTTATGAAATCGCCTTTAACGACGTTCTTAAACCCTTTAAATACATCTCATTTAGTTAGTGAAATTCTAGGGACATTAAGTATATAATAATTTACATAACTGAGTTCACTCATTAAACTTCTCTTTCGGCAGATATTTTACACATACACTGTCCCTAAAAAATTTAACTAATTCAAATAATAATCTATCCCGATCAGTAAATTACAAAACAATTTAGTACCTGTATAGTGGTAAACCTATCATAATAATTTTTGCTGCTTATATACTGTGCTATCTGTTTCGTTTTCTTTTTTTTTAAAATTATAATTGTAATGATGATGATGGAAATGATCTTAAATATGCTCTTTATACAAGATTTCCTAGTCCTCCTCCACACCGAATTAATAGTTCCTAACTAATGCCTTCTATATATTTAATCCACGGAACAATTTTTGAGTAACACCATTTAAAACAATTTTAAATCATGTATCTGTTCTTTACATGCAACATTGTTTCTGTATCAATTTGATCATGCCTGTAAACCGATATACATTTCGTAATTATTTCGAGAATAGAATTTATTTATTTATATGGATAAAAATGCATAAAATCAGGAATTGTACTGTGTATAAGCTCAATCACCTAATCCGCGCGTAAACGTTCATCTTCAACTTCGTTTCATATTCTTTTCTTTTTATATAGTGAATTAATTTTTTTGTAATAGTTGAATTTATGAGTCGATTTAAGCTAGACCACCATTGAAAACCAGGAAGCACTGGACGGTTGTTTCATTCTATTATGGGACTCCTCAGTAGTGCGCATCTACGATCCCGCATACCAGATACGAAATCAGGACGTTCAGTCTCGCGCGCGATCACTTAACCTCCAGACGACTTGAACCGGCTTAGATCGACTCATGAACTCAACTATTGAAATTATTTTTTTTCACTACATATATTCTATATGTTTCATATCATTTTTATTACTAATATTATTAATAGAATTATTATTCCAGCCCCATTTGTTCTGAAGTATTGATAATTCTATCGAGGTGATAATGTGTCGTAAAGGCCTGATCCGATGTATATTTGATCTAGGTTTGAATGATTATTGAAGGAAGAAGCGAGGATATTTGTCATAAGAAAAACGTTGAATATTATTATTTAAATGAATAGAAAAATGGAGTTTCAGTAAATAAAAGAAAGGAGGAAAATTAAATAGTTATGAAACAGTGGGAATAACTTTTAGCTAATATGGATGTTTTATGGTTTAACTGTAGAGGTTTCGCTGGCGTTCTAAACAATACGTTATTGTCAGGGACTAATTCTATATGGATTAGGAATGAGATTGTTGTAAATATCACATAAAAAACATGAATCTATGTAATAAAAAATTTTTTCGGAACAAATAGATAGACAGATTGATAGATAAATACCATCGGATACCAAAACAAAAACAGAACTTACTTTATATGTTAAATCTTTTTCAGTTTTATTTATCATCCAGTATGGTGCATACAATGTTAAACATATTTGTCCCAGATTTGAAGTACGATGTAATCCTAAAGGCTATTTTTATATTAGAAAGAAAAGAGAGGAACATGCAATAATAGCAGTAATAATAATAATAATAATAATAATAATAATAAAACTTTATACAGTTTACATCAACCTATCAAATTCAATAAGTAAATATAGGCACTAAAAAAACCCTTTCGATTATCAATTAAGCGAATTCTCCCTATTAGTTGTGACGGAAATTGCGATATAAAGGTGACAATAATTATCAAGTGCATTATGCATAGAAATGTGAGAGGTATTTGCTGTTTAGCTTTTATTACTCAAAACAATGGATTGATAATAGCCTTAAACATTGATGTTTTCAATAGTACATATTCAACGGAGAAAATATAATGGACTGGATGGGATTTGAGTTGTTATGGAAGTAAATTACCTTGTTGTTGATATTTTGACTGGATTCTTGATCAGTCTTAGTTGGCATATGTACGTCCTGTGAAGATTGGCTTGATATAGCTATGATATCACAAGTTTATACAGAAAAACATGGGATGTGCTTAGTAGTGGAGAACTGGATCCATATTTTATCCTTTTTGGATGTATGTGATTGCATACTAGATTTGATTTTAACTCTAAGCTTCGGACCTAGTACATTTATACTCATTGTACAAGTGAATAGCTAACTGGACTCAGTAGCCAAGTGTTGGATCAGAATCCCGAATTAAGCATAAATTCCGGAACGCGGGTATATTCAGCTGACGAATCTCAGATACAAATGAGTAGAATTTATATTAATACCCTATTATATCTATAATGGTGTATAAATAAACAGTAAGAATGGGATACATCATCCGTCAAATTTCCTATATCATTTGATATTTCTATGATATTTTTTTCATTAAAAAGTTTTTAGTAAGAATTTAGCTTGACATATATTCAGTGTAGCATATATTTATTTAGTATTATCCCGATAAGAAGGTAAACCTTTTTATTATTTCCACTATTTTCAGTTACTTATGCTTCTTTATCATTGACTAATCACTAAATACCAGTAGAATCTTCAAAAATTGGGCGTATTTTGGCGAATAGATTGTGATCATGTTATGTTGGAGGTTGGATCGAGCCTTCTACCTGATAAAAGTCTTTGCCTTTTTGCTTGAGTCATGTGATATATCTAGTACCAATCTTCCGCAGCTAAAATCAAACAAACAGCCTATAATTTATCGAAATCATGAACCAATATAAGTTTGACCTCTGCTAAAAACCTGGAAGCACTGGACGACCGTTTCGTTGTAGTATGGGACACCTCAACAGTGTGCGTCCACGATACCGCACTCCGTAATCGAACCCAGGACCTTCAGTCACGCGTGAACCCTTAACCACCTCTAGACCACTTAGATCGGTTCATGATGTCAATGAAAGTCCACAATCTCCATAACCAGATACTGAATTAAACCATCACGTTAAGACGTTCCCAATGTAGAGTACTTGTTTTTGAAATAACTTAAAAGAAGCATAATTCGACTTTTAAAATACATACACACACTTACCAAGTTAAACACTTCGTATTCTTTACGCGATTCAAATTCAATGACACAATACTCTTCCATTTGTGGATGTAATTCCAGTTTGCCTCGATACATGCTGCCAGTGTATTCGAACTTGAGATGATAAAGAAAACATTTATTACAATTACAGCTACAAATTATCATTCAACACCTTAAAAAAAACTAAAGTATTGTTCCTATGAAAAATGATAATTCTATATGAAGATGAAATGTAAGTAAGCGATTATACAGGAAGCCTAATTAAGATATGGTATAAGTGTATCAATTCGCTATTTAAATGAAAAATGTTGGTAGGTCGGTACGACTTGGTTGCGATCAATACGATCATTACGATCAAAAGTTGAAGACGACGGGTGAACAGGTTCGACTTGATCATTTTCAGTACATTGCAAAATTCAATTTCCTATTCATTGTGATAATACGAATATATGACTATTATAATCTACTATTGACGGACGCACGTTATTGGTCAAGATTTGAATTAGCTTTCTGCGGAGATAAAGATACGTTATTAATTGAAAATCCAGCTTTAGTTTCTGCAACAGAAAGATATACATTTATGGATGGAATTCGCTACTTAGTTTTTTCACTCAAGTAGCTGGTTAGGTTGGTTTATAGGAAGGATATATATCATTAGCAGAGTCCAATGATCGGATAGTACTGTTTAGCAACAAACATAACTGTGTAATTAACTAAGGTGGTTTGTGTGAAGATTCTTTTATCGATGGAAGGTGGTTTTAATACCAAACTTAACTGGATGATCATTGAAAATCAGAGAATATTGGACAGCTTTTTCATTCTTTTGTTTCAGATCACTTAAAAATATGAACTCACGAACGCATATGGGATTAACTACAAGACCTTAGAATATGTTTCTTCAAGAACGGAATGGTTGTTTAGAAATAAAGAGTATTATAATAATGTGTTTTTGTACTTACTGAAATTTCAATTTGTGCACTATTTGGTGGTGCAGTCTTCAGTGCATAATGACTACCGGCAGAAATTGTGTCGGTAATATCCTAAAACAATACGAGAATACAACTAATTACTAAAATTTCAAAGACTGCGGTTTGTACAAATATAACAAACGTTTAGAATAATAAAACTCCATCTCTGAAAACTAATAAAAAGGATACAGAAAGAACAATGAAAGACATCAGTGGTTGGCAATGCGATCATTACTTTAAATACGAAGATGAGAAATACTTCACTCTAATAGAATCACAAACATCTCATAAGTGGAGATGTAAGATACAGTATCGCATTAACTGATGAATATCCATAGATGAAGACTATTCTTAATACTAGTTACTTAATAAGTCATATCATAGGTTTATTCTTTACAGTACTAGCCAAGACATATAAAAACTCATTCAACAATGCTATTGTTCAGTTGCTTTAACATTGAAATCCAGTTCCACACGTCTATCCCAACTTCGTTAATTAAAGTATGACAAAACTGTTCTTAAAAACATTTTAGTTCCCCACAAGAAATTTTATAGAACCAGGCAATGTGCATGACAAAAACCTATGATAAATAACATGTAGGTCTACGCTAGTGCGCGTATTTTAGTTGCAAACTCAGTCTTAAGAATGTAATAGTCTTGAGTGTTGTTAGAAGTATGAGGACAGTTATCACTTCCCGGTTGCCCACACCGTGGAAGGGTCCTTCTGGAGGTACCTGAAAAAGAAATTGGGTTAGAGTTGATCTTAGTGACCTGAGAGAGTGACCGCAGTGCCTAAGGCACAACTGCTCGAGGCCCGTCACACAAGACCTTTTTGTGAGTCATTTTCCTGTTAGCTCCGTACTCGTTGAGACCTTAGCACCAGAAAAGGAAATTCGTGGAATGAGTCGAGGTGTGCATTTTTAGGGTCGACCTTTTCCAACCCCGCCCATTCTTGTGGGAAGGCAGCATCGCTGTTATGTTTGTCTGAAGGAAACACATTACTGCCGTTACACCTCTGTACAGTCAGCAGTACGACTTCGCCCCCGGACCTTGGGTTTGCTGCTTTTAGTCTTAACGCTCTTCAACCGACCTGTCTGGTATGGTAGAACCTTGAGGAACGGTTATTTCAGCCAGTATAACCCGATTGGTTCATCAGGATAGGCAAGCTTGACCACTACATCAAGGTAGCAATAACCGTCGGGTTGGTTGCAAACTACCTCCAACTGTAGTGTATGCTAATTATGCTGACAGACATAAGTAGTCTGTAGCAGCAATCGGAATTGGAATACCTACCAGTAAAAGATTAAATCGTAGAGTAAAGTGAAGGAAACAGAGAGCAGATGGGATAACAACAGAATTGAAAGAACCATGACATATGTAAAGTACAACCGAAAGAAAATTTGCAAATAACGTATTTAGTATATAGTTTTCATATCTCACAAAAGCATTCCGTAAGTTTACGGCCGAGAGTGGGGCTAGTCCGCACTCCCTCTCCAAATGCCCTCAAATGGCCACGCGTATATAGCCTCTGACAGGGAAGTCCTACTCACTACCTTCTCGTGGCGGGAGTGTTGTTTACGAAAATGAGAGGACGAAAAGCGAATGTCCGGCGCTTTAACCGGATCACAAACCAATGGTGCACATGGGCTCCAGTATCCTCAAGGAACAAATGGCGTATGAACCAATCGTTGGTCACCGGCTACCATGGGACTGCATTTCCTTACGATGCTCCACTGCCTTGTGGGTCAGACGTTCAGGTCAAAGGCTCGGGGTGTGGCCCCCTAAGAAAACCACCTGCTTCGGTTTGGGCAACCGGGCAGTATCACAGCCCTCACACAAATCAATTGAGATTCGTGTGGCGCTTATATATTTGGTGCCTTCTTGTACCAATATCTATGTGTTTAAATAAATAAATCCAACCGTTAATTGGTTTTCCCCACCCGAGTTCTCATTCATTCACTACACAACCACCACCATCTTACATCTCATCAATGTGCACGTAATGTCACTAACTTCTAATCTGAGCCATGTTGGTAGATGCAGACTACTTGGTTGGGGTCCTCGTGACTATCGTAACCAATCGTTGGAGACTCCGAGTGACATTGCTCAGAATCGGTCACATTGGCGTCGGTGTATCATCTCGTTAGCTTCCCTTAAACCGTGAGATTAAAATTGCTCTATACCTTTCTGTCTACGAACCAATTTTTTCTTGCTGTATTATATCCTTATACACAATCTTTTATATATGATCACCATCGAGTTAAGTACTTCTATAAATTTGGTGTTCATCTTGTTGTGCTAATGAAGTGCGGCAACTTGTATCGATCCATATATGTGCCTGGTCCTACGTTTTGCTGACTGACTGATGCGATGTCGATTCATTTAAATTAGTAATCCACCTTACAATCTGAATGATAAAATCTGGTCAATAGAAAGAAATAGACAAAGATTAAATTGATTACTACCTTCAGTGATTAATTAATTGTAAATCTATAAGTCCTACAAGAGGTCCTTCGCAGCCCACAAAGCTCGGTAATAACGTTTCAGACTATGAAGCTGACAGAGTGATGACGGTTCTGATCCCTCAAGAAGCAACTCTTCTCTCAATATTATAGATATGACATCCTGATGACTTCAAGCTAGCATGAAACTAAAATCTTAAAAAACAGGTTTTCCTGCTAAAAAACATCTTCAATATAATGGTAAGAGAAAAGGCACACTTACTGTTAATATAAAATTAATTGGGAACGGCAGTTGATTATACAAAACTACAGCAGTTTGGATAATCATTTGAAAATCACAGTGTGTTACGCTTAATTTATCTCCTTGAATCATTTTCTTTTGAGTTGCACGTAATTCATCCGCCACTGCAGTTAATGATGTTTTACGCTGTTGATCAGTGTTACCAGTATTACTATCATTATTATTATTATTGTCAAGACGATTATCCTTATCACTGTGATTTACAACAGCAACGTTATAAAAGTATACTATACCATTATTATTCATACTACTACTGTTTGTATGGCATTCAACTAATTGATTAGGCCATTTAAATTGCGAGGAATTGGATATTTTATATTCTATACTTGTAGACGACACTGATTGAGCGTACGGTGCAAGAAAAGGTAAATGAGTATCTGTGTTACTTGGAGTGTATTTTTCAACTCCACAAGCGAATTCTGGCCAATAAGCAGGAGTCACTGAAATGACTGGTCTAAAACAAAAATGGTATAAAAAAAAGAATATATGCAAATATTACATCCGAACGAAGAATAAGTTAATGGTAACTGCTAGGAAATATTTATGGACTATTATTACATATATTCCTATTGGACAACTATTAAGTAACTAGATTATATGTATATTCATATTTTTTTTATCATAAGCTTTCATTTGACTTATTGGCTACTGTTATACAATTAAATATTCTTCATTTATTCCCAATCAATTAGTTAAAATCTCTCACACTCACAGCAACTTTTGGCTTAATCTTGCTACGTATTACACACCTTAAGATGAAGAAACTAGATTTTTGCATAGAGGTGTTCAACCAAACTGATATTATTTAGCCTAAAATAATCAGATTCCAATATTTGTAACAAGAAGAAATGGGAAGAGACCCGTAATGATACATACATATTTCCAGACAAGACTGTTAGATAAAAATCGAAGGAAAATTATGTCTGTCTGTTATTTACAAAAAATCCCAACTGACTAAACAATTTTTGTGAAATAGTTTGCTTACACCCTTTATCCACCACTTATTTAATTGCGTATACTATTTTCATATTTCTCCGTGTCAATATCTGAGTCCTACGGGAGTTAAGTTGCAGGTTGAACATTTCAGTAATGTTCCAGACAGACGGTGAAACTGAATGACTCGAGTTCAAATTGAACCAAGCGCATCCGTTATCTCAATATTTTAGATATAGGTTACTGGTGAGTTTGAACTAGAACGAAACTTAGTTTCACTAAATAAATAATGTAAAATAATGAAAATTATTCAAGTCAAACAATAGCATCCCAAAGATAAACAATAACTAACTTTTCATATTCCGGTCCAATAAATATCCCTGTTTGTTGACGAGAATTAACGATTTCTACAGGAAGTGAATATGACTGACCGGCATCAATAACTGTTAATAAACCAGGTAGTTGATTTGCTATAGATGATTTTATTAAAGGTGAGTAGATGCAAATACGTTCAGAAGTATTATTCAAGACCTGTTGAATAAATACATGAGTAATAATAACAATAATAAAAAGAATTGATAATACATCCGTAATTTATGAATCACGAAAAAAGACAGATTAGCCACATATAAGCAACGTATGACCTGACACATATATGCATTATTTCAAGTTGCTACAATACATTAACACCATTATCAAGGCAAATACCTGAGTAGTGGAAGACAACGGTATGATTCGACAAGAATGGATTTGTATAATAAAAATGGGCAGTATAAGATAGTTTAGAGACAATAAGCTAACAAACATGCCTCATTGTAAACGATTATAAGCTGTCACACAGCAATGTGCAACCATTGTTCACGATAATTGTGCAAACACTAACAAGGTAATATGCACCTGCTTAAATCGTTTAGTACAACAGTTGATGACTTTATAAACTGAAGTTAGATATTATTTTGGCTGCCTCTAGCCTTTCTTAACCCAATCTCACTCAAACGATAATTGATATTATTCATCGAGGTAGTCAATGGTCGGGTATACATAGTATATGCCACAAACAACTCGTCAAAAGGCAAACATTCACAGTCAACTGATTTTAACACATAATTTCATTGGTGTACCATGAAATAAATATTAAATGCACCAGATAACACTACGCAGAACCAAATCGACCATATCTGCACCAACAAAAAGTTCAGGAGGACGATGGAGGATGTGAGAACCAAGAGAGGAGTTGATATAGCATCAGATCATCACTTGCTGGTCGCCAAGATGAAACTGAAACTCAAGAAGCACTGGACAACGGGGCGGACAATATCACAAAAGTTTAATACGGCTCTTCTTTGGGATATTGACAAACTCAACAAATTCAAGATAGCCCTAAGCAATAAGTTCCAGGCCTTTCATGATCTACTCAATGGAGAAGGAACTACTATGGAGAGCAACTGGAAAGAGATAAAAGAGACAATCACTTCAACACGTCATGAGGCTCTGGGCCACAAGAAGCACCACCACAAGGAATGGATCACTATTGATACAATAGATAAGATTCAAGAAAGGAGCAACAAGAAGTCAGCAATCAATACCAGCCAAACGAGAGCAGTAAAAGCCAAGGCACAAGCTGAATACACAGAAGTAAACAAGCAAGTGAAGAGGAGCATCAGAACTGACGAAAGTAAATATGTGGAAGATTTAGCAATGACGGCGGAAAAGGCTGCAAGAGAAACAAACATGAGACAATTGTATGACACAACAAAGAAAGTCGCTGAAAATTACCATAAACCAGAACGACCAAATGCCCTAGAAGGGCCGAGAGTGGGGCGAGTCCGATCTCCCTCTACAAATGCTGTCACACGGCCACGCGTATATAGCCTCTGACAGGGAAGTCCTACTCACTACTTTCTTAACGCATTACTCTTGTTTACGAAATTTAGAAGACGAAAAGCGAATGTCCGACGCTTTAACCGGGTTGGTGGACACGGAGAGTCCACCTAGGGGAGTTGGAAAACCCTCATTCCAAACCAATGGTGCACATGGGCTCCAGTATTCTGAGGGAAAAATTGGCGTATGAACCAATCGTTGGTTACCGGCTACCATGGGACTGCATCTCCTTACGATGCTCCACTGCCTTGTGGATCAGACCTCTAGATCGAAGGCTCCGAGTTTGGCCCCTTAAGTAAACCACCTGGTTCGGTCTGGGCACCCGGGCAGTATCATAGCCCTCACACAAATTAAATGAGATTTGTGTGGTGCATATCTATTTGGTGCCTCCTTTTATCAATGTTTGTGTTTAAATAAATAATAATAATAAGGAAGGCAAAGTAATCACCAACATCGAAGAACAGCGAAACAGGTGGGTAGAACACTGAATCGACTAGCCCTACTGAAACCACCCGAACATACAAGCAGCACCCACGAACCTACCAATCGATGTTGGTCTACCAACAATTGAAGAGGTCAGCATGGCCATCAGACGAATCAAGAGCGACAAAGCAGCGGAGCCAGACATCCCAGTAGAGGCACTGAAAGCAGATGTAGCAAACACTCAGCCAACATCAAAGTCTGAGTTTTCAATACGAACGTCAATACAGTTCTACTGCTGAAACGTGGAGAACTAATAAAACCATCATCAAAAAGTACAAGTGGGGAAGATTTGTAGCTCAGTTGGATGAATATGATGGAATTTTATTCTCTGACCTGGATGGTTTGGTTGTGGAGTTTTCATAGTTATTCTGAACGACGTCATCAGCACAATAACAGCATAGTAGTATTAAAACCTCAGGTTTTAGTGAGACCATGATTCATTCTCAGCCCAAACAATTCGTATGAGTAACAGTTTGACTGGCTTTCATCTAACTAGCAGGTTCTTACCGTTACCGAACAACGTGAACGGAATATTAACCTAAGCTGCCTTACTCCTAATGAGGTTGAAGAGCTACAGATAATCTAAGCACGGTTATTATTTAATTATTTATTTATTTTAACACATAGGTATAGGTACAAGGAGGCACCAAATAAATATGCGCCACACAAATCTCATTTGATTTTTGTGAGGGCTGTGATACTGCCTGGATGCCCAAACCGAAGCAGGTGGTTTTCTTAGGAGGTCACACCCGGAGCCTTCGGGAGAGCAGAGGTACCTGGTGTATTCAAATGGGGGTTCTTAAAGATAGTAGCTCAGATTTAGTAGTTAGATACACAAGTTTGAGTTTACAAAGTGGACCAAGCGTTGTTAGTAAAATAAATAAATATTCTGTTTGACTATCAAATAGAAAAGGTGGTTTACTACATACTTACCTGAACAGTTGAACGAAAGGTTATCGATTTCACTCCCAGACATGCTTCAACATCAGCAATGATTGGATAAATGGTACCTTTACGATCTGAATTCGTAGGTTTTTCATTGCTGGAATCTTTTGATAAACAAAGCAATTCGCTATCACCTCGATACAATTGAAAAACAACTTCAGAATTCGATATGAAACTACCAGGTTTAAGACTTGTATCTGATAAAGAAATCCAAATATGGTGACGTGAATCCTTATATGAAGAAATAATGGACTGTTTCTAAAAAAAAGGTAAAAAGAAACGTAAGATATGTATATCATTGAATTTCAGGTCCTTGTTCTAAGAGTTAAGTGTTCGCACGGGAACCGATGGTCTTGAGTTCGATTCCCTATAGCAGGGTCGTAAATGCGCACTGATGATAAGTCCTATACCAATAGTCCCCTATACCACAATAGGAGAAACAGCAGTCAAGTGCTTCCTCATTTTCAACGTTGGCATCAGTCCGTTATCCAAACAATAACAAGAAATTAATTTGTTTCACATATATAGTAGTATACTATGAAAAATGTTGGTAAACGTTTAGTATCCAAGAGACAAGGTTTATAATTCATCATCACTAATATTTACATTACACTAAGTGTGCAACAGGTTTTCATACAAAAAAACATCAAAAAAGACCCAAAAGCATTGAGGGAAATATTCAATTTTATGGAGAAAGATTGGCTGCCAACGACTCATTTGTTTTCCCGTCACCGACAAGCATTGAATATGTGGACTGCGAATGCAATATAATGTTTTTTTTAAAAAAAACATTCTAGGGCCTAGAAACTATAGACAAATCCATATTGCTGGTCAGAAAGGTCTTGATGTCATTAATTCTGTAAAGGAAATCTAGACGAATAAATTGACAGTTTGACTAAAAAGAGAATACAACTGCCTTCTATATTTACGGCCAGATCACACGAGCCTCAACACAAGAAATTTTTACAATAAAAGTAAAATTACTTTGTCAGTTTTAGCCAACTCAGTAAATCCGATTTCTTGTTGTGAATTAAGTAGGATCGAATTTTGATACGTTACTATATCATGTTCAGTATTTGAAACAACTGTTTTGTTAGATCCCGATGGTGTTTGATGAAGAGATTCACCTTTAGTCATTGTATTATCACTGTTGAAGTGAGTCAACGATAGAGCTTGAGAATTATATCGTAGCGCCAGCTGACAACCAGTATTATTCACAATTCGATAGGGTGCTATAACTCGATTGCTTGAATCATCGTATTTCGATTTGATATTTTTCAACTTATAGGCTGCTTCAAATGACTGAAAGTATATATAAGAAATAATGTCAATATAAAAAGTAATAGGTAAGTGATTGTTTAACTATGGAGTAAAATGTGACTAGCATAAATCAGAATAATTCCATGCTAATGAGATGAGAGCATGTCCGAGTTTGGTTAAAACGATCAACTTGAACAAATAAAAACAACGGAACCTATGAAGGCGACCAAAAATATCATTACGACGAAATGGATTAACGTTCCTGAAATAAACGTAGTCACTTCTCCAAGAAGTATATGTTGTTGTTGTTCAGAACGAAGACACCCGTAACTAAAATATCTAGCTGAGAGAACTCAACAAAATCAAGAGCTTGTCCAGTTTTGAGACAAAATACCCGTGAATAAATAACTTCAGCTGAAGAACTTTAGAGAATAGGACAGTTGTTCCATTCCCATTTCTTAGATGTTTCACAATGAAACACTATAATAATAATAATTATTTATTATTTAAGATTACCATTTTGTCTCATCCGACTGTATGACTGTACGGTGATAAGAGCGAATGATTTTCCATATTCTTTTTTGTCTAAACTTCCAAGCACAGATATGTAAAATGTTAGAATTTAATAGATTCTAGTCTACTATATGGCTGAGATTATCATAGAAAATTTTCATGTTTAGTCTATTTCTTTAGACAGCTAAATAAAATCCATTAGTAAAAATAAATATCTTATAGTAAGTTGTGAGGACTTTAAATGCTACATTTATTGCAGTCTTATAAGAAATAAGACGTCAGCTTAAAACTGTGGTTTGTTTGTCTGAATATACGGCTTTTTTAAAACCAGAAGTTCATAAGTTCAAACTCAGTTGCATGTGGTGTGAACAAAAATAAGTAGTAGATAGTAAGAATTGGAATGCTTACCAGCAAAAGATTGAAATTAAGAGAAGGGGAAGGAAAACAGAGAGAAATCGAAATAACAACAAGACTGGAAGAATGATGGAGTATATAAAGGACAACTCAGAGAAAATGTGAAAATACTTAATGTATGGTTTTCACATTTTAAAAATGACCTGTTTGATTTTGCACAAAAGAATAGAGTGGTTTAAAGTGATTAGCAAATAATCAAACTACAATCTTTTGAAATTTGCCGAAGCGACAGTGATCAAACGTCTAAAACAAGATCTATGTATCCAAGAATAGGCAGTAATAAATCTTTCTTTGTCCTGGAAACATTACTCCCTTTTTTTATTTATTACCTCATTCATTATTTCAACTCTTTCTGAAATGTAATTACATCGTTGTCATCATACACATATATTTAATCAACCTCGTATGTATAGGTATACCAATATCTGTAATAACGTTGATTTTAAAATACTACAGGTTGTAAACAGCTGATGAGAACCTAACGAAATAAAATGAATTCATATAACTCGTTCTTGCTCTCTTTAAAATAAGACTTATGTGTTATCATCAACGTCGATAGAAGCGGTTTTGGCCTAACCATTAGTAATAAATAATTCTCATCTTAATTTTATACATTAGTGTTTCATTTACAAATTTTAAATCCCATTTTAAGTTTTCAATTTACTGACTATTCTTTTGGCGATAGATACTGAAAAACTGAACTAATCGAATTCTATCAATCAAGTTCCAAGGTGACAACAAGTCTAAGTGACTCAACATTGCGTATATGAAGCACAGTGATTGAAGTAAATCGGTAGGTTCGACCATAATCAAGGACTTGACATAGATGAATATTGATGACTACTCAGTGATTAACCAATTTTAAATATAACTCAGTTCCATAGGAGGTTAGTAAAAGAAAGATTGTATGTAAGGATATAATACAGGAAGAAAGAATTAGTTCGTAGAAAGAAAGGTATAGAGCAATTTTAGTCTCACGGTTTAAGGTAAGGCAAAGAGTAGATACACCGACGCCACTGTGGTCAATTCTGAGCCATATTACCCAGAGTCCCCAACAATTGGTTACGATAGTCACGAGGACCCCAACCAAGTAGTCTGCATCTACCAACATGGCTCAGACTAGAAGTTAGTGACTTCAAGCGCTGATGCCACGTTTTGGTTTGACAGCCCCTAACTGTCTTCCAACCATCCCCAACATTAGTCAGCATCGCGTGTCGTGGTAAACGGCGTTCAGGCATATGTAACACGTGGCCCAACCATCTCGGTCAATGAAGATTCATAACCTCATCAACTTATTTACTATCATTCCCTAATACCATACGTCTAACGTCATTATTACTTACCCGATAATCCCAGCAGGTGTGAGTAATATTTCTAAAACAACTGTTGTCAAGCATCAGTAACTTACGAGTATCTTCTACTCTTAATGGCTACGTTTCGCAGCCGTAAAGTAAAACAGAACGAACTGCCGCGCAGTATACTCATCCCTTAATTGATAGACGGATACCTCGCCTTTGCCATAAGTGACGTAAGTTGGCAAAAGCCAAAACGAGCTTTTTGAATCCGTGCAGAGATTTCGTCAGACACCAACCTATTAGGGCTGACCATACAGAATTTAAACCAATGACCTATTTGAACGACTGATCGATTATGTTGTGCCGAACTAATTTTTTGAAACTCCCATACATATATACATTTTAATGTGGAAAAAGAAATTATCATCGTGACAGTTCAGTATGCAAAGAACACCATTGAAATCGATCAAAATTAGTCTCATAACAATGTTACTAACAATCCATGCAAAATAATAATAATTAATATTACTTACACGACCCAAATTACTTAACATATTTAAAGCAGTTTTAGATATAGTGATTTCTAAATTATCTCTGGACAGAATTAACATTGTATTCCTTGATTCTTGTAGACAGCCAATATTCTCCCAGTCATCATCGGTTAAACATTCGGCCTTATTATCAATACTGATTATTTCCAATTGAAGGGACCACATGCGATCACCTTCTTCTGGTAAAGTTTCAATCAATGGTTCCCATTGGTTAAGTGAATCATTGTAATATGATAGGGATAATTCTATTAGAAACTTTAATTCAAGCTGAAAATAAAAAGAGGTGAGAACAAAAGTATATTAGTCATTATCAACATATATCCTGGTACAAGTGTCTGCTGGTCTAAATTACCACACATCATATTAACACAATGGATGGAGATCAACAAGGTGATAAGTCGCCAACGGGAAAGAATATCAACGCGAGTGAAAATCTAGCCGCATAATATACAAATGGAAAGGAATGAATGAGATCAAAGAATAGAAAGGTGAGAATGGAACTTGATTCAAGATTTAGAGGTATTCAAGTAATCATTGCAACTATACCATCTAATTCGAGGTCTGTAATCACTGGTTATGGAGTATTGCATGGTAAGTTGGGACCTCCTCATGCAGCGCATAGCAACTGTCAATACTTCTACGTACGAATCCTGCATCTTGCGTTGTCCACATTTAGCTTTATTCATACCTGCAACTTTGTTAATCAATTAAGAGCACAAACTATACAGAAACAATAGTGATTGAGATTCTTCTGAATACACCTTATTGAAAGTCAAAAAAAAATTTTTAATGTCAGATTAATGAACTTTTGTTTCAGCAGTTGATTGCTATTTTTTGTTTAAACTCCGTCAACATTTGTATGACTTAGCGGTTAAGGTATCCGACGTTAAGCCACTAAGTTCCACATTCGAAAGCCATTCCACCTAGTTCCGTTTCGGCAACCTGGTAAAACTATCACCCTACAAACTCAGGGTGTGGCTCATACCCAAGTATCTGGTAAATAAGTCATTGATAAACATTATTATAGTGCAGACAAATTGTTAGTATGGTTAACTATCGACATGCAGTAAGTCAGTCACCTGAAATATTTGAAGACCTCTGAAGTGTGCAGATGAAATATGTGTTACATTACGCAAGGTAAATGAGCAAAATACATAAACTGGGTTAAAAAAATACTTTCGAAGTTTTTCAATGTTGTTATTCACCAGTAATATAGGGAATTGTCAATATTACGAACTGTTATCTCATGTTACTAACTGCCAAATAAAAATCAAATAATGTAACTTGATATAATAGGTACGGCACGAAAGCTTTTTCTTTTATATATTTAGATTTAACCATTACATTAGTGCTATGTTTGAAGAGATTACGAGATCACCTAAACCGGTGAACGGAACGAAGAATCAGTGAAACAATGACAAAATAAGCTAACTATTCTATGTGTCTCAGGCCCACTAACTAGATGAAGAAGTTCAGGCTCTGAAGAGAAAAAGTGTATTTCACAAGCAGCCCAAAAGCACGAAAAACAACAGGCACAACTTAAGCCTATACATACAGCATGAAAATGTCTTTAGGAGACATCATAAAATAGCCTATGAAAAGAGACAATGAACCAATGACATTAATAATCCTTCCAAATGAGAAATACAATCTAAAGGTAAAAATGGGTGCTTTTGACGCAAAACAAGAAATTCAAATTTCCAAAATAAAATTACAAAAATAAGACGTTTGCCAAGCGAGTTCTGAGGGTTTAACATACCCAACAATAAGTTAAATGAAGTTCAAGGTATTCTATGGTTAGTGAAAAAGAAACCTCCATATACCAACCACAACAAAACAACAGCATATTTTTGCACTTAAAAAAACCGTATATTATAATTATCACTAAAATTACAAGCCACTTGAATTGTGATGAAATGAAGTTCTTTTCTTCAGCAATCACATATATGAAAAAAAGAATGTAGAGAAATGTTTTATTTTATGCGTAAAGCAAGTCAGGCTAAAAAAAGGGTGACTTTCTTCTCATCAAATGAAATGGTATTTTCTACATCATCATCAACATAGATCGCTGAAATGAAGGGGTATGCTATCGAAGCATACTTAGAAATTATGTAGTGTATATGATGTGTTCTATTATAGGCCTTTGTACCTTTTTATAGATGCTTCTATTTTGTTCAATGAAGTGACAGAATGTCTACCGGATAACATAAATCATACTAATTAATCTGTTTTTCTTTGAAACACTACAATAAACCATTAAAATGTTAAGTAATATCACATATATACGTATAAAAATTATAAAACATACATTTACAATTGGTTTAGTTAGAACTGCATCCAAACTGGAGTCAAGAACAAGCATTGGCATAGATTTTGTATCTAATTGAGATTCCAGTATAATTCGGATCGTTTTTAATCGAATATTTATCTGCAAAAATAAGCAATATATAAACATATAAAAATGAGAAATTAAAAACATTAAAAAGTTAATTATCAATAAAAATGACCTTCAAGAGTTGTATCACTAAAGTCATATTGATAAAAAGTGAACCATTTGAGAATGGTTCACCCAATCAGTTGGTCAGGTTATGAATCTTTATCGACTGAGATGGTTGGGCCACGTGTTACATATGCCTGAATACCGATTACCACGACGCACAATGCTAACCGGTGTTAGGGATAATTGGAAGAAATTTAGGGGCGGCCAAACCAAGACGTGGCATCAGTGCTTGAAGCCACTGACTTCTAGACTGAGCCATGTTGGTAGATGCAGACTACTTGGTAGGAGTCTGCGTGACTATCGTAACCAATGGTTGGAGACTCTTGGTGACATGGATCAGAACCGATCACAATGACGTAGGTGCATACACTCTCTGTCTTCCTTTAAACAAAGAGATTAAAATAGCTTCATGTCTTTCTTTCTACGAACTAATACTCTCTTCCTGTATTATATCCTCATATGCAATCTTTCCTTTATATATTACCACCATTGAATTAACTGCTTCTATGAATCCGGTGTTCATCTTGTTGTGCTAATGCAGTATGGCAACTTGGACCGATGCATATACGTGCCTGGTCCTACGTTGCAGCTGACTGACTGAACTATTTGAGAAATTATAGGATAGAAATCATCTAAATATTTAGAAGGATCTTATTTATATAAGTGTGTATTTTCATATTGATGTTAAAGGCTTCAGGTTGATTATTCCCTATTGATGTGTATATGTGAATCATAAGCGGATTGATATAAGATTATACGGTTAGACAATATCTAATTCCATTAAAAATTACAAATGAATAACAATAATGAGAGAATCTGTTGTGATGGGTGGTATCCGAAATCTGATACTGATACACGGTGTGTTACACACTATCCACCCCCCACCAACTGACTACTTGAGAGAGAACACAAGAATGAGCGAGAAAGTAAATTGGGATACCGAATAAAATGCATAAATACTACTCTATCTGAAATCAGTAAGTGTTGGGTGCTTCAAATGAAGGGTACTAAGGTTCGAGTCCCGATGTGAACATAAACAGTAGTATACAGGTACATTCATCTGATGAATACCAAATGGAATGAAACATGTGTCCTAGGATCCATTGCTCCCCATTATCTAATATTAATAAAAACTTTTGCAGATTCTATCTGATATCAAAACACTTTCTATTAAGTACCTTGTAAAGTTAAAAGAAAGCTTAAGACAAATGTCAAGCAACAAAAGTACAGATAATAAAAATACATTGTTGAAAGAATGACAAGATCAATTTTTACAAACAATGAATGTATTCAGCATATCTTTGATTGGTTAAACCCATAAACATGAAACCCTTTTTATTAACAATAATGGTATCATATTAGATTCACAAATGAAATAAAATGACACTAATGATGAATCATGAATTGTATACACTTAGTTATTTTTTTCTGTGTAACATACCACAGATAACTCTACAAGATAATGAGAGAAAAAATGAACCTTCTGTTTTTCGATAAACTGATATAGAATAGTGGTGTAATACTTTATCACATGTAAGAATTACACAATAAAATCTAAATTGTTATAAAAATGTATCATATATTATTGATTATATTTAAAAAGGAATGATAATAAGAAAACAAATAAATGATATTGTAATAAATCAATACATTTTTCATATATGATCAATATATATTATTAAACAGAAATCAATTTTGGGACAAGATAGAAAATTTCTGATTTTAGATTAACTATAATTGTGTATCTGATTATCAATGTGAACGTAATTGAAGAATAGATGAAATAGGTCTAATCTACAAGACAGTGTAATAATGTTAGGAGATGCAGTCCCATGGTAACCGGTGAAAAACAATAGGTTCCTACAACATTTGTTCCTTTAGGATCCTGGAGCTTATGAGCACTGTTTTGGAATCAAGGTTTTTCCAAGTCCCCTAGGTGGACCCTCAGTACCAACCAACCCGGTTAAAGCATCGGACATTCGCTACTCGTCCTGGAAATTATGTAAAAAAACACCCGGTGGCGAGTAGACAGTGAGTAGTACTTCCTTGATAATGGCTGTATACACGTGCCCATGTGAGAGGATTTCGAGATGGTTTGATGAGATTAAAAAAACATAAGTAAGCCCCTGTAATGATTCAATAAAAACGCCGATTACTGTTACCTTATAGTTGTCTGCAATGGTCGCTGAATGAACTGCAATGTCCCACTTGTTCGGTCGAACAAAACTGATAAGACTTGATGCAAAGAATCAATAATTTAATGGGTGCATAAAACATGCGTTTCTCCCCCCCTCTCTCTCTTAAATGCAAGTTGTTTCAGGTATGGCCTGTGTCAATACCTCAACTAACGATAGGAAGTGAAGTAATCGAACGCGTCGACATTTTAATTTATATTGGAAGTCTGATCAACCCTAATGGGTTGATGTGCATGGCTTCGGAAAACTCGTTTATCTCATGTTTCTCCCGATTAGAGACTTGTCAGTTAGACGAAACGTGGATCTTGGACTAGACTGTAAGTCACAATCAATCTATTCTGTAAAGACGTGTCACATTATGGCTATATTGAGGTTAACCACAGAAGATGCACATATATTCTAACAAAAACTGAGATCAAATCTCAGTCAAGAATATCAACATAATTTCAAAAGCATCAGAAATTAAGTCAGAGTGATTTATTTTGTTTGTTTCAAGCAACGGTCACTATACGTGACTCATATTTAGAGAAAATATGTACATTGAGAAGTAATAGATTACTGTACCGAATGATTTGAACAGTTATTTAAAGATACATTACCCACACTTCTCAAAAAGACATATCATTGACTTGAGGCCGTTTTTTTGTTAACATTGTTCTCGAAGTTAACATAATTAATTATGTATGACATTATAGCAAATATTTATGCCAGTAACCAGTAACTAAATTAATGGTATATGAAGAGTGACTACATGTAATTTAAGGAGCTGGATACACTCATTCATGTAGAAATGCTTTCTGGGGAAGGGTGGAAATTCGGTAGAAAAATACTTCAGTAAACGTATCGATCAACAGATCCTACCTTCCATACAACGTCTGATCCAACTTTGTAGACAATTTCAGAAGAAAATTCCTATGAAACATTATGATCACAGTGAACCAAACATTTTAAAAATCTTTAATTGTAAAAACTAAGCGACTGAAGGTTCCCATATTTTTACGCAAAATCGTAATTTACTTTCATTTAAGGTAGAAATTGTTTAGTTTGAATAAAATTTACGTTCTGAAGTTATTTTAACTAAACAATAAATGAAAACTACAGAAACATTTGAAAGCTCATTTCATACTAATGTGTGATTCCTTAAGAGTTCACACAAAGTAAACTACTGGGGATCCAAATCAAAACATTTAGATTTCAAGGGCCGATACCTTAGACAGTTGTAATGGGAAGTAATAGTTTACAAATAACACTGACATACATAAACAATACAAAACTAAGATAACAAAAGTTGATTATTTTACAATGAAGTACATAATACACAAGTAGTGCTATGAATAATAATAATAATAATAACAGTAATAGTAATAATAATTACTGATATCATAAAAACTAACTATATCTATGCGGCGGTTCTCCATTTCTTCGACCACTTTCGTAACATCACAAGCATGTTCAACACATTCAATTTTATCGTTTGCATCTGGAATTCGAATTATGAAATTTAAAAAGAACGATACACAGGAATTAATAAAAATGTTAAATATTTGAAGTGAAAACTTCATTCAACTGGGGATGTAAAAGATTTCGACATTCAAAAGTAGAACAGTACATCAATGAAATTACTGTATATTAAGATTAAGTAAATCAACATAATTAATATCTCTGTCTAATAAACAATTTTCGAAGCCGGTTGAACATTGAACAGATGATATATTACAATAGATAAAGAGATTTCAAAGAGAAACAAAACTTCGAAACCATGATAATGATTAGTTAATCTTGAGATCAGCAAAACATTGACTAATCTAAACGGTAAGCAATTTTTGTTCATCTAAGGATTCAAATATTTTATGCTGATGATTACAATCATAATAGTAATTAAACTGTATAATAATAATTTACCTGATGTTAATCCTAAATAAGGCATATTTAATTCTTTCAGTTGAATCGGTTTCCAAAATTCAGTAAGTGATTTTTCATCCGAATGATCTAAACTGACGCCTTTCATAGATTCATCCTTTGAAACAGTTTCACAAATATCTGGATTTTTGTTAGTGGTTAAAGATGATTGAACAGATGAGGAAATTGCTGATAATAATCTGATTGTGTTTGGATTAATATTGATCGTTAGAGTATCCATATGTAATGTTCCATGTAAACTACCATTAATGGGTTGAGATGCATAAAAACTCAAAGCAGAAGGCGATAAAATCTAAATGAATGGAATATCGCCAGCCCCCCACCCACCCACAAGAAAAGAATAGACATTAAAAATTCTTTGCTAATTTTCAACAAAAACATTTTCTTTTAGTATATTTAAGCTCAAAATGAACATTGGAATAAAACAGTTCAGTATATTAGATTTGATTGTGTTAGATTAATACATATATAGATAAATACCTCTCATGATAAGAACTTGGATAAGTAATTTCATGTGAATTCATGTAACAAGATAAGGCTTCGAACCATACTCTAAGAGTATAGGGAGTAGAGATATTGAGACCCAGTTACCCGAACCGAAGTAGGTAGAGTGCAGTTCGGACCTGGAACTTAATAGTTGAAAGTTGAACGCCTTAACCACTGAGCCACAGATACACGAATTAATGTAAGACGGATAAAAAGTTAGTGTTTAGAACTTCTGTTTAATCTCAACACTGAATCCTTAGGATCTAACGGAATGTTAAACCCGTGTCATTGTTTGAAATGTACTTGAATTTAATCAAACAGTACATTTTAAAATTTCGATAATTCGTACGAATTGTCGATTCCATGAAGTTGGATAAATATTTGTCTATGCATAACTATGTACGTATAATCTTGTTATATTGTTAGTAGAAACTGTATCTCTTTACAAATCCCTAAAGTCAATAAGTTGAATATAAAATGCACCCATAGTATATAAAAAACGTGGACACTTATAGGTTACTAGTATTCGATCATGAGTGCCTTCGAAGCATCGCTCGTATACTTTTGGACCATCGAGTTAATAATTCTGAGGTTATATGAAAAGTGCTAGGTAAGTATGGTAAATCGATTAATAAGAGAGTCTTAATCAACTGAGATGCTTAGGACATGAATTACGTAAGTCCTTTTACCAACTACCTAGACAGACGATGATTGCTAGAGTACAAGTAAGTTAAACGAAAAGTACGGGCGGTCAAATCAATACGTGACATCAGTCCATGAAGACACTGACTGCTGGATTGAGTCATGTAGGCAGGTCAAGACTACTAGGTTTAGGTCTGCATGATAATCGTCATCAATGGTCACAGATTTAAGATTCTTAGCAGTAGCCCAAGTGCATTTAATTTTTTTGTTCCTTTAGATCCTAAGTTTCTTAAATCTGTATGGCTTGCTTATTGATTCACTAATTTATATTTTCCCGAATCATATCTTCAATGTCTAGTCTTTTCTATTACAATTCATACTGTTACTATACCAATTATTTTGCGATTTTCCCTGAAAATTTTATTTCGCTATGCTAATGGGGTATGGCAACTTGAACCGATGTACACATGTGCCAGTTCCTACTATGCGTTTGACTGACTAGCTGACTAACATGTACACATTGATGACGAAATGTCATTATACCATAAAATATATGATTATATATGACTACTAAGTTATTACTATTTAGAAACAAAACTAGTTTGAAACAGAGAGAGGCTCAAAAAGATGTGAAATTCACAAGAAAAAGAAGAAACATACCTCCTTAGAAAATGGCCCACCAACTGTTTCATTGTAAGGGCAGGCAGCAACAGACAAACTGTTGATTAATGCATTTATAACAGCTGTATCCTGTTGCATGTTGTAATCAAAACTTAATTCAGTCTAAACGTTTACAGTAAAAAAAATCAGTGCATTATATTGTTAGAAAAATGTTTAGTATCAATTAGTTGGTAAATTAAAAATATTAGGTAGGATATTTGTGGAAAGAAAACCTGGTTACATAAACTCAAGATTGAACGTTAAACATTACTAGCCGCATTAAAAACCAGCTTAAAAAGACTATTGATATGACTGAGTGAACTGATATGAATTTTAGAAAAAGGGGGGTTGAAATGAACAACACAACTATAATGGTACAATTATGCGCATAATAAACTCTGTTACAATGAATAATTGAAACATCAAAGGACACGTTTCAGCCTATGTATGTCTACGAATTCCTTTTATTCATTTTAAGCAGACTACAATTATAGTTCAGTAGTTTTATTTAGACTATATATGTACATGGACTAGTTAGCTGTAAAAAAATAAAACCAGTAATTAGAAAATAATGTCAAGGAATTTTCTCTTTAACTTATACATAAAATATTGGGAATAGAAGGTAAAAGAATTCCATTTGTTAAAAATAACCCATAAAGAATGAATCGAACTTGATATCATGCACATCAATTCTTATAGTTGAATTTGAGATACTAGACCTATCGATTTTCAAGAGGTAATGGTGAAGCACTGATTGATTCATTCAGAAATCAATCAAATGATAAGTGTACGTGATTCGTAAAAAATGACTAGTGTCTGAAACAACTGGGGCATACATCATTGATTGCTTAATAATCTAAGTAATATATATATATATATTCGGTTTAGTCACAATAAGCTTCATTCTCACTCCTAGTTTTCATATCATTCGAGTAACCGGTTGAGAATGTGAGTAAGACGATTGCGTATCAGTATTAAAATCGAACTTTGAACATCATAATACAACTAGTTATAGACTTGAGTGGAAAAAAAGCCTATCGTCAACTTAAAATTTCTAGTGTACTAATATCTAGATCAAAGACAGAGATCATTTAAAGTAATATATTTAAAATGAACAAGAAAAAAAAGAAACAAATTGAGATTAAATTATCTACTTACAGTAAGTTTAATTGCATTACTATCAACATTATAAATATCTTCAACAAGAACTAATTCAGGATTATCTATTTGAATTTTTAATTCCAGATTATAAGGATATGTTGTTGGTAATGATTCCGTTTTTTTGACATCTAAAATAATGTATATATGTAAAGAACAACATTGTAATCATTTATTATAGGAATTAAATGTTCAAGTTTATATCAGCTCATTCTCCGTGCACTTGAATATGAGTTATATTTAAAGCATGTGAGATGACGGTACTACGCGGTTTCACATACAAAAGCAGGTGGAGAGCAGCTCGAGCCTGAAATTTAGCGTCTGGAAGCCGAATACACTAACCACTAAGCCACTACTCGTTCATGTGAGAATAAATTTTTTCTAGTATTGACATAATATTCAATTAAAGTTATAAAAGTACAAATAATAAAAGTTCATATGACTAGGTTTTCCAGGAGGAAGGCTGCTCGTTGATCGACTTCGACAATCCAATATTTATACTATGTAGTGTTAAGTCTCACGTAGGCTACATTAGATTGAATCGACAGAAATCGATCACAACTAAGGAAAAAATAAACATGACATTCATAAGTGCGCAATGCTTCATCAATCATCATCATCAGAAATTTCTTCATAAACACAATAGGGAACAAAGAACCTCACCTCTAAATAATAAACCAGAATTCAATTATGATTTAAGTTGACGTTTCTTTTTTGGTAAAACGATTCAGTTAAAACAAAAACGAAAAACTAACCTCAAAATATTAAGAAATTATTGTACTTACCAGTTTTTGTAATTGAAGAATTGTTTAACCGTTTCTGTTTGGATTTATCCGTAACAGATGTTAAGTTATTTGATTCATTTTTCGGTGTTGGTGTACTTTTCATTTGAAAATCCAGTAAAGACATAAGATAATCCATTGAAGCACACAAGTGAATGCTTCGTAGACTAATTTGAACTGAGTGAGATAGAAAAACAGTATTACGAAAACAATTTTGTGCAATCAGAAATTATTAGTCAAGGTAAATTTCGATATTAGTGGTAGCATGGTAGGTTGTGTATATGAATTAGTAAGTTGATCGTTAATCATAGTCGACGGGAAATTCTGGACCTAAGTTTCGTGTTATTCGGCACAAGTCAGCAAGGTACATCTGTAATTTTGACGAGATTCGATCGATTGTAAATACACATCGGTCATACAAATCAGTCGCGACCGGGACAACCTCAATGGTGACATCCCTGAATGTGAAGCTGGATGAGACAAGATAGAAAAACCGGGGAGCATCAGTTTACTGCATTTTACAAGTACACCTTGCGGACGAGTACCAAATAGCACGAAGACTAGATCCGGAGTTTCCAATAAACTATTTTCAACCACCCTCTTACATCTCAACATAGTGCACACGATGTCGAATCACTTAGACTAGTAACCAAACAGATCGATAGGACTCAACCAACACTAAGAAGAATCTGATATAAATGATACTGATCACTACTTAGTGGTCAATCAAATTTGAATACGGATCAGTAGTTTGACATACAGTAGGCCTGGTTTTCCTAATGCTAAAAAATAAGTTCATGTTATTCTGCAAATTTTGTTCTTATCGCTTCACCTGAATATGGGAAAATCTCACTATATAGCTGACATTCAAAATATTAAGCATCTTGTAAAAATAACTAAAGCGTAATCGACTAACGAATATACCAACAATAGCATTAAACGAAGACCACCACCACCATAACTCATTTTGACTTTGTATGACTATGCGTTATTTATTTACTAATCACATTCTTTCCTGTTTGTTATAAACGATATCAAGTTTTGTTAACTCATTTTTCCGAACTTCCAGCTACTGTTCGATATGTTATTCGTATCCCTCTTTTTCCGTGCTTCATAGATTGAATTAATTTCCACGTATACTAACGGTGTTAATGTATGTTTTAGAAGAAGATGAAGTTTGTAGAGCCGAATAGTTTATTTTTTCCGATTTTGGCCAAGCCAAGACTCTATGTTCGACAGTCTAGGATTGTATCTTTATGGAACTCATCCCCACAATAACCTCAACAAAAATCAATGTTCTTCGGTCATGATTTCTAACAGATATTTATTTGTCACTTCAATATAGATTTAAACAAATGCAGCTTAAGCAACACTTATGAAAGAATTATTATTCAACATTGAATTCTAACAAAAATTTAGAAAAGTAACCATCCTATTTATCGCTAGGTATAGATTCATGGGGATGACCTTGAGTTACATTTTACATGTGTGCTATTTAGTGTGATAATCTACCTGGCTATTTAAGAACCAAAGTACACGAAGCTACATTCTGTAACATGAGCAACTCATTGATTAAATGCTAAAACCGCTACTAAGGCACCAACTTTAATGACAGATAAAGTGAATTTTTATAAATAAAAAAGAACAAAGCAAGTTTATTCAGTTACTTTTTTTGTTCAGTAAAGCATCTTGTTTAAATTCAATATAGATTAATTCATCATGACGGTTATCTTTGGTAGTAGAATGATCTAAAACTCTAAATGTAGAGAATAAAAAAAAACAGGAAAAAGAAAGAAAAACAGTGACCCAACTATATCAATAGATAAACAAAAAAGAAAGAAATAATCTATACAGAAATAAAGAACATATTAAAAGGTGATTTAAAATAGATAACCTTATATGACAAAATTTGCTAGGGAAGAGTATAACATAATGAACAATTGAAAAGCTAATGAGGATTACTTATTTACGAGAATGCTAGAATCTAAAGAAAAAAATTGTATATTGATAAATTGTTGTAACTTGATTTCTGTCAGTAGATTTCAACAAAGACGGATAATATTCATAATAAACTGATCTCATATGATGTAAGTACCAATAAAAACAAGGAAGTACTGAATAAACGTTTTGCTTCACTATAAAACCCTTTAGCAGTACTCACCAATGACCTCCACAATAATCGAAGAACAAGTGCCACTGACAGACGGGAAAGAAGGACACCTCATCAAGATACCAAAGAAATGAGATTTGAACAAATGTGAGGACTACAGAGGCATCACATTACTATCGGAACCAGGAAAAGTTTTCAACATGGTGTTGCTGAACCGGATGAAAAATTCAGTAGAAAGCCAACTTCGAAATCAACAGGCTGGAATGCGTAAGGATCGGTCGTACACAGACCAAATCATGACATTATGGATAATCGTTAAACAATCAATAGAACTCATCACTATACATCAACTTCATCGCCTATGAAAAGGCATTTGACAGTGTGGATAGAGAACATTATAAAATCTTCGTCGACACTATGGTGTACCTGAGAAAATTGTCGACATACGGAATTCCTATGACGGGCTACACTACAAAGTGGCACATGGAGGACAGATGAAAGACGCATTCCAAGTGAGGACCGTAGTTAAGAAAGGCCGCCTACTCTCCCTACTTCCTCTTTCTCCTGGTGGTTGACTGAACTATGAGGACATCCACATTTGATGAGAAGCATGGAATACGATGGATAGCTAAGAATCAACTAGACGATTTGGACTTCGCAAATGACCTGGTCTTTCTATCCCACACACACCAACAAATGCAGGTGAAAACAGCCAATGTAGCAAACTTCTCTGCATCAATGAGCCTTAACATACACATCGAAAAAGGTAACACAGAGAACACCAACCCAATCATACTTGGTGGGGAAACTCTGGAAGAGGTGGAAATATTCACGTGTCTCGGTAGCATCATCGATGAACGTGGAGGATCAGATGCAGACGTGTAGATAAGGATTGGAATAAGTAATTCAGTGGAACATCTAAAGTTACGCCAGGCTCAATCCCCTAAGCAATGATAGGTGCAGAATCGTCTCGTTCTCTTTTTAGTGTTTAAAATTTTGCCAGATTGCCTCAATATTTTGAAAAGTAAATATTTAAAATTCGTATAAATTCAATTTTTTAACTCCAATTGCATACAAAATTCAGTCTGTTAACTAAAACTGCACCGATCTCACTGGTAAAAGTCTAATCACTTTTAATATATGATAAATGTTGTTAATTTCATCCTTTAATCTCGTATATTATATAAAATATTTATTTATTAGATATAATCATATCGACCACGCTACATATTTACAATTTAGGTTATATTTACTTAGTCAGATTTGACCCAATAAACGAAACAAGTAAATAAGGTTTTACACTTCAAATTTAGTTGTGATTTTTCATTTATCTGGTGATATCGTGTTTATTCATCTTGATTAATAGTCAGGAGCATTGAGATTTTTTTATAGATCGGTTAAAGTGAATTTGAGATTGTTTTGATTTTTAAGTCGTATTAACCGTAGATTGATTCCGTATTGTTATACCAACGAAGATCACGGAGCACTGAACATCTATTTTGGTCAGCAGACTCTGCATTTTGTCAGCGTCTTCACCAAATAGAACTATGTCATCGGTATACTCTAAGTCAATAAGTGAATCTTTCGGTAGAAGTTCAACTCCTGGAAAGTGTTGTTTCTAAAAGCACGTCAACGACAAAGTTAAACAAGAATGGAGAGAGTGGACAGCCCTGACGAACACCACTTGAGGTAATCAGTTCTGATGACAGTTCTCCATAAGCTCTCACTGGACCAGTTGTGTTCGAGTAGCGAGCCTTTATAAGGATAATGTACTTCTTTGGAATAATATGTTGCTGTTCAATGGTACACATTTAACTTCAATCACATTACGATATAGGGCGATTACCATTCAATGCCAGTGGGGATAACTGTTTCACTCCTAACATGTCTGAACTAAATCAATCACGACTTCATGCTAAAACTTCAGGAGCATATCCCGGTAGTTAAGTGGCGATCTGAGTATTAATGTTTCGACGAAGAGGTTTTGTGGATGTACATCTAGACAAAACCACTCTAACGAAAAATGGTAACCGTTAAAAATTTACTAACAAGATGAAAAATTGGAGAGGATTACTTATGTATATGTAAGAATATAAATTAAACAATCGAGAAAAATTCTCTAAAAAAATCACATTTTCATATTGAACAAGGTCTATAGTTATTTAATATAAAATGAGAATTTTTTTTCCAAACGTATACCAAAGAATATTGGCAGTTTGATTGATGACATAATTATGGAATGTGACTACTGACTATATTCATTCATAATCAATAACGCATTAATTGATGGCATTATGAAATATCATTTGTCATCAAGCGCACAGTAATATATATATATATATATATATATATATATATATATATGACTGATTTATTTTACTAGTGCTGTCTTTACTGGGCTTCAAGATTTAACTGTGGGCATCTTATTGTCGCTCTAGTCAAAATTATTAAGGTTTACTTCAGTTATTCCTCAAGTACAATATAAGTAAATCCTCATAACCATCAGAATGACAATGATTTGTCTTATAGTACTTTTACCAGTGTCAGTAGATGTAGGCTCTCTGGCTGATATCCGTGAGATTATTGAAATAATATAATGAAGGATCTTAAATTATGTAAACAGATATTGATTACTGGTAATGATCTGTCGAAAAATTTCTTTAAATCCAAAGTACAGCATTATCCTGTACATTTATTTTTATTTATTTAAACACATAAATATTAGTACAAGGCGGCACCAAATATATATGCGCCACACATCCTGTACATAGTATTGCCCAGTTTCATTCGTTCCATATTGAATTATAAGCTCTAATGTTAATTCTTAACGTTGATAATTATTTAAAAGTTCTTTGTTTAAAATATTATTAATTTTTCTGTTCTATGTTAACATAAAACGTGAGAAATTAAACAGATGGAAAACAATACCAGTGAAAAGTATTCAGCGGAACTACAAATTTCTATCATTTCAACATCACAGTCAAAAATGAATACAACCAATAATCAACAAACATACGTCAAAAACCAATGTATATATAACTATGCATTAACGTATTGTTTAATAACCAAGCCTTCAAATAAATGCATTATTAGCCAGTAAGCTAAGATAAAAAAGTAAACATAAATAATCATAATAGCAATGAGTAATCATGCAGGCGTATAACAACATTTCTATTTATACGTAACATTTTTCAACCAACAATAACAATCTATACATCATAATCTTTATACTCACAAAAATGACATACCGTAAAATTTGACCTCTAAAATAGAGAAGTACAAAAGAAAACATACATTATTATTAACAATTATGATTGATGTATCATGCACGTTAAAATTAAACAGAATAAAAATGTGTTTTGTGGAGATTATAGTAATTTCAATAGTTGAAATCATGAGTCAATTGAAGCTAGACCACCATGGAAAAACTAGGAGCACTGGAGGGCCGTTTCAACTATTGAAATTACTAAAATTTCCACAAAACCCCTTCTGATAATAATCATCTGCTCACTGGTGACTGACTTCAAGAGACACTCCTGGAGTTCTAGTGAGAAGCCATGATTAGTGGAGTTCAACCAGGTCTGTTGTGAGATATCAGCTCACTGAAGACAATGGTGACGGTGGCGCAATTTCGTGGATTGGCTGAAGTTATACATTAACACCGTTGGATGCCAGCTCAGTGCTTCAATGTTTAAGCACTCGCGCGCGAGACTGATAGGTCCTGGGTTCGAACCTCGCGGGGGGGTCGTGGATGCGCACTTTTGAGAAGTCCCATACTAGGACGAAACGGCCGCCCAGTGCTTCCAGGTTTTTTATGGTGGTCTAGCTTCAATTGACTCATGATTTCAACTATTGAGAATAAAAAGATGTTGAAGTGTAATAATACATTTTCAGTAGAAATCTTCAAGTCCTAATTTAATAAACGTATATTTTAAAAGAATGGTTCAATTGAAATCGTGGATTCCAAGTAAAATTCAGATATTACGTATAACGAACAGTAGGAATAACTTCGTATACGTGCTCAAAACGTTTAAAATGATTGCGAAAAATTACTTTTTGCCATCATCAAAGCGTACAATTGATCGAGTTAAACTTACTAAATGCTCTGTAGATTATATAATGACATGTAAACCGACACTATACATATATCCTGACTCTAAGCCCTTAATGTTGAAACAAATCTTAATATTTTGTGGAAAAACTAATTCGATATCTAAGCATAACCAAGAACAATGTGAAGAGATTGAAGTATATATTTAAATCCTTTTAACGGTTAGAGAGGAAGTAAAATTTGTATCTATAAAGACGAGTTATGTCATTGTTTCCTAATTTTCTGCCAAATGCCCTGGTACGGCCGAGAGTGGGGAGAGTCCGCTCTCCCTCTCCAAATGCTCTCACATGGCCATGCGTATATAGCCCCTGCCAGGGAAGTCCTACTCACTGCCTTCTCGTAGCGCGGGTGTTGTTTACAAAAATGAAAGGACGAAAAGCGAATGTCTGGCGCTATAACCGGACCCCAAATCAATGGTGCACATGGGCTGGCTCCAGTATCCTGAAGGAATAAATGGCGTATGAACCAATCGTTGGTCATCGGCTAGCATGGGACTGCATCTCCTTACGATGCTTCACTACCTTGTGAATCAGATCTTCAGGTCGAGGTCTCCAGGTGTTGCCTCCTAAGAAAACCACCTGCTTCGGTTTGGGCATCCGGGCAGTATCACAGCCCTCACACAAATCAATTGAGCTTTGTGTGGCGCATATGTATTTTGGTGTCTCCCTGTACCTATACTTATGTGTTAAAATAAATAAATAAAATTTCTGCCAAATAAGCCAATATAAGGCTTTACTAGACTTATTAAATATTTAAAATTCCCTCCATCATTTGTCGTATTTCCAGAAAATCAGGTATTTACATGGGCTGTCTTTTAATTGAGTAATAGCTGGCTGAAAACTAGAAGCGGTTACTTCAAGTCCTTCCCTACACTAAGCTATCGAATTTAAGTTTTCTCTTCATTTCAGAATACATGCTTGAAGCTAAAGATTTTCTTAAGACATTTATTACAAATGATCATCTTCACTTTAACGCAAACATTTTAAATAAACTCATATACACTCGTAATATACATGAATGACATTTACACTACGGTTGAGGTCAATTATTTCAAATTGAATATACAAACGATGATTGATATGAGTGCACCGAAAAACAACAAGCGACAATGAAAATAATATTGTTTTTTCTTAGTGTATGGAGTTTACTAAGTAGTATTATGAGCCAAGCTCCATTCAGTAGATGGAAGAAAGTTCAAACGTACATTTGTTTAGTTTATTTTTATTCGTTTGTACTATTACGTTGTCGATAATCTGATTGACGTTTGGGATATATACATCCTATGTGGATTGCCTCCACACAGCCATTATGACACAAGTTAATTTAGAATAGATAAAATGTGGTTAGCGTGTTTCGTTTTGTTTTGAATTCACCAGTTGAATGACACCAGAAAGTGAATTGCTATGAGACATGAAGTCCTGGCTTTGGGACCTGGTGGGGTCGTGGGTACTCGTTGTTGAGGAGTACTTTTACCAGGATCAAAAAGCTGTTTTGTAATGTGAAATCTTGAATTATAACCCAATCTAAAAGCATAGATCTTAGTTCTTTTTGGTATCCTTTACTAACATTTGACCTCAAAGGCAAAAGCTTCTATGATAAATTTAATTAGTATAGATACGATTTACGAAACAAGACTTTAAAAAAAGGTCAGCTCAAGATAATGGTATTGAGGATGAGATTCTTACTTAGTAATTTGTCTATCCGAACCAGGTCGCCTATCTTGTAATTTAATATCATTAAGTTTAGCAATGAATTGAGATGATGAATCTGAAGCCATTTGACCAGATACATTGAATTGTTTAAGATTGAATGTAGCCAATCGTTTGTCTTCTGGGAAATCATTATGCCATTCTGCCTATCAGAGAGAAGAAAATGAAATCCTTTTTATTGGAATGACGACTGTCGAAATTTATTCAACACGTTAAATTCATGTTATCCATCTATTCATTCGAATTGGAAAAAAGCCTCTGATTCTATCTCTAAATGTTTTACTTAAACGAATGGAAAGCGATGATAGCTTACAAGTGAGATTTATTTACAGAAAATTGGCATGAACTGAATAGACGACTGATTTTTGTAGTTTTGTTCTTTGATAGGTAGAAAAAACTATCTGACTGACTTCATCATCTAGTAAACTTCAAAAACCTGCACAGAAGAGGACGTATGATATTGAATAAGACCTTCTGAAGAACTGTTTGGTTCTATTACTACAACAAACATTTTGCACAGCTTTATTGTGGATACTCTACGTCAACTATTCATTAGTTCAGCTTTGGGTAAAAAGCAAAGCAAATTAACCAAACAATTTAATGTGCACAAGTTTGTTCACCTGTTCATATGGATATATAGGAATCATAAGTTGTTCATCGAAGCGTCAGGGAGGAAAATGTCGAATTACAAAATCCACTTTACACTATCCAGTTGTTAATCAGAACTACATAGCATCAGACTCATCGTTCGATATAAGATCAAACTAAATCTACCGAGAGCTTTATATGTGCATATCCTATGGATTGGATAAACGTCAACGATGCATACAGAAACAGTTTATAAGGTCGCTTCGATTGGTATAATCCTGGTTTACACCTTTTATTCGTGACTTTATTTCGTGGTTGTTTTTATGATAACATCGTATTAAAATTTTATCCCTTGAAATTCGAAAACACCATCCATTATATTACTAATATTATGGCTTTTGGTTGAATTCGTTTCTTAACTTTTTTATTTATTTATTTATTTTAGCACATAGATATTGGTACAAGGAGGCAGCAAATATATATGCGCCACACAAATCTCATTCGATTTTTGTGAGGACTGCGATACTGCCCGGGTGCCCAAACCGAACCAGGTGGTTTTCTTAGGAGGCAACACCCGGAGACCTCGACCTGAAGATCTGATTCACAAGGTAGTGGAGCATCGTAAGGAGATGAAGTCAAATGGTAACCGGTGACCAACGATTGGTTCATATGCCTTTTGTTCCCGCGGGATACTGGAGCCCATGTGTATCACTGGTTTGGGATCCGGTTAAAGCGCCGGATATTCGCTTTTCGTCCTCTCAATTTCGTAAACAACAGTAATGACTTGAGAAGGCAGTGAATAGGACTTCCCTGGTAGATGCTATATACGTGTGGCTATGTGAGAGCATTTCGAGAGGGAGAGCGGACTCTCCCCACTCTCGGCGGTACCAGGGAATTTCTTAACTACAATAGCCTTCGCTTATGTAATTGAAAAATCACATTAAATGAAATGATAAGTAAGCTCATCAATTTAACAGGAATTATGGAAGTTCAAAGGTTGAAGACTTAACAATTTAGTGAATAGTAATTCTCTTCTATAATATCTATAAAATTACTAGTCTCTTTGTCAATTCACTTAATTACAATACTCCATATGCGGAAATTAACTACGTTGCATAAATATCATTCATTATACACGTTGATAGAGTTAGTACTTCTAAGTATTTGCAAGAACGTTACTGTTTAGTTCGTTAACAATGATATATAAGTGCATGTATATAAAAAACTCACTATTGGTTGATCACATGTGTACAAATTAAGAATGACACTTTTCATTCCTAAATCAAAACTGACTGCAATTTTGACTGGATTATCATTTTGTGTAGAAGTGTTTTTCTCTTCAACTTTTTGTTGTGTTTTATTCTTTTTGTTAGTGGACTTAGTAGAGGAATCCGTAGTAACAGGTGTTGTTTTTATAGATACTTTAGTAGACGATGGTAAATCATTAAAATTATCGAAAAGTACTTCTTGAAGAACACGATAATCGCCTTGAGAAAAAGAAATCTATAAAGAGTAAAGAATTAGTAAAATTTAAAAAAGGAAATTCTTTAAATCAGATGAAGAATGTATAAGAATAAGTTTGATCACTAAACATGAATGAATTTCTTAATGATACATAATGAAGGGATATTGATCTATGTGATGTCAACTCAGCGATATAATTATCAGGATGGCAGATTACGATTAGTTGTTAACCTGGTAAAAAGATATAGTTACCATAGCTTCAAAATAAATAACCGTGAAGCTGTGAGTTAACGGTTAATGCACTTCATTCGTAACTACAAAAACCACAATTAATTACCTCACTTTCACCTACTTCAGTTTGGGCGGCGAGATAGTACGTTGAATTATTAACCTTCTCAAACACGGTGTGGCTCGAAGCCGAGTAATATAAACGTTTACTTGGTAAATTACTCATATTATTTTAAATTAATTTGAATTCATTGAGCTATGTAAGAAGGATCATGAAATTTTTCTTGGATGAGACAATGACAAACAGAAGTGACAGTGAATGTGGATATCTTTATCAATACTGTTTAATCGTGATGGATATATTGATGACAATAACTATTTATCTCCGACATTTTTCGGAATTATAATATTTTTGACACTGCTTAGCTGAGCTAAAGTTTACAGACACTGAAAAAAAATCGAACCTTTAGAAATTACTAAGCGAAAATCTGGATGTCTGTTTTTGGTATATGTTTCACAAATGCCAGAATGTAAGGTGAATGATCTAAGTAACAAATTTGTACCTATAACCAGTTTGACAATAAAGAATGGGTCAGTTGAGTTGGCAATACTTGGCAATTTAGAAATTACTGGGGCCAAGATTGTAGGGATTTGTAATTAAAGTTTGTCTTACATTTCCCAAATAAAATATAAATATCTACCAATGACTTCATTCATTATGAAGCCATTATTATCAAAAGTAAAATAGAGATAACATAAAACTCTGGATAGATTATCTCCTATCCAGTAAAAGGTATGAGGGTAAATATCATCCCATCCCATATTGTCCATACTGTGGAAGGATACTTTTTCTTGAAGTACCTGAAAAGTAAACTCAGTTAGTAGTGATCTTGATGGCCTATGAGAGTGACCACGCAGTCCAAGAGATAACTGTTTGAGACCGAGGTTCAACACCCTCGTTTTAGGAGTAATTCTCGAAGTGTTAGATCGGTACTTTTGATGCCTAACGGACATCACGGGATATCGATATCAGTGGGATAGAGTAATTTGTATCACTTTTAGAGATAACATTTACTAAATCCTTCTTCCTTTGTAAAAATGTAGCATCTTTGCAGATGCGTACTGTCTGAGAGAAGCATTTTACTACCATCACATTCCTGTGTAGCCGACAAAACGACTTCGCTTTTGGACTTCTGCTTTTAGTGTTACTGCTCTCCAATCAACCTATCTTGGATGACAGGGCCTAACGAAACGAGTGTTCTAACCTGATTAGACCATCACGATGCGTAAGTCTGGCGTCAATTTAGCGGATGAGGTCAGGTTGGATAAGTTAGATTCAATAGAGAGAACAAACACTAAATACAACTAATCAATCAATCAGTCAACTTACATTTATTTCATTTAATCCACCATTGACAAGAAGGATAGGTATAGCGGAATATATATTTGGATTGAGATTACGACGAGTTTTCAGTTCAACATTAATTGGAAGTAAAACGTGTTTCTCGGCTTGAACAGAACTCTCTTTTAGCACTACTCTTTTATCACAATGGTAAAACAATGATTAAAACAAAAGAAAAAGTAATTCATAGAAAACAATACACACATACATACAATACAATACAAACGAAATAAGAATAGAACCTTGTTCATTGTTATTATAATGAACTATTAAAGTCAACTTGGAAGGAATTATTCAAAAATTACTTCTTTATATAAACAAGTTTAACAATACAGTGGACATTGTCAATCAGTCATATGAAACACAGAACGTGAGTCGGTTCAAGTTGTCACATCACATTGGCACAACTAAATAAAATAATTTTAAGACAAATCTTAAAATAGTAGAAGTAGTAACAGTATCAATAGTAGTGTAAAAGACCAGATATATGGGAAGAAAAGTATAGGGAGATTGCATGACTCAAGTTATAAAGGTAATAAATAAATGCACCAGTACTATATTGAAAGATTCTAAACTATTTTATTCGAATTTATACGAAAACTCGTCAATATTAGAACGAATAGTGTGATAAAAATTGGGCGCCAAGTATAGAGGTTATCATATGTGAAAATTATATTTGGAATTATCTCAACGATTGAAATTTAAATAATTCCAAAGTTTCGTCCTGCAAACTTGTCTGGACTTCTTCAGGATAACAATCGAAATCAAGCTCATCAAAGAACTATATATATATATAGCGTTTATCAAATCATATTTATATTGTGCTAATCCAATCGTATTTAGATATTGACTTGAGTAAATAGGAGATTATAAGTCAGTTATATGAGAACCGTGTGCAAAGTTCACGATGTGAAAATAAATGACTGAATGAATTGTGTGTGTATGTGTGAGATTGAGTCACTAATAGTTGATACGACAAATATTCATGAACAAGTAATTGGACACATTCTTTATCCAACCGGTTTATTTCATATGCATCGTTATTTTGACAGAAATTAATGTGAGTTATTTTAGCAATACAATATGCATTTGATGATTCTTATTTTACATGCACATCGATAATCAGAAACAATTTTTTCAACCATCAACTTGCACTTTTACTTTTCCTTCATATATTACGACGTAATATCAGCTATTAATAACTCAATCTTACACATACATACACACAATTCACTCAGTCATTTAACTCCATATCATGAACTTTCCACATGATTCGCATTTAACTGACCCATGTTATCCTATTTACTAAAATCAACATCCAAATATGATTAGATTAAGACAGTATAGATTTGATTGTTAAAACGTTATATATATTTCTTTGATGATCTTGAATTCGATTTTTACCCTGAAGAAGTCCAAACAAGTTTGCGGGACGAAACGTCAGAATTATTTAAATTTCAAATATAATTTTCGAAGTCTACAACCACTGGTTATGATAATCATGCCGATTCCAACCAGGTAGTCTGCGCCTACATAGATGCCTGAGTTGATTTGTCAACGACTTCACAGATTGATGATATGTCTTGGTTTAGTCTCCTATATTTTTCTTTCAACTCGCTCCTACACCAGACATCGTCTGTCGTAGTAGGTGGGGGTTGGAAATACATATTACATGTCCTTAACACCGTGATTGATGTTTGAGTCAAATTTGATAGTTAAAAAGTTAAATGTATTCATTTTAGCATATTACCATGAAAGTTTTAAAATAGTACTGAACAAAACATGTACTGAATTATCCATTTATTAAAGTTACACACCACTTACCTTGATAATCGTAAATTTTCCAACTTAACCACCATATGTTCTAACATGATTCCGGGCTTGGGAACTGGAATTGTTGTATCAGGCAATACTTTTGAAGGATTGACAAATTCAAAATAATTTGACAATGTAATACGCCCAAAATCAATCATCAAAGACACATTTGACAATGAATGTTGTGGCATATATATAACTGGTGCTTGAGCAACAATATTTAAACTGAGACGAGTTTGAAAAGAATTATCAACTGCTTCATGAACCTGAAAATTAAAGAAATCAACATTTATGGACAATTAAATGCGACAGACTTATATTCCTCAATATATTATGATGATTTGTAGTATGTCAACTCCACTATGAATAATATTACTGGACAATTTAATGCTATCATTGAACTAATTTGAATATTACGTTATTTAATCATTTCTATGACAGGATTTTAAGTTAAATTGATTAAAAATATACAGAAGGGAATGAAATTTTAATATTGTAAATTGATTGGAGTTAGACATTAAAACCGTTAAATATCATCTCAGTGGTCTTGAGGCTAAAAGTTCGTAAGCGAGGTCAAAGATGCGAAGTTTGATCTTTGGTTAGGGTGTTGCAGATGTATACTACTGAGGAATCCCATATATGGGTGAAACAGCCATCCAATGATTTTAGGTCTTTAACGATTGTTTAAATTAGCAGCTTTATGATTTCAATAAAATTTGACAATCTTTACAACTACATATTATTTTATTAATTTCCGAAATTTCCTTATTTGGTTGGTTTCCTTTTCATGTAAATATTCAGTGCGTTATGCATGTATGAATGTTGTGTTAAACGGTAACTTACAGCTTCAAACAATCGACTATTACCTCTGCTAATGCGATTAGATGAAATGGGTAGCAGTACCATGAGGTCGTATATGAAAAATGGGGATAAAAGTCTAAACTACAGGAAACTTGTGATTGATAAGTTTTTTTACAGAAAATATTCCCCAATTAAGATTCAGTTTTTGTATATTCAAGCTGTCAGTTACAATCTATGAATCTGTAACGCATAAACTAATACCGTAGAAACATGAACATTTATTTAAACAGCTGGATAAAATGCAATTTAGTTTTAAATCAAATTTGTGTATCTCTATTGAAAGTTACTTTCAATAACATTTCACATATCTGCATATCTACAAATATGATTCCAATAAAAAAAACCGATTATTTTATACACAAAGTAAAACGACGTTGAGACTTAAAATGTTCCCCCATGTTTTCTTATTATTATTGTAATTTCAATCATTATTATAAACTAAATGGTTATCTAAACTAGAAGTAGATAGTGTGAGACTTGAATAAATGACTTAATGTTTCAAAATCAAATGCTTTAACTATTAAATCATCATTCCATATTCAGCTTTCAAGCACGAGAATTTACCTGCCGCAAGTGAATTTGTTTTAGTTGATTGGAGGATAGAATCACAAGTATCTTACACGGTACAACCAAAATATTCCTTAAAGCTAAGAACTTAAATAATGTAATACATAACATCAGAATTATATTCTTATAACATGGAATATCTTAAATTACTAAACTTCAAAAGTGTGAACCAGTTCGTTTTTTTTCTTAAATTTTAATAAAGGGATAAAGAGTGAAACCAACTTGTTGAACTGCTGCATCAGATAAAGCTTGAAATTTATTTAACATCATTTCAGCCGCTTCTTGATAAGCTTCCATAAAATTCTAGAGAAAATAAAGGATAAACCATGGATAAATAAGTATGACAAACAAATCAACAAATCAATATTTATTCAGTGATCAAAGAAAGTGTGGAGTTTAGAGAACAAATGTGAACCAGACAAAGTTGTTGTAAATTGAGACGGAAAGTATAAAGACTAAAATGAAAATAAATAATCATAATGATACAGAATAAATGGATTTGTAGTATCAGACTCATCAACCGGATGTGACTGCATCCCACTGCTCGAACCCAACGCACTATCCATTTAGTGACTGTGTCCAGACAGTCAATCACCTGCATGGTTGATACTAGGTTTGAGTCCCGATGTAAATATCAACACTGGAATGCGAGTCTCAAATAGGATGAAACCATCTATAGATTACAGTTATCGTACCAGTTTCATATAGGTAATTTTTGACACCTGATATAACTGAGATCAGCAGGTAATAATTTCATGAGTTAACCATTTCTTAACTCTCATTAACCAATTCTACAGGTTAATTAGCATTACATTTCAAATTATGAGAAGTAGGAATATTTTGCTCTATGATAGGAGTCAACATATACTGAAATTATTTATAAATTACAAGTTACCAAATACTCATAATTTTACCATATTATCTAAACTATGGATAAGAAAATAAACAATCTTTGAATGAGTATTTACAGAAAAACTAGAGACTGATGTGATAAAACACATCATTACCCATCAAACATATTCATTAGTAACCAACTGCTTCGAATAAAAGTCAACTAAGATTCTTAAATAACACAATTTCATCATACTGGACAAAATACCGTTACAACATAAGTCATAAGATAACAGGGTAAGGAAGTACAGTCAGTCCGAATTAAATATCCTATATAAACAGCTACAGAGTGAGATGGATAATAAGTATTAAGTATGAAATAAAGCTGTTTGAAACCAGTCAAAATGAAGAGTTAAACAAGATATTAATGAAAAAAACCGCTGACAAGTTATGATAATGAATTCGAGATTTATTATTACGTCTCTTTCAATAAATAACATAATAATGTAAGATGAGCATTAAAACATGCTTTCTAAAACTTCACATATTTTCCAAACAATCGGATGTAAGTAATTCTATAGAACAAATAGTTGATAGTATAATTCATAGACAAGATAATTCGTATATAGATGATTCGAGTGAGTACATTTATGTGTACTTCATCTAATATTATAAATATGGCAAAAACTATTAATTTTATCACTGTATTATAATAAATACTCAAAATAGAAAAGTTTCATTGTTTAGCAAAAATAAGGCACATGAACAGACTTTTTGTTAAATAATTGTTTCTTTACAATACGGAAAATAGCGAAATGTGATACAACATATCAGTGGTTAAAGTAGCCAACTTTTAACTGTTAGGCTACATGTTTGAACTCTATCTAATACAACTAAATCGGGTTTAAACAGCTGGATACTATCACTAAAGTTGTCATAAAAATAAGTGTAACTTAGAGATAAGTATATTAGACAGTGCTGGATAAATGAATTATATTATTATTACTATCATTACCATTATTATTATTGCACATCGAAATCGACTGAGTTCGGATATATATATTAAGTATGTTGAACCACAGCCTGTGTCGATGAGCTATCCTAGACGGCTGTGCAGTAGGTTGGAAGAAAACTAGAGGCGACCAAACCAAGAAGTAACATTAGTCCATTAAGTTACTAACTGTTGGACTGAGCTGTGTTGGTAAATGCTGTTCGTAGGATTATCGTAACAAATGGTTGGAGACTTCAGATGACATGGCTTAAGATCCGTGACAGTAGTGAATATGAATTTACTTTTTTTCTTCCCTTAGATATTGAGTTTTGAAGTTATCATACGTGCCAGGTGTATGTTGCTGATTGGTCGACACTAGCCGAAGAATTAATGAAGATCATGAAAATTTGAAAAGTGGTTGTTTTATCCTAGTTTGTGGAGACTTTAACGTTGTACAGTAATAAAAGTATATAGGATCGAGCGCAGAAACTCTATGAATCGTGTAGAGAGTAATAACTTCAAAATAGTAATCGGTTAACACATATTTCCCAAATGAATAAAATGACCGGTTGAATCGTAATAACTTGTCAAAACACTAGTACTACTTGTTATAATTGCGAATATAACGGTTTACTTAGTAAGGTAAAAAAAAGAACAAAAGATTGATACTGCTAGATTCAGTGCAGAAAAACAAGATTGCAGATTAAGAGTCTTATTGTGTATCAAACACAAATTTCTAACTGTTTAAGATGAGCAAACAAAAAATCATAGTGAGATATAAGTCATTTTTATTAACCTGGTCATTATTTAGATGTGAATAAACAGAACAAACAATACTTGGGAGTTATTAATCACTAATCAAATGGACCCATACAATTTACAGTGGGGAAAAAACCGACCGGTTTACATAACAACTATATTAATAAATCATTGAGTCAAATATTTATCTCATTACGACATCAATAAACAAAGTGAGCTTACCAATACACGTGTAATAAAATGATATAAGAAGATAGAATGTAATTTCCCTATCTGAAGACTGATAGCCAAATCTACTTTGTCCGGATCTATTGAATTCTCAACAGATTGAGTATTATCTTGAAAATGAGTAATTTGCAAAGAAACAACATTTTCTGTTGGGTCAACCCATAAAATCTAAAGAAGAAGAATAAATATAAAACAGAAAAATGCGGCCATAAAATTAAAAGAGCAAAATTAATGACTAAATACAGGAGTTCAGTCGAGATCCGAATAGCTCAGCGATAATATCTTTGACTGTGAAGATAGGAGGATCGAATCCACCAGTTCCCTCAAGATTACAGATATACCTTATTGATTAGTGTCAAAGAGCACGAAACCTAGATCCAGGGTTAGCTGTCGATTGTCCCCAACCACCAGCTAATATTTAAACACTAATATATATATATATATATATATATATATATATATATATATATATGCTCTCACATGGCCACGCGTATATAGCCTCTGCCAGGAAAGTCCTACTCACTGCCTTCACGTGGCGGGGTGTTGTTTACGAAAATGAGAGGACGAAAAGCGAATGTCCGGCGCTTTAACCGGATCCCAAACCAATGGTGCACATGGGCTCCAGTATCCTGAAGGAACAAATGGCGTATGAACCAATCGTTGGTCACCGGCTAGCATGGGACTGCATTTCCTTACGATGCTCCACTGCCTTGTGGGTCAGACGTTCAGGTCAAAGGCTCGGGGTGTGGCCCCCTAAGAAAACCACCTGCTTCGGTTTGGGCACCCGGGCAGTATCACAGCCCTCACACAAATCAATTGAGATTCGTGTGGCGCATATGTATTTGGTGCCTCCTTGTACCAATATCTATGTGTTAAAATAAATAAATAAAATATATATATATATATATATATATATATATATATATATATAACATTTTTAACTATGTTAATACACTCACTGACAAGGATAAAAATTTAAGAACCTTATTCAAAATGATTTCCACGATACTACTAGTATAAAACAGTGGAGAAATTATCAATTTATACGAATATTCGTCAATATTAGAACGAATAGTTTGATAGAAATCGGGCACCGAGTAATTAACAAATTTGTCTATAAACTTATGAAGTATGATACATATTTAAAAGCTTGTTCATGAAAAAGACTGTTGCTATGTATTTAGTAACTGTTATTGCAACTTCTAACACTGAAATTTTCTTTCCACCAAATATTTTGTAAGAAAAACTTTTTTCTATCTACTATTTCTGTAGTTTAAACTTGGTATAATTAATTTTGTCTACTTCGGATTGAAGATTGACTACTCGACTGAGTATCTCTGATAACACTGCTTATAAAATACTGAATGATGATATACAGTAATAATAATAAGCATAAGATACACAATATACATGATGCATAGAATAATATTTAAACACATTTTCACTAACCTTACGATAAGATGTATTCACGATACGATCAATTACAATGAATTCAGAAAGTATTGCCGAAATTTCTATGGTATTATATGTTGTACGAACATCAATTCGAAGACCGTTAACGGTAGTTGAAAATAAATCGGTTTCTTTAGAGCCTAATGTAACATTCACTTTGTCCAGTGTTGCATTAACCATCCATTGTGTAATATTCAATTCGCGAATAACTGCAATTTTGCCTTAAGAAATAGATAAACAAGAGTTGATCTATGAAAAATGTTCACACTGAAAGTACAATAGATAACTGCTTTCATACTACAACAAATACCTAATGGCATAAGGTCCCAGTGTTTATGATAATAATAGCAACTGGAAAGAACTGCCCAGTACAGAGTTTGATGGAGAATCCAGGTTGGGGGCCTACGCGCCTCCATGAGTGCTAACAGCCTCAAGTAAGTATGCATAAACTGTAAGGCAACACTAAACACAAACACAAACACACAGTATGTGTGTTATAATCCGAATCTTTGCTATGCAATTCGAAATACCAACACAATAGTGAAGGCAAGGATGATCGCAATTAGTGAACATACAGAACTACTCTACAACGCTATGCATCCATCTTCCCATCCAAAAAACTTTATTCAACCAATAACTATTAAGAAAAACCCTAGCCTGTGACGACAAATAATAATACGGACCCCAACAGAGCGCTTTATCTTCAAATGTTATTAATTTTTTGAGTTTTTCCCCTAATTTCCTCAAGAATATATGTACTTATTGAATGAATTATATGTGATACCTTAACAAGTATCAGCTTGGATTCAAAAGTAAAAACTCTAGATATTTAGTGATTTGTCAGTTACCAATATATTCTCTTCAGTAGACAACGTAGGATCTCAAATTATATCACCTAAAATGATATAGTAATCAATTACACATGAGAAGAAACAGATATAAAGAACCAAACGGTATTATCTTGTATAATAATAATAATAACAATAATAATAATAATAACTGTAATAATAATAATAATACGAAGAAGATTGGATGAATAACTTTATTCTAAATACTGCTATGATATGAATAAACTCGACTTTTTTCTTATTAGGACTACCTGTTTTCTGTGCTAAAGAAGCGGCTTCCAAACGTATATTTCGACGTTCAGTTTTACGAGCAATATGACTTTCTACAGCATCTGCAGCAGTTAAACGTCCAGGAAGTTGTTGTTTCATTTCATTTTCTAATTTTTCGCGTAGTTTTGCATTTTTTAAACCTTCTACATCTCCAATACTACTAGCCCATTCAATTTCAGATGGATGTTCAATTTCTTTTAATTGTTTAGATAATGATATACGTAGATTGTTGAAATAATTCATTAATAATAGAGTGGCTTCTTGATGAACATATACCTAAACATAAAATTTATACAAAATATCCCAAATAGAATCACAATTATCGTTCATTAACAATATCAAAGTATAATATATTGACAATCTATGCAGGTCGATGTAAAATATGGTGAGTTGTAAGTACGATTATTAATCATAGGAAAACTGGTAAATTTTTTTTGGAACTTATACAGCACGATATGAGATTAGTGAACAATACGTTTACTGATCAACAATTAAAACAACATTACACTATGATGCACTGTAAATATTATTACGTGAATATAGACAAGCAAAAATAAGTACACATACTATCGAAATATATTTGCCCTAAAAAAGTTACTAACATAAACCTATTTAGAATGCGACACTTGATGATACAGGTTTATGCTTATAAGCGACAATAAAATCAGAAAACAGAAAATAGAAAGTTACAATGACGTAAGGAAACTTAAGAAGTATGCCGTAATCAAAAATAAAACAATCAACTTCGAAACAGATCATATGCGAAATGACGAATATTTACAACTAAAATGGATACATTTTGTGTTGTATAATGTGAGCTAGATAGTTTAATGACATACTTTTTATTGTCCTTCTGGACAACGTGAACAGATTGTAGGTTCATGCACTAAGCTATGAGCTATACACCTAAGGTATAAAAGCTAATTATACTAACCAGATAATTAAATCCCGTCATGAGAACTACGTTCGAACCCAGGATTATTAATCATATATAATGCTGATTTTAATGACTAATTTGATATAAAGTGGTGAAAAAAATACTAAGCTTTAACTATCACACCACAATCCCCTGAAACATTTTACAGTTCCATGGTAGGAGTGGATTAAGAATTATTGTATTCGGTTTTCAACTATTAAATTTCACTTTCGAATCACTAATCGCCTATTGTTCGAATGGCTGAAAAGTAGTGTCATTGGTCGTATTACACATAAGAGTATGTCTCAAAGCTAAATACATTAGCCTCTAATTGATAAATGAGTTGTATTAAATTAATTAGTATCTGCATTTAATATTTCTGATATTTTTTTATTTGTCAAAATTAAGATGAAGACAGTTGCTCGAATACGACAAAATACACATTTTTATTAACTTATCACGATAAGATTCATGTACCCAATCACCCCCACCGAAATAAAGCATGGATCGAACCTATGAATTAATGGCCTTAAAGTTAGAAGCTTTAAACGCTGAGATAACACTACAGGATATCAAGAAAATAAGTTATACGATGGATAATAACATGGATGAATTATGATATTTGAATTTGTTAATCACATAAGATGATATGCTTTATATTTCACTACATTCGTGCAGTATGTGTGTGGTTACTTACATCCAACACTTTGAAATCACATTGTAAACGATGACGTGTATTTTGATAGTATGTATCAAAATCAGGAGCATTTTTCTCTGCGATGATTAACTGAACTGCTAATAAATGATGACCTGTTTCTTCATGACGTTGTGTACGTGCTAAATAGACTGGTTCATTTGTTTCTCTATAAGTAAACTGTGGAATAGCAACTGATAAAGTGCCAATATGAGCCTGAAAGGTGAAATTTATGAAAAATAAGACAACTTATGACATGACAAAAATATTTTGACAAACAAATATCAATATAATTACTATCATAGAAGATTTGTAGCGATTATAGAACCACCATCGGAAGTCTGGATAGCCATTTCATCCTAGTGTAGAATACCACAATGGTTCTCGTTCACGACTCAGGGTGCGGGAATCGAACCCAGGAATGGTCTCACGCACGGACGCTTAACCTATGAACCACTGAGCTGGTATCGAACTGTGTTCACGTCTAACTTCAATCAACTGCCAATATTGTGCAACCCCAAATCCATTGCCTGCAATAAACAACTGTCTCACACCCGATATGGATTGAAGCTAAGATAAGTTGATGTTTAGATTAAAAAATGTGGTACTGACGATAAGTTCAGTTCACATGTACATATTCAATCTTAGCCTGACAACTTCAGAATACAGGTGTATGCATTTTACATACCCACTTTCTGACGCACAAATTAATAGTGATATGTCATACAAAACACATTGAGCAAGAATAACTTGACATTGACGTGTTCAGACCTCTTATGACTTCGATTGTACCGGAAATATTCTTATTGTTTTCTTTTTGCTGTTTAAATTTGTGTTTAGTTATTTCGGTGATTTACTTACTCTGATGAGGTTACTTACACGAAACGTCAGAAATACAATCTTCTACTCATTGAGATATCGCTAAAATATATTTATTGGCATTCTACTGAATGCTCAATTTATTTGAAACTATCAAGTCCAATCTTGACATTGACATTTATGAATTCTTATTTGTTTGTTTCTCAGAAAGAAAAAAACTTCATCAATTCACCTACTACTTGGTAGATATCCAGGCAGTTCATTGGAAGGATATCTTCAATAAGAATAAAGTATAAATATATTACATTAAAGGGATTGTGTTTAAGACTAATCTCATTCTGAAAAATCATACACCTTACTAATATTTCAACTCGTTTGCTCTGTGTATCTAGTCAATTTCACCTCATTATGTTACTGTAGTGTGGTGATTCAGAGCGAAGTACATTTATTTTTACCGATCAATGCTATTTAATCAGCAAATGCCCTGGTACGGCAGAGAGTGGGAAGAGTCCGCTCTCCCTCTCGAAATGCTCTCACATGGCCATGCGTATATAGCCTCTGCCAGGGAAGTCCTACTCACTGCCTTCTCGTAGCGCGGGTGTTGTTTACAAAAATGAGAGGACGAAAAGCGAATGTCCGGCGCTATAACCGGACCCCAAACCAATGGTGCACATGGGCTCCAGTATCCTGAAGGAACAAATGGCGTATGAACCAATCGTTGGTCACCGGCTAGCATGGGACTGCATCTCCTCACGACGCTCCACTGCCTTGTGGGTCAGACGTTCAGGTCAAAGGCTCGGGGTGTGGCCCCCTAAGAAAACCACCTGCTTCGGTTTGGGCACCCGGGCAGTATCACAGCCCTCACACAAATCAATTGAGATTCGTGTGGCGCATATGTACTTGGTGCCTCCCTGTACCTATACTTATGTGTTAAAATAATAAATAAATAAATAATAGCAATACATTGCTCACCCCTTTGGCCTATACGAATTTTTCCAATGTATGACATGCATATCTGCTTTTCTACTAAATGTTTTGCTGTAAGCAATTTATCATAAAAATCCATACAATATATGTCACATCCAAACACATAACTGGATTGAACAGGTATTCATGAATTTATAAGCATAAGTACACCAGATTGTTTTGTCAAAAAAATTAACTATTTTTTTTATTAAACTCAATCACCTGCCCAGCACATTATAAGTCACGCACTCAGATTTTAACCAGTAAGTCACAGACAAAAACCATGGTATCCCTATTTCGGTTTGTTTAGATAAATGATATCACCAGTCCACTTCATAAAGATATTGTGTGATTCAAAGTCCAGTGGATAAATCTACACTAAACGAGCTCCATTGTTCTTATTAGTAGTGGCTAAGTGGTTAAGGCATTTGACTAACTTCCAGTCACCGATTCGCAAGTTCAAACTCTGCTCCACCTATATTAGTTTGGGAAATCTTTAAGTTCTTACACTTACAATGTATCTCAAAGACAAGTATGCAAATTGGTAACTGCTAAATAAGTTAATTGTACAGTAATTAGTATCATATTCTAAATTCAATTCATTGATGAGATAGTTTTTAGCATCAAATGATGTCAGCAACAGAACCTTGGGAAAAAAATTAAACAGCTGTTCCCACTTTTTAGTTTCATACTTTTAGTCAGAGAACGTTTATGATTTCATATGAGATTAAGACCAGAATATTTCATTATGATACTTTTATACCATTAAGTCGGAATGCATTGGTCCACAAGTTCCCAAACCTAATCTATATAATAAAATCTGTTCACTAGGGCTGATTGACTTATATGGGAAGCAGTATACATGGTCAACTGAAAAATAGTGTACAAATGTTGACTTTGCTCCGTCTCATCTCTGCATCATGAAATACCCACTCAAAACAAAAAAAATTACTAATCAATATAATATACCTGAATTTCTTGTGTCCAACGACGTTTAATTAAACTGGTACCAACTTCATGAATATTGAAAGATAAAATTAAACGATCTTCAATATTTTTATTTTGCGAGTTTAATTGACGTTCCAGTACCTGGATTTCAATCTGTTGTATAAAAGATATTAGAAGACAGCAAATAAAAATTTACTTTTTTAGCGACCATAATGAAACAGAAATATTAATCGTAATACATGACGATATATTTCATTGGAAATGTACATTTTAAATATGTTTCGAGGGGAATAAAACGTAAGGTTGATACAGTCAGATCTCAATCTCATTCGCTGATGATAAGTGGTCAATGAAACCTGGATCCGACCAAGACTTGGTTTTACATGTTTTTAATTGTGTTTATTTTAATGTTAACGATTTGGTATGTATGTCGTTTTACTAGAAAATAATAACTCTTTGATAATCAGTTGTCCCGTTTTCTGACATACATTCACTTTGGATCTTTTGTAGTAAGAGAAGACATAGCTGGATTTCGTAGTTTTACATTACAGACTAACTTTAGTTAGTCAAGAAACATGGGGTAATTGTTTCCTCGTTATATAGGACTCCCCATTGGTGAGCAGTCATCACCCGGCTAGTGCCCGAACCCAGGACATTTGGGCATCGTAACGATAGTTAAAAATTCAAACCACTGAGCTGTTAACCCCTAGTTTACAGCCCTATCTTCATTAATTGAACAACCGTCGTAAACTGTTAACAGTGATATTTATCTGACGCCTGATACGGTTGAACACCACAAGTCATATCTTATGACTAGAAATTGGAGACATAAAACACAGTATTCCAAACGTTTTCAGGAACAATGTAAGAATGTTTAGGATGTGTTTCCTCTCTCTCTCTCTCTCAGTCCAAATGCAAAATGTTTCATTCAAGACTGATCTATATCAATTGACAGACACTATTTAAAACAACTGATATTGATAAATTAATTCAGCTTAATAATGATCTCTTAATTAATATTTAATAGAACACATGATCGTTTTTCTATATAACAAAAAGTAGTAACAATAATAACTACGACGAAAACAAGTGTTGAAATGAAAACAATTTTGTTAAACAAGCAATAAGGGTACATACAAAACACACATATTTATTGACAATAAACCAACAAAATAAATTTCATAAATAAAAAATAAGAAAATACAGAATGAAAAGGAAGGGGGGGGCGGGTAACAATAAACTAGTTATTAATATCTATCATGTAACACTTACTTTACGTATAACAAAATCTAATTTTAAATCAATTAATTTTGCTCGTTTACGACGTAAATTAGATTGATCACGTTGACGTATGGCCTAGAAAGTTTTTTTTGGAAAATGTAATAATAAATACATGTGTAATATTAGAATTAATTAATTATGAATAATAGAAAATGTCTATTTTGCATGTAAGTGCATTTAAAATGTACATATATATATATATATATATATATATATATATATATATATATATATATATATATAAATTATTTTAGAAAAATACAATATATATACACATTGAATTTTTATGGAAATATATTTAATCCGAGTAAACAGTCTAGTATAGTACAATAATTATACTGTATTCTATTAAGTGTACAGGTTATAAAAGAGAACAACAGTTGAAATTGAGGTAACTGTTTTAAGAGAGAGAGAATTATACACTAATGATATATTATGAAATTTTGGAATATTCTAGTAGTCTTTAGTTAAACTGTCTGAAGTAAATACCTTCCTACTGATGATAATAGATAACAGTTATGTGAGTCAATCAACCAGCTACAATGTAGGACCAGGTATATATATATCCATCGATCAAAGTTGCCACACCTCATTAGCACAACAAGATGAATGCGAAATTCATAGAAGTAGTCACTTCAATGGTAGACATATATAAAAGAAAGATGACGTATAAGGATATGATACAAGAGGAAAGAATTAGTTCGTAGAAGGAAAGGTATAAAGTAATCTCACAGTTTCTTTTATTTATTTATTTAAACACATAGATATTGGTACAAGGAGGTACAAAATACATATGCGCCACACAAATCTCATTTGATATGTGTGAGGGCTGTGATACTGCCCGAATGCCCAAACCGAAGCAGCTGATTTTCTTAGGGGATCACACCCCGAGCCTTCGACCTAAAGGTCTAGTCCACAAGGCAGTGGAGCATCGTGAGGAGATGCAGTCCCATGGTAGCCGGTGACCAACGATTGGTTCATACGCCATTTATTCCTTCAGGATACTGGAGCCCATGTGCACCATCGATTTGGGATCCGGTTATAGCGCCGGACATTCGCTTTTCGTCCTCGCATTTTTGTAAACAACACTCCCGCCACGAGAAGGTAGTGAGTAGGACTTCCCTGGCAGGGGCTATATACGCGTGACCATGTGAGAGCATTTCGAGAGGGAGAGCGGACTCTCCCCACTCTCGGCCGTACCAGGGCATTTGAGGGCTAATCTCACAGTTTAATGTAAGACAAAGAGTGTATACACCTACGCCATTGTGATCGATTCTGAGCTGTGTCACGCAGAGTCCCAACCATTAGTTTCGATAGTTGCGCGGACCATAACCAAGTAGTTTGCATCTATCAATATGATTCAGACTATGTTGAGGACGTTAGATCCCCAGAACTCAGTTGGAATAGGTCCTAATTTTGTAATTTTATTCTGAAAAATTGAATTTTGTATTTCCGCGCCAAGAGACACTTAGTTGACCTACAGCTTACATTTCCCACTCAGAAATTCTTGACTGTCATTGGCTGACGGATTTTTTTAGTACGCTATTTTGTGGCTTTCCCAAGGGCATTTCTATTATTGTATAAATAAGCTTGATTTGTGTGCTTAGTGACATCGCATTTTTTAGGTGTTTGTAGAATGCATTCTCTTTGCCTCGTCAAGACTTCTTGATCTAGTTGACAGGGCCGGGGACAACGGATTAGAATAGCCTATCGTGTCACTGTATCTTTGACCTTCGTTCCGTTTACCGAGTAAGGTGAACTCGTGATAGCATTCAAGCATATAAGACTAGAAGTTAGTGACTTTAAGGACTGATGCCATGTTTTGGTTTGGCCACCCGTAACTAGTTGATTTATACTATTACATAACAGCTATGTAATAGTATAAATCAACTTGATGTGTGGGCGATGATGATAATGATTGGTTGTTTGCTTAGTCAGAATTGTAGATAGTCTGACAGGCGTTTGATGAGTTATACATTCTTCTATCCTTATTACTGTGATTGTTGACGGATAACTGCTGGTTTTTTGTGTGGGAATATATTTACGTTCTAGTTAGGCTAATCATATGTTCTTAATCTGATTTGTGTTGAAGTCCTGTAGAATAGACACTGAGAGGGAATCTAGTATAGATATTCGTCTAAGGCAAATTAACGCCCCAGTCGTATAGACGTGGAAAACCGAACGTTACAACAACTGAAACTGACCAGTAAAAACAGACCCCACCATTGAATTGTATCAAGTCCGCTGTAAAAACAATAAAGTTTCCCTATTCGATCATTTGTAGGATTGAGGGTATACAAACACAACTAATAAATCTCAGATCAAAAGCAAACAACTGTCCTGTGGTATTATCATAAGTTCATTGGCTATTTAGATGGCTCTAGTGCTTTATGAAAGAAAAAGAGTGTATTGTTAGTAACACTAAAGTTGGAACGAAGAAGATAACAAAGGGGGACAAAAAAATCCCAGAAAACATTATTCAGATATTGCTCATGAGTCTTTTTGGGAAGTTTTGTGGAAATATTCATCAAAAAAGCCTGATGAAATTCGCACCAATTGTTCAAGAAAAAAGTCATTTATTACAAATTCTAACTAAACGGAATGATACTACATTAGAGCAAAGGAATTACATGACTAATGTAATATTTTAACTGCATTGAAATCAATACAGTAAATCACAAATATCGGAATATTTCTTAGTTTAGTGAAACAATCAAAGAAATCTTATGAAGAATTTAGGAATATAGCATTTAAGGAAGGAGATATTGCAATTTGGTCAGCGAAATTCGGCCAACACTAAGAAGGACTTCAATTATATATGACATTGTTCACCATAATCAGTGATTAATCAATTCATTGTAAAGAATGAATGTACATGGCGTCATCGCGGATGATGATAAGCCATGAGAAAATAAGAAATCCAAGATAATAGTTAAATGACAATCTTGTACTCATGTAAAAACCACTTGCTTTTGGTAAATATAAATTGTTATACTACTTAGTTTTCAAGTCACTAGAAGTTGGTAAATTAAGAAAATGCACGATTTCATAATAAATAAATTCCTTATTTAAAAGTGAAATTTACTTAAAATTCCTTTAAATTTGAATGGATAGAGTTAATATTTAAATACGCAATGAACATCAGAGAAATTGTTAAGGAGAATTGAAATAGTCAACTATAATAAATATTACAACTTACTTTAGATTTGTTTTGATCCATAAGCTGACTACCATGAAGATCATCATTAACATTAGTAGTATCACTTTCTAGTTTTGATTGTTGACTGATTCGATCGTGTTCACTTTCATCACGTAAATCATCATCTGCAGTATCTGATGCCCAACTGCTCAAAGTAGAGTCACTATCGTTTCGACTAAGTTGACGTGTAACTCTAAGCAGATCTCTAGTGGCTAGTACAGATCCAGGCATTATTGAATTAGGCAAAACTACAACGTCCTGCATTGTTATTTATTTCGTGTGGTGGTGATGGTGGGAGAAGAAAGTAACAGAATACAACATTATCATTGTAGATTATCATGATTTGAAATTGGTTAAGTTTACTCATGTAAAATATCTTGGTACAAATCGGTAACAAAATAAAGTTACTATAACAAAAACACATTATGTTATTCAGAAAAACATAAAAACACCTGAGAACTTTAGTCTGAATGATATATTTAAACCTCATCAATAAATCAGTCAATAGAAGTCAATTCAAGAGACCTGGAATGAATATACTTTAATTCGACACCTATCAAATAATCGATTACAGGTAAGTTGGTTAGTTAGTTAGTTAGAAAATAACTGTTAGCCTTGTCATTTATTTCTATAAATGATGGACAACAGAATCAATGGAGAGAGAAAAGCACAAAAAAATTAGTACAGATGGATAAAAATGTCTTCAACGTCCAAGCAGAATACTTTTAGAATAAGATTTGTGATGGATTACTCTATTGAGTCCAGTCAATCCAAATTCAAGATTTGTTTTAAAACAACTAACAGTAGGCTATATTTTGTTTGATACATGACTAGCGACAACTTTCAATGAAATTATATGCAGTAAATATTGAATTTTCACCCAAAGTATGTCATGAATATCGTTTGAGTAAGAAAGAAATAATATAGAATGTCAATAGAAATTTATGACTTTCTTGATCTGTCAGTTAGTTAGTCAATCAATCATAGTCAACGCAGAGTCTGATATAAATATGTGCTAACTTACGTTAACATCCCAAATTAGCGGGACAGAGTGAAATCAACAAGGTGAACAAACACAAGTCCAAATGATCACAGTAACAACGACAGTGAGTGACGTTAAATATTCAAATATGGCTCAACAAAACAGAATGAACAGTTGCGCATGTTGAAAGGATACTGAAACTTAAACCCTGCAGCAAAATAAAGAGTGAATGAATTAGCAGTGCCGTCACCGAATCTGAGTTATGTTACCCAACGTCTCTAATAATTGATCACGGTTATTGTGTGTACTTCAGGTAAGCAGACTATACCTAACAACATGCCTCAGATCATTAGTCAATGATTTCATGGGCTAACGCTACGTCTTGATTAGGCCGCTCCCATACACTCTACTTCTACTCCAGGCGGTATTTGACCATGAGCATCGCAAGTCCCATCCAACTTAGTCGATCTTGATATGTAATAACATTAATAAAAATATAACTCATTTACCAAGTGTGGTTTGATATAGTCGGTATAGAACCACACTCTTATTTATGTAAAACCCAGTGATACTACCTGTCTGTTAAAACCACCGTTGACGTGGCGGGGTTGAAACTCGTGGGTTAACAGTTAAAAGTCGACTTCCTTAACCACTGAGATGGTATATCTCAGCAAAAGTAAATTCCTCTACCAATACAAAGCCTAGCTCGTAAACAAGGCTATGTACAAATGGGTAACACGAAACAAATAAACATTCACAAACCGTAGTATTATTAATCACACTTATCAGAAACATAACTATCATTCCTGCAAACCATTTAGTAAAATAAAAAAATGTACCGCCAAACTAAATTCTAATCCTTAAAGTGTAATTATAAAACATCTTTGAGTAATAACAATTTCGTACTATGTCCATATTCCACATGCATATATCTACATTCGAAGTTATTGATAAACATACTAAACTATCAATGAAAAATATAATATGATATACCAATTAGTATATTTTAACTAAAGCCATATAGAAACTAATAAGCTTACTTTTAATAATTCATCAGGATTTGCAGGTGTAGTAAGACTTTTATCTGCTTCTGGAAATGGAACATTCACAATTAACTCGTATAATGATTTTAAAACTGCATCTGTGAAATCTACGCTGAATACCGGTAGACAACCATCAACAATAACTCTAAAAATGAAGTTTTTTTTTAAATTGCAAACAAAATGTGAATATAACAAACATTGGTAGGAAATAATTCATGCGGATAAATTTGTAATAATGACATAAGTTGTATATTAATTTAATTGAAATCGTGAACCGATTTCAGTTAGACCACCATTGAAAACATGAAAGTAATGTACGGCTGTTTCGTTCTAGTACGGGACTACTCAGCAGTGTGGATCCACGAGAGAATCCAACCCAGGACCTTTGGTCCCACACATGAACGCTTAAACTCTGGACCATTGAGTTCGCGTCTGATGGTGTTAATGTCTAACTTCAATCAATCCACAACAATGCATAAACATCTATCGTCTTTGGTGGATAACTGCTTTAAACCCGACACCGACTAGCTCCACTGGTAACGGCTTCTTACAAGAACTTCGTGATATGACAACTATTTCGTTATCTATTGGTTGTGAACGTCTTGTATCTTTTGGTTCAGTAACATGATCAGCACTAACTGTGCTATCCTCCTATAATGAATTTAATATATCATTATGGTTTACATGTGAAATATAATTAAAGAAAAGAAGAATTTATTATCCATGTCAATTTATGTGTAATAATAAACAGAAAAGTAATTATTATCTATTTAAAAAATTAAAAAGTAGCTCCCTGTACAAATGCACGTTACCGATTTAAATTTGTGGAGATTTAAAGGACTTACAATCAACTCCGAGTAAAATGGTCGGTGTACAGTGTTATAAAGAATCAAGCTAAAATAAAACAATGATCGAATTCTCTTTGAACTGATATCCTTTAAATGGACGCCAATGGCTAAATGCTTAGCTTTTGAGAATGAGAATAATAATTGCAACGAAGATTCTCATTTAATTATAGTAAATATGAGTTGAAAAATATGTATCTAAAAGCAAGGGCAGTATTTTGATAACTGAAGAATACATGGAACTTAAAACAACTGTCTGTTAACCAATATCAAAGTGAAAATCTTTAATACGAACGTCAACACAGTCCTACCGTACGGAGCTGAAACTTGGAAAACAACTACAGACACCATCAAAAATGTACAGGTATTTATAAACAATTGCCTACACAAGATATTTCAGATCCGTTGGCCGGATACTATCAGCAACAACCTACTGTGGCAAAGAACAAACTAACTTTCAGCTGAAGAAAAAATTAGCAAAATATGCTGAAGGTGGATAGAACATAAATTGCGGGAATCATCGAACTACATCACGAGGCAGGACCTAACTTGGAATCCTGAAGAGAAAACGAAATGAGACAGGCCAAAGAACACATCGCGCCGGAGACTGGAAGCATATACCGAAACAATAAACAGCACATGGGAACAACTGGAAAGGAGCCCAGGAAGAGTTGATCGGAGAATCCTGGTCGGCGACCTGTGCTCGCTCAACGAGGAGTAAAAGACGTAAGTAGGCAAATAAAAGAAAGTATGATAGCAAATGATTTTCTTTTAGTCTTGAAGGACTAATTATGTGTTATTCAAAATTAATGTAACTATGAAATAATAACTATTCTAGATAGTGGATTTAGATAAACAATTGACAGTATTATCAATTAAAGCACTTGATTTTAGACATCAGATCAATCACTTAAACTTAGTTCCATCTACTGAGGTATAAAAAGTTAACAAGTGGAAACAATCTTGGCAAATTAAGTACAACTCATTATCTGATAAATACACCTGTATATGGTGAATGGAATTTAATACTACGATGTGAACATATTTGTAGCAAACAACACACACCTTGCCTCGAAAATGGCTCAGAAACTTTTGTATTATACAATGATTATATTTTTTGTAAAGCGGAAAAAAGGATCAATGTTAGATGAACCAGTAACGATTTAACGTAGCCTAACAGAATCAAAACATTCACTTAACAAAGGGGAGGAAGCCACCATCATGTTTACCTTACCTCTAAAAGCTTTTCAGCTCAACTAAATTGAACAATAAATTGGAACAAAACTGATATCTAAAACAATAAATACACAACTGAATTGTAAAGTGAATAATGACAGAAAATAGATAAATAATTTTAAGCAATTATTGATATTATTATTATTTACCTTGGTAAATTGACATCGTTTCGTAGTAAACACCGTTTCAGTGTACAACTCAACGCTAAAGGTTTTAATATATGATTTGATGATTTATTCATTTTCCGTAAAACTCTCCAATCATCGCCTGAATTTTTTAAAAAGAAAAACATACATAACAAACGTTTGAGAGACAACAACAATTTATATTATTTACTAAAACAAATTGTATCCTCTGGCATTTTATTATGTCCGATTAAACTTTGGAACAATTATTTTTAGCCCGCGAACGCCCTGGTACGGTCGAGGGTGGGAAGAGTCCGCTTTCCCTCTCGAAATGCTCTCACATGGCCACTGACAGGGAAGTCCTACTCACTACCTTTTCGAGGCGGGTTATTTATGAAATTCAGAGGACGAAAAGCGAATGTTCGACGCTTTAACCGAGTTGGTGGTGGGTACGGAGGGTCCACCTAAGAGAGTTGATAAAACCCTGATTCCAAACTAATGGTGCACATGGGCTAAAGGATCCTGAAGGAACAAATGGCTACCATGGGACTGCATCTCCTGACATTGCTCCACTGCCTTGTGGATTAGACCTTTAGGTCAAGAGCTCGAGGAGTATTCTCCTAAGAAAACCACCGGCTTCAGTCTGGGCACACAGGCAGTATTCTAGCCCTCACACAAATTGAATGATTTATGTGGAGCATATGTATTCAGTGCCCCTTTGTACCAAAATTTATGTGTTCAAATAAATAATAAATAAATAAACGTTTTTCCAAAAGGATTCTAATATTTCTAAAAAAAGAACTTATTTTATTTACAATCTTGAAAAAAAGATAATAATTTGTGAGACAATTGGCCAATTCACATTACTTGTGACATACATTTTCTGCATGCATTCTAAAGGAGTTTTGTAATGAACAACGGCCTGTTCGGTAGTAAGTTACAGTTGTGAAGCGCAACCTTTGAAATTAGGGAATATTGATTGTGGAATAATTGAATGAGTGATGCAAATGCCGTTTGTACAAATTTATAAAGCTTGCGTAATTTTGGCGGCTTATGTCACTTGTGGTGAAGACGGGATTTTTGTTTACCGACAAAGGGGCATGCATACCGTACAGCGCCCTCTTTGTATTTATCTAAGGGTGTGAAACAGCCTATGAAAGTGAAACACATATATAGGTTGCAAATACTTCGTCGTAGGTCTCTAAAGAATTAGTTGAGAATCACGAAATAACCGAATGAACAGTACTGAGGTTAGGCATAGAGTACTAGATAAAGATTAGTTGATGAGACTGTGAACCACCATCTGCAAATAGGGTCCGGACACTTGTGTTCCACTTCATGTAACATAAGATAGTCTTAGCTCCTTACAGCCTTAATTATTGGTGACTTTTCTATTTCCATATTAGTACGATCATTAAAATATTTGAATACTGAATAGCTTCTACCGCACCCATAGAAATCAAATTCGATGAGTGGAGATTCGGTGATCGATAGATTCCTCATTTCATCTCCCCATATTTATCTTTGACATCTTACTTGGTGAATTACCCTTAGCAGTTGCTAAGGTTAATAAATCAAACCATACATGATATAAGTAATCTATACTGACTAAACCACAGACTAAACTCATTCCGCTAGCCAGAATGTAATTGTGACTTGAAACTTTATTGAAACCAGAAAGCCCACTACACAGCTTACCTTCATTAACCATTATAACCTGAACTGATGATAAATTAATGTTAAATTTATCATAGGCCTCATCTTTTAATTCATCAAATGTTAGTTTTCCAGACTTATGTTTCAATTGACCAGAAATCTTCGAAATGGATTCTTTTGCATCAGTTTTCCCTGTAGAATCATTTTTATTTTCATCATTTGATGAAGTTTGATCTTGTACTGTTTTGCATACTGGTGGAACTGATGTACGACTTGAATTAACTGTAAAACTTCCAAGATCTACCAACAACAGACGGCAATCACTGCGAATAGTAAAAGTTAAAAATTACGTACACATTAGTAAATTGAAAAACAAATACCAGGTGAATAGAAGATTGTACTGGCAACTCTATTAACTGTTAACTAATCCCTTCAATATTTAAAAAACATAAACACAAATCAGGGGAATCCGTGACCAGTAGAGTTCAAGTGTGAGTAAGCTATTCACCAAAAACAATGGAAGATGGTCGTGCAATATCGCAGATTGATTAAAGTTAGGCTTATACACAATGAGGGTTTATTGGTCTAGAGTTTAAATGCTCATGCGCGAGACCAAAGGTTTTGAGTTCTATATCCATGTGAGCAGTCGCAGATGAGTACTGATGAGCAGTCTTATACTAAGACAAAACGGCCGTCCAGTGCTTTGATGTTTTTAATGGCTCTCTGGCTTAAATCGATTTGTAATCTCAATAAAATAAACGGAAGTGTTCTTGAACTAGCAAATTCAAACACAACAATACATGTGATTGACACTTATTTCCGAAGCAGTACGTTAATTCCATGCATCATGATCATTTAATTAATTTAAATTAAGAGAGAACAAGATTTGCAGGATAACATGAATTCACTATACTTTAAGGTTTATTACCAGCTGTAAACAGCTTAAATGTACAGTAGTAAGATCATTGGCTTGGAACGACATAAAGAACAATAGGGAACAACAGATTTAACATAATAGCTGAAATTGATTATGATTTATATGTTGAAGATGAAATCATAAAAAGGGAAGGGATTAAAAGTGTAAATGATAATAAAGAGACTATGAATAAAGACAGATTGTTACCAAATATGCAATAATCAAGGCATCTAGTTGAGAAGAATTCACGTTAATTATTAATTACATCACATATATTGCATAATTATCATCATTATACATATAGTTAGTATTTAATGAACAGGATATATGTTTTTTATGTCTCAGAAATAATCACAGATCCATAAAATCCCTTAATTAATCGTCTAGCAAAGTAATTAGTTGATATTCTTTGGACAACAGCCGGTAGTCCGATAATCTAATTAGATAACATACTGTTACACATTGAATAAACAATTTTGTTATTATTTCACTCGATATAAAATCTAAAGACTTTAACACTGAGATTTTAGTACAATGAAACAAAAAAATGACAGAATAACTTCCCAAGAATTCACAGTAAACAACTGATGTAAGTGGAAATTCCAACTAGGTCTTATTTCTTATGGTCACTAAACAAAATTGCTTTACTATTTACTTAAGATTTGAAGCTAAACACAAAACCAGAAACGAAACCATCCAGTAAATATAGTTATTCATGATTTGCTTAAGTATATGAACGGAACAAATTAGGGTGTGACAATTCTAGGTCTAACCTTTTATGATCCCTTCCTCCCGTTCTGAAAACGCAGAATCACTGAAAATGCTGGTTATCTGAGGGAAACACCTTACTGCTGTCACAATACTGTCCGGCCAGCGATACGACCTTACCCCCGAACCTAGAGTTGCTGCTAATAATCTTACTGTTCCGTAACCGATTTGCGTGGCATCGTAGGACCTAAGGAAATAATTATTCCATATAATATACCTCGATTGTGTTATCAAAGTAAGCAAGCCCAGACACCACTTCACGGTACCAGCTACGGTCAGGAAATATATAAACGTTCCGTATGGCTTACTGACTGATATGTATAATTATAAATAGAGTTGAGGAAAAATTAGTATTAAATAAAAGGTAAACTTGGAATTCACCTTCTGTATATCCCAGAATCTGGTAATATAAAATAACTTGGTTTAATGTCAATATGAACATCTGTATAAGATCGATTAGTGGCTAGATGTTTCAGACCACTCGTAGTCACTTCTTTAACTTCTTCGAAAGATGACAACACTGTATTAGATAACCTAATAAAATGAAGTTTTGAAAAAGAAAACATGAAAATATTAGGGAAAGTGAAAATATTTCAATAAGCTTTTAACATACGTGACTTAAATCTCTATTGATTACGGTTGTAAGGGATGGTCTAACTACAAGGTGAAAGCTTTCGAAGCTATTTTCCTACTGTCATATATATATATATATATATATATATATATATATATATATATATATATATATATAATTCGTTGCTACAGCATCTTACACTCATAAACTAAGGCCAATTATTTGTGTACCCAGTACTTGGTTTTCCGTGTGAATACCGTTACTCAATTGGTCTGCTGAGTGATCTGACCTTGTATGTATATAAATAAATGTCTGAAATATGATAATAATCTTAGAGTGGTGAACATTAGTCTTGCATTCTTCCTCTTCGTTAGGGACAACTTATTATTGGGCTAACCGTCAGGCATAGAGTATCAATCTTCCAAGTCCTTGCTGCGTATTGCTTGCTTAAGGTCGTCTACGCGTATTGGTTGGTTGTACGACGTAATCATTTACAAGAGCTATGATAACCTACGTCCCCTTAGATTTCATCTAGAAAATACTTTTTAAGTAAGAAGCCAAGTGTTATTGAATGGAATATAATCACTTAATAAACATACTGACCGCATAAAAGCAGAAAAACAAACCACTGATATGTTCACCTATACTGTAAAGTGGTTTATGGGTTGAACAGTCAATAATTGCCATTGATCCATATAAATGTCCGGAAGCTGGACCTTCAGTATCTGAGTAATATTGTTAACTCCTGTAAAATAATTCTGACCGGTAGCCTAGTGTATCCGGGTGATTACTGAATTGAATAACTCGTTTATTATAATTATTTAAATAAATAATACCAATACAAAAGATGTGGTCAACAAATGAATAACCTGATCGAAAACCGCCCTGCTCCTAATGAGTCAATCTTCCACAGATTGTGTACAATTTGCAGAGTATAGTCAGAACCATTAGTTTGAACTCTATCAAAAGTAGAGCAACCGTGATAATCTTTTCATAGGTTACACAGACCTTTATTAAATATGGGGACGACTGCCACTTCATTCCATGATGTTGGAACACGGTTTCCTACAACTTTCTAAGCCACATAGTCAACTCCTTGACCAGAAGTAGGCCACTATCCTTCATAAAGCTACCACTTTGCTTTAGTGGAGCATACTTTTTTGATCCCCAGTAATACTGGAAAGTATGTGTATTAAAGGAACCGGAAATAAATCCTAATCTAGGTCAATGGTCATGGAAAACAATAAGAGTTGTACAGATGAATTTAACGATTTTCGGCACATAAAACAGCTTACTCTTGTAAGTAAACATCTTTTGGTGGAGTAAAGAAATGAACAATTCTATTGATAGTTTCAGCATCATAAACTATTTGTAATGCATCAGCTTGAATTGAAATACATTGATCAGCTTTGCGATCAAGAGGATTCTTTTCAAAGTCAATACAGAGTAGATGACTGGGCTTTGATGTAGTACCGGCTTGGTTATTGCCATCGGATAGTAACTGATTTACATGACTTGTTATCAGAACAGGCTTGATTGAAGATTTAGCAAGACAAGATTCTTTTATTGTTGGTTGAGCACCTAAAGCTTCAAGACTATCCAATCGTAATGAGACACTAGAATGATAAATTAAGCAAGTATAATTCACAAGTATGAATATAAGGTCAAATGAAAACATATGCAGTATAATACACTCAAATCACCATTTTGAAAAGAGTTCAACATCGAAATAAAGAGGTGAATACTAATACTTCTACTGCATACACGAATCTTATTTCCCGCTGCTGAAGAATCAGGTTTCGACCCATAACTTGCAGGTTCAGATCCCGCTCTACATAATTTGATTTGGACAGTTGATTAATATTACTGTTACACTTAAGAGCGTGGCTCAAAGTTAAGTAAATGAAACTATTTGTGATAAACGATTTATATTAATACCACTTATATTATTAACAAATCGATTGCGTTCTTACATATGATAAGTGTAGAACAGTCAGTTTATCCTGTCTTAATTTACATTTTGATTGGTCTGAAGGTAGATTGAATTACTATATTGATAAATAATCTTTATCACTATTAACTGTATAAATGGGTAGATCAGATTACAGGTAAAAAAAAGACTAAAATATGAAGTCACTTACTTATATACAACCTTCTTTTAGATTGTAATTGTTGTATTATTTTGATTTAGAACAGAAGTGGCGGTGTAAAATTTTAGGTTACTGATTAGATACAATTTTACTATGACGCGAATACAGCGTAAAAAATCCCAAAAGACACCAGTTTCCACATGCCAATGGGACAATGTATGCTATTTAATAATGTTAATGACGTCTTAGCCTATATCAACCAGTTAGACTGTCATAATGAACGTAGAATCCGGCACAAATGTGCCTTAGCCAAAGTTCCCATATCACAATAGATGAGATAGAATTAACCAGATGAATAGTAAACAAGTCGAAATAAAAGTAGTAGCAACGATAGTGAGAAATATTAAACAATGAGAAGGAATTTAAAAAAGGTTATGTAGGAATAAAAACTGGAACTCAAGATCGAAAAGGAGATAACACACTTAATGAATCGGCATCATTGTGAAGAATTCTGAGTTATGTAGTCACTCGTCTCTAACCACTCTCATATTAAAATAAAATCTCAATCCAGCAAATTACAGCATTACTAAAAATAACAAAAACATTTTATTGTTCTCCAAATCAAAGATACAAATTACTTTAGGAACGTGATATAGCGAGCTAATTAGAAGTGGCCAAGTGAGAATGTCGCTTGATGACAATTAGAAATGACTTTAGGGCAAATACATATCATTGACTAAGAAGTAGATCGATTTTATATATGAGAATTTAAGCACATTGTTCGGTTGCTCAAAAGGCTTTCCCTCCTCTTTTCTCGCCCAAGTAGTCAGATTGAGTGGTCAGCGCGTAGGACGTTGTGTATTGGGATCACATCTGGGACACTGCACACCATAAAAAATGTAAAATTAAGGTATGAAGGCGGTTATCACTTCCCGGTTGCCCACACCGTGGAAGGGTCCTTCTGGAGGTACCTGAAAAAGAAATTGGGTTAGAGTTGATCTTAGTGACCTGAGAGAGTGACCGCAGTGCCTAAGGCACAACTGCTCGAGGCCCGTCACACAAGACCTTTTTGTGAGTCATTTTCCTGTTAGCTCCGTACTCGTTGGGACCTTGACACCAGAGAAGGAAATTCGTGGAATGAGCCGAGGTGTGCATTTTTAGGGTCGACCTTTTCCAACCCCGCCCATTCTTGTAGGAAGGCAGCATCTCTGTTATGTTTTTCTGAAGGAAACACATTACTGCCGTTACACCTCTGTACAGTCAGCAGTACGACTTCGTCCCCGGACCTTGGGTTTGCTGCTTTTAGTCTTAACGCTCTTCAACCGACCTGTCCGTCATGGTAGGACGATTGTTCCAGCCAGTATGGCTCGATGGGTTCATCACGATAGGCAAGCCCGACCACTATGTCACGGTAGTAGCAACGGTCGGGCAGATTTCTAGCATAGAATAATCAATAAGTTACTTTATTACAAACAGTTAACACATTCCATATTAATGTGTTTTACGTCACTTACGCTAAAGCTTGGTCACCTGCACGTTGTTTAACATCGGCAGTGAGTTTATTCACGGAAAATTTCAGCACATTAGGATCACTGAGAGAAAAAGAATGTAAAAAACAACTGAAGTATTCTAAAGATGTTACGAAATAAAATGCACTAATAATAATAATAATAATAATAATAATAATAATAACATTCATGATTTAGATTAAATTTAGTCTTCAAATCAGCCATGTTCCTTCATTCTAGTATCTTATACTTTTATAATTGATTAGAAGCTCGAATGAAATCCCATTTTTAAAAAGATATTTAGAAAAAAGACTCAATAAAAACCTCTCACTTTAGGTAGAAACTAGTTTGACTGTAAAAATGAGTATACGTTTGTAATAGTTATTAAAGTGAGTGAACAGATTAGATAAAAAGCACTGAGATAACTAGGATGGGCATAATTTCGCTTATGAAAACGATCATGAAATACCAGACAAGTAGATTTCAGAAGACAAAAACGCCAACTAACACACTGGACACGTAATTAGAGATCTGAAACTATCATTCGTACATAAAAAGTGTTCAACTGAGATAGTACAACTAAATTACTCATTATATATTATATAAGTAACCAAAGTTAAGGCAAAGATTGAAAATAACACCTGAAACCATCCTTTTTAAGAAATTTTATATTTTAAATGGTTAATAAGACAACATATTAAAACAGAAAACATATATAGAATTGACTGTAAAAAGTGAGAAAATTATATTTACCTTAATTTATCATCTAGAAGTACTAAACTAAGCTGTCTTAAAGTGACAGCAATAGAAGATGATACATAACTTATTGGGAAATTAATTGCAGAACCAGAAACACCTGACGCAGCTGACTCAGAATAATCAATAACAGCAAATAAATGTGCCTTCTCTTCTGATGTCATTTCAGTTTCTAAACGTTTCATTAAATCACCTTCTGACGAACTTTCCACATCATCTGATCCAACTGCAGAACCACGTGAGAACCAACTAAACCAACCACCACTCTTTGAATTAGCTTTTTGACCCTGTTTCTGTTTAGAAGCATTAAACTGTCAAGTTGTGTACAAAGAAAATATGAATGAAAAAACTGATGATTATTAAAAATTACCACAGATCATTTACATCGGTTGAATAAAACTAAATTGACCAGTGTTTTTTTGTTAATTTTCATTAGTTGGAAAAGTAAAATTTCATGCCAACGATTTCTAATAATTAGTTTTTAAAAGATCATTTATTATACACGTAACAACGAGCTACTGATCAATTCAGGTTTGAATATCAACAATGAAAAAATAAAGAGCCATAAAAAAACATGCCACCATGAGTAATTTTCCATGTGGCTTTGGTTGATCAATCCAAAGTAGGTCACTTTATTTTGAAATATAAGCTGATGACGTTGGTTAGTAAGCTAATGAAAGCTTCATGGTAAAACCATCCAACTCACACAACAAATTATCTCCTAAAAGTTCCATTAAATTATATCATATTGACGGTTTAAGTAAATAAACGCTTATGGAATTAACTCGTTTGTAATCATAAATTAGTTGACGAATTTCAATTGTTTATTTTAATATGAAAAACTAAGGATGACAGTTTAGTTTAAAAAAAGACAGAAAACAATATGGGAATACTGCCAACTCTGTAAGTTAAAGGAGCATAACCATAACAATATTTAATATGGGATCACTTTATGCAAAAAATTATTCGGTATCGTATAAAGTATAATAGGAAGAAAAAAGGTTCACATAAAAAGGAATATTTGAAGACAACAAACAATAACAACGACAATAACAAAAAACGATTCGCTACAGGTTTTTTTACTTCCGTACTATTTGCTACCGAAAATCTGACGAAAATATACGAGTGATTGTGGTGGTACAACATGCAGTTATCAAAAAAATGATACCTCTAATAATTTTATAACTTCTTTTATTACTGAAAAATTATACGAGTAAGTTACAGAATGTTAAAATCTTTATGTATATATTGGTGTTCCAGGCAAGGTACAGTATTATCATTATTTCTTCTTAATATACTTTGGCTATGTACATTAATATAATCAAGATATGTTAAAAGTAAATAGTTAATTAATTGATGTTAAGCAGTACCTTTAATAAATTTTTATGATGCCCCAATACCACATTAGGGTATCAGAAAATGTAAATAACGTCCAAATTAATTAAACTGTTACACAATAAAAACATAATGGGTGTCGACTGGCACGAAGCTTAAATTTAGGGGACCTTAAATTTAAGTAGCAACAGTCTAACAACAAAAATATCTCTGATTCTTAAGTAAAAAATAAACCGTCACTTTGGATTTATAATACACTTCAGGCATGAAGGTTTTAGGATTCATTGGTTAGTTTACGTTAATCAGTCCGTCAAAAACAACATAGATTCAGGGATAGACGAATATCGACATAAGTTCATAAATCATACTAGCGCAGTGAAACTAGATTTCCAAAGTGGACGACAAACATATTGAAGTACTAGTGTTGTTCATGATAGTAAAAACTATGGTTCGATAAGAAATGAAGAGAATAAAAAGTATAATATCGAAACTAAAAATGTATGGGAAGATAAATAATACATGCACCTGTATCACTACGACCAATTTCGAGGCATGTGTCACCTGAGATCTTCAATTAACTAAATGGTTAATGTCAGGATATGCACTGTTCGGATAACAACTAGATCCCGTTCAAACAACCGTCAGGAATAAAGTACTAGGTATATTTTGAAGTGTCGGACTGAAAAAATTATAAACAACGCTGTACTTTAAATTCACCAACCCAAGTGCAATGACTGGTATTTTTAGACTTGATCGACACCGTAGGACATATTTATCATTAAAACATGACAATCAATTAAATAAATTTCTATTTGTAATGAGTGTTTAGCTAAAATCAAAATGTCATGAGAATCGACAGATACTTGTCAAAAAGAGTTAATAAAAATCTGAAATATTACAAATACCACAACATTAACAAGTAATACGAAATATGTTTATACATCTAAATATATTTATGAGATAAGTGCAAAAGATTACTACTAACTTAAGCTTTCGTAACATCTGAATATAAATCGCACAACTCTTTATTCATAAGTTATCAGGAAGGTAACAAATTAATATAATTATACAACCAACTAAAGTACAACGATAAGCATAAACACCACTGTTACTACATCACAATATCCTTTGATGATACGACAAATAATAGATGCAAAGCCGAACATACCTTCTTAAAACGTGGTTTCCGCTTTTTTACTTTCTTTTCGGAATACTTTGTTTGGTCAGGGGAAAATACGAATTAGAAAACAATATAGGACAGATAAAATACTATAACCTATATCTAAATGAGAACTGATTATTTCCGTAAAGTCGAACTCTTTTTTAAAAAATACAAGTCACATGCTTGTGTAATAATTCAGTAAAGATGGATTACGTGAAAACTTGTTAACTTTCGAACATTAAACAAGGTTACATTGATGCTAAGTACTTAGTGCTAGGCTATTCATCTCAAGAAAACGGGATATGAGCGCTCAGTAGAAGTCTACTAAAATAGAATGAATGGAACACCATAGTATTTAACAATCGACGGTTATCAAAACTATCCGACAACGACAGATAACTTCAACCGCCATCATTTAATTCTCCATCGATTTATCCATGCGTCATAAATCCGTATAAAGGTTATAGAAACACGCTAAGCTTATACAATAAATTAAAGATGTATACCTGAAGTTCAGCTTGTTGTCGACATAATACAATGTTGAATACATCCAGAAACTCTTCATATGCCTAAAATGAAAAGTGGAAAAGGGAAGAAAATAATAGTTATCAAATAAAATGTCCTATGACTGGTCACCAAAATTATGTTACGATGCAAATTTATTGAGGATAAGATTCACATCTTGAAAATAAAAGATTTAAAGTTCAAATATATCTTTTTAGCATCGTTGCATTTTCTGAGTTGGATAGTTTAATGGTAAAAAAAATGGATGACCTATGACTATTGTCTAAGAATGAGAAACGAAATCGTGCAATTTTAGTAACTTTATAAATGGATTTACACTAACAAATAACTTATGAAACGACAAAGCTTACCTATATTATTATTATAAGAAAGTACAGTTGAACGTTATAACACAACAGTGTGGTTGCCTAATGGTTAAAGTACTCATTCTCAAACTAATAGGCCTCAAATTCTAACACCTGTTCAATTAATTAAGTCTCAGTAGGAAAGTAGCCTTACTAGCCTTCGAAAAAACTCCTGTTCAAACGCAGATATATACCTAGCAAACGAGTTACATTAACTACATCGAATAACGAACTGAATTATTGTATTCTCAATATTGCTGTACACCCTGAAAACTGTAAAAATTGGTCAGAAATTATGATAAATTCACTTGATGAAAAGACAGTTAAACGTATATCAATTTCGGAGATAAAATAGGATCAGCTCTTTTGAGCGATTCTTACCTCTAAATTAGCTAACTGAGCCTGACTGAGTTTATCTCCAGATAGCTTTTTTCTCCAGATTGCAATATACTCTCTCGATATTTTTCTATGTTTTGATATATGTTCCCATGACCACATAAGATGTCTACGACGAACAGACTCTTCCAAAATAGCGTTGTATGCAAACTGCCACCTAAATGTGATTAAAGTAATAATTTCATTTACACTTTATAGTAATCTTATGAAAATATAAATTAATGTGGTCGATAGAAAACTCTGGCTTTTCAACGTTATCACCTTAAATTTAGTAAGAATATTCTTAGTAGTAATAATGAAGTAATTTGAAACTGACAAAAAAACCTGTATACCTATATCCCAGCGATGGACATATTATTTTTGCGCTGATGGCCAGAAAACGTTAGATACACAAACTCTAAAACTTACATAACCATTGCTGAGTATATGCTTATTTACTTAATATGGAGACGTTGTGAGGACTGATGAAGCTGACCAAGTTGAAGTAAATAGAGACGAGTTCGGATGTGAAATTAAATCGCCAGTTTTAGTAAACAAGTAATCGAAAGTGCCAAATGAAAGTGCTGGCTTTCGTCAAAACCCCCTTCTTGTTCCCGGTCTTGTATTATTTCAAATCCATAGCCTTTAACGACTTGCCAACGGAGATGCTAAGAGTCCTACTAATTACTTGGTCTTAATATGCAATATCTAGCTATTGCCGTCTTCGGAATGTTGTTTCGAAATTTATGTTTGGATCTGGTTTCACATACACGCTGTGCTTTTAACACCTATATACAGGATTCAACTGTAATTGTACGCTTAATCAAACTTAGTAAGCTCAATAAATATGAACGGTTCAGTTATCATGTGTCTGGTAATCCTGTGGTGAGATTATATATATATATATAATTCAATCAGATTTAAAATTATAAGAGGAACTTAGATGAAGAGTTCATTTACCAAACCAAGAGGCAAAACCCACCAAACTTTGTAATTTTGTGAGATTGGCGTTAATGGTCTGTATTTACGGTATTTTCCCTGGGTTACTATCCTGTCTTGAGCTTCCAAAAAACAAGTAATATCATGGTATTGAGAAAGGCTAAAACACAATTCTATTTCGGCAAAGTTAACAACCAAGTCCATCTGTGGTATAGAGTAGTTTGTCTCCTCTGGTCTTGTGTGAATATGAAGCATTGCCGTGGACGAAATCGGTTTTACCACTGAAAATGAATATAAAAGTGTTACGCAACGTACAGTAATGAAAGCCTGTGTTAAGATTATCTGGACTGGCGATTGAGTTGCGCATAGCACTCTAGAAGACATTCCGTAAGAACTGACTCACATACCCGAAGAGGAATTTTTGCTTTTTCTGCATACTTCGTGGACATTGGATTCCAATACACACCAAGGCTTGTAAGTTTTACAAACTATAAGGTTATTAGTGATTTATTGCACAAACTTTAATGAATTGACGAATAGACTCATCCTTGATAAAAATAGGCTTCTGGTTACTATCGCACGTCTAAAAGAACGTGTAAGCCGACATATATTTTACCTGAAATGTTAGTTCACTTAAGGTCAGCCCAAGGGAGAAAGTACGATTTGGGATACTGAAACTATCCTCATATCGTATATGAATATCTTTGATAGAGATTTGAAGATTTTTGATGACTTGTGCTGCTAACTTCTCACCGAAAGAATCTGCTCTGGAATCATCTGAGGGAGTTTGAATGGTTAATTTAATTTTAAAATACCACCCGAGCGCTTAGGTTTCAAACGAGCTGTCTCTACACTAACTAGTTCCTTTTGCTTCAATTCTTTAGCATAACGCTTTTCTTTTGCCTCGTCATATTCCACAGCTAAAGAAGTATTTTACTTCAGGGTGAGGTCTTACCTATGTTTGGGACAATGAGAACATAAAGCCCCGTTAACTCAGCAATGGTAGGCTCCGTGAACAGATTTTTAAAGGGTATTTTAAGAGTTAAGGAACCTGAGAGTAGATTCGATAATTTCTGCTTACTTATGTGACCTTGCAGGACTTTGACTGGTAAATCCAAATCATCGAAAGCATTAGCTTTGATGTCCAAGTTGTCAAGCTGAGCATTTCCTGAATCGAATAAATTAGGCAAAAGTCAACCCACCTCCAAGAAGACCAATTTTTAGTTGGGATGCGTTTAGTGCTTCTATATATGAGCCTAAATACCTATTGATAAGTTCCACAACAAGCGACTCGAAAACCATCCTTCTGCGTAAATAAAAAGCAGCGGCTTGACCTAGACCTTGAGTTCAATCTCAGTCTGATAAGGGGTATATCGACCTATATAAATTCTTGCAATTTGTATTACTGTTGAGGTCCACTATCGCTTTGGATGTATCAACAGAAGGTGCCGATATTACATGTTCTCGTAGGGGATTCCAGTGATTCACCACTCGAGGCGAGAAACGGAACTCCACACAAGAAATGGTTCAAATGGTCCAAATGGTTGTGGACGGAATAGAAGAAGCTTTCGCTTAACAGGCTTCCGTATCTAGTAGCAAGGGATCACCAATACCACCATGCGGGAACCTAATAATATTAACGATAAAAGAGAAAAAAATAAATTGGTAAATCATAGTAAGATACTATCCTTAGTCCTTAAGAATAGATCAAGTCGCAATAGGAAATCCCAAAGAGTGTCCATATGAAGCTAAGGATAGGCTTTCCAGTTTGCTCAGTGTAGATTTTCCTGTAAAGCTGACACATTTTGCTGTTTTGAATTTCAACATCTGTTATTAGCAGAATGTCTTCGCTCAGTTTTGCTGATAAAATTGAAGGTTACGACAGCATAGTAACTTTTACACAGGGGAGCCAAGAGTGAGAAATTGCCAGCTAGAAATTCTTCGTTTACAAATACTCAGTCTAAGCGAGTAGTAAGCCCGTTCAACGGTTTTATTATTTGTCTGCTTCCTGTATATTATGGCATTTAATTCATCATGTAAAATTACGTGTGACTCTGATTGACCTCATATTTGCACGTCAATCTTTATTTGTTCTCCCACTGGTTATAGACAGAGACAGACGGACTTTGACCATTCATTAACGATAAAATATCTCTACAACTAGTGTTTGGGCTTTTGAGTAATCTCAGTAAATTCATAATAATACTAGGATATTTGGTCTGCGTAAATACTCAGTTGAAGTGATGCTATTTATTGGAGTCAGATGTAAAGGAATTAACCTCTATTCCTTCAACGAAATGTCTACTTTGTTCACGTGTTTCATCAATTTCGCTCAGTTAACTCGCGACGTTAGTTTATGGGCAGTTAATACTTTCGGTTTGAAACGCGAGAGCTTTCTAGTTCCGTTAATCTGAACGAGCCTTATGTGAATGGATGCGCAACCTACGTACACCGGGTTTTGCAAGTTGGCTGTCCCAGTCGTTTTTCGGTTTTCCTTGGTCTTGACAGTTTACAAGTGTAATAGTCAGGTCCCATTTGCTTTTGTATCTAATCCTTGGATCGTGTGACCTGTCTGGATGCATGTGGATTACAGTTGGCAACCGACGTTTGTTGACACAAATTGCTCTGACAGTGGCAATCACCATTCGAGAGGATGGGAAGGTTATCTACATTATCCTGATGCTAGAACCCCCGTCCTTCTCGGCTAATCTCACTGCTCGTTGTGTCAATATGTTCTTAGGCTTCGAAAATTGATTTATGAATTTTCACTCTAAAATATCATAGACTGCATAGTAGGGGGCCGTGTTTTCTGACGAACCATGAACAATGATATTTCTACCGCTAAAAAACGTTTCGCGAGATTACTTGAGGATATTATTATTTGCGATAGGATTGTGCTCATAATATGGTATATCAGTCAGTGTTCTTACGTCGCCTAATTTCGGCTAGTGACTGACCAGAAATGAATACTCTACGTCAGCTGTGATGGCGAACGTTACACGAGAGAGTCTTGGATGATTACAGTGCTTGATATTCTCTCTGGGTAAGCCATGCAACTGCCAGGAGCGTGATTTCGAGAAGTATGAGAATCCTGCTCAACTTATTCCAGAGCATCCTGCCATTTTTGCCCTATGGACAGAGGAGATGGCTAGAACTATCTTTAAGGTTCATAATTATGAGGGAAACATCGCGATGTTATGAATGTACTGAGTTCCAGCATATCCACACTAGTGTCTATGTGTGTTCCGTCGATACTAATGTTTTCGGATACCCTCTTCGTTACTTCATTGCGAGTCTTTGTTTATTTATTCGTTTAAGGACTGATTGTTTTCAGCGTTGCTGATAACCGTTTTCGCAGACCTGTTAATAGAATGATGATGCTGCTCAGCAAATCCTCAGCATTCATGTTGTATGTATCATATACCCAACTGCACCCTGACGTACTAAGTTTATTGTAAGCAGTTTCTGTAAAATCTGTGCATGCTTCGTGAAACCAACCTTCGCACTCGTCATACTGCATACCACGGGTGGTGGAAAAACAGCATACAGGTCGTTTACACGAGTTCTTCATGACAATCGTGAAATGTGAGTTGTTAGGTAGTTCCTAGAGAAAGTTAACTACAGTAAAACAAGAAATAATAGGCTCAAAACGAGTAAATTTGGTGGTAAAAAGTGTTAGGATATACTAAAATTAGCCTTGACGAGGAAAACTATGAAGACTGAAACGTAATGTGAGGCAAAATCACATCTAACTATCAAGTTGGATAAAACTCGGAAAGGAAAGTAATCTACCGAACGTTAAGCTCAGTACAGATTCTTTGAATCAAAAATGGTACATGTGTTGCGTAAGAACTCAGCAAGAGTTTGAAAAGTGAAAATCACATTACACCTAAACTTCCGGTGAGTAAACCGCTCTTAATTAGACTCATTTAATTTAAAATACTATTGTAACATCTGGCATAAGCTAATTAATTTCTTTGTGATGAGGCCTACATGTCACACGAACTTCGGCTTCTGACGTGTTTAAGTTGAATTTCATAAATTATAGCCAGTAACTTGAAATTCAGACTCACAGGCTGAGAACTTGAAAAGAACAACCAGGTTTTCCTTCCCGGAAAAATAATCGGTAAGATATGCGCAAAAATCTTTAATCATGCAGCAGTTAAAGCCAGGAAGCACAAAATAATGCAAGTAGATAAATCCTAACAAACACAGGTAGAAACTGCGAAATTTGATTGCGCCTTCTCATTTGTTTTTCGTGATGCAGACATCTAAAATTATTACAGAATTGAGGAAAACGGAAGTGACGAAATAAAGATGGTGAGTCTCCCATGCACATTCATTTTTTATTGTAAGCGATACACTATTATTAGTGTCAAATTCTAAGCTTCAGTCTTTAAACCGTTCGTCTATATTATTGAATTCAGTTTGAATTGTCTGCTTTCAGTTTCACAAACAGCTTTTTGGTTGCAAGCACACAGGCGTGGCTTGCTAACGGAAAAGTATCTTGACATTTTGTTGATGTGCATCACGATTAGCTCTTAAAATAGCACATTTTCTTCCGTAACGCCTCTGTTTATTGATCTGGGTGTCTACATCAATGGGCCTATTTTAGCGTTCTGCTGCCTACATATACAAGTCTATTCAGGATATTTCACTGGAGACTACCCAAATCATCCGGCAGTCATGTCATTGAGTTTGAAACAGTTTGTTGATCCTCGTCAGGATCAATGACAACCAATATATATTGATTAATTTTGTGCCACGGATATGCCCATACGACAGCGGCCGTACCTTGTTCTTATACCCACTCTTACCAATATATTTCCATCACAACGACGTGATTATGTGTCTAGTTGACTAGTTGGCAATAATACCTGTTTACGACGGAACAGCAATCCATGTTAATATTAACCGAGAGGTTTGAGTCTGACAGAGCTGAGAGGTCACGCGGTTCCCATTTCACTCGAGTAAGCTTCAAATCATCCACACAGATAACCTGCAAGGACATTCTGATTGGTAGTAGTGGTTCCAGTAGAGCAAAGTTTCAGTGTAAACCGAAACTTTCCTAGCCACCTAGTTTTTTATTGTAACCGCCTAAGATCACTTACAAAAAGCCTTTTCCACGCTCATCGACACGTAACGGTTGTCCAATTTCTGAAATTTCGCTGCGATATTTTATATCAAAACCTGTTTCTCTGACAAATGATAGTTCACTAGAAAGTCTTTCTAACAAGTCATGGGTGAATTTTTAGAAATTCCAGTTAGGTGTGATGAAGGTCGCTCTCTACACAAACTCAGTGTTCGTGCAATTCTGGTCACTATTTTGTACATTACAGGATGTAGGTATAAAACCTCTTCGACGGTATTGATAACTCTATCCCAACTGTAAGGTTTGAACAGCCATTATATAGAAGTTTAGTTGATGAGATCCAGGACAGAGAATTCCACCTACTCGAAATCATGGATTTCTTTTTCCTTACGAAGCCAACAAGCACATTCAAACTCATCAGGCTCAAACCACAAAATCAAGAATAAAGACTCATGCACCGGTATGCCTGTTATCGAATGGTCGTTTCTAAGGACGTTCAGCACCTGGAACTCAAATAGATAACACCATCCTTCACAAATTAAAAAAGCAATATACATGAACATGCAACCTGCCAGGATTCAAAATCAACCTATCAGAACAGATAAAGTTGTAGCAAAGTCCTCTGAGAACCTGCAAAATGGAATCAAAGCTTCCTCAATGAAGTAACGTTCCAATACTTGAAACTTCAAACGTTCGAAAAGTCTTAAAAGAAAGCTGAACTCTATCCTCTGTTACTGCTACATATTGGGAGATGTATATGGCAGTAAATCGTTTCCCGGCCTTTAAAAAGTATGTTCAATCTAAATCGGCACTGAATTCCAAGTTCCTACACACTCTGGCATGAGTGACAAAAATTAGTAAATCCAGATCATAAAGTAGAACTTTACCTAACAATGCACCCCTTCACAAAACCTCGGGAATTTTATATTACCCCCTAAGATTCGTTTGATTTGTATGCTCTAATATGCATTCTGAAAATATCATTACGTGCACGTCTTCTGAGATAACCTTCTTGTGGTTTCTGTTATTACATATAATTTGACTTTGTTTCTCTCTGTGTTTGAATGCATTTTGTGTATCATGTATAATCTGAAATTATGATTATACAATTCACAACTTCGTAACTGTGGCCCACTTTTCGAAATCATTGGTGTTTTAATTGTTGTTTCATGTTTATCTTGCGTAAGATTTTGTTCTCTGGTTGCTGCAA